GGTTATGAAGAGTGGATGCGCCTGTGTAACCGATTCATATCATTTTGACCCCTTGTTCTCGCGTTCACCACTACCGACATCCTCCAAGTGTTGCGTGCAGAATTTTAATATTCTCAGTAATGATATGTTCAGCTGCGAGTCGTATGGCTAGGAACCAATACTACAACACATTTACCGAATCTGTTCTTATCTGTGATGCGCATTGAAATTCGTCAATGAACTGTCATTTATTTTTGTGAGAGGACGAGGATTTTCGTTAATTAAACGTCTACCTGTCTGACTCTGAGTGCTAATCGGATCGAGATAATAAAGTAATATATCAGGATTCTGGATGTCATGAGAGTTAATTTTAAGTATTTCCTCATAATTATTACACGCAGTTCCCGCATCTTGAAAGGAACTATTCGGCATTTGCATAAGCTGCCTTCCCAGATTTGGCATGTTAATTCTTGCGACCATCCGATCACGCAGCTGCACACGAAGTTGTTCGGCGAAAATACTTTCTGAATCTCGATGATAAGCTTTCCGACCTCCTGGATATTCTAACGAATCTTTTGTTAAGAAACCTTGTTTTCTTGCGGCATTCAAAGCTTTACATTATTTATCGGCAGTTCTATGGGAGCTGTATAGGGAAGTGAAATAGGCTTATCTGGACATGCCAAGGAATTTAGTAAGCTTTGAGCATACTTGCTGATGAATTTAAGGGAGTGAGCAACAATTTTATCATACTTAACATCTTTCCTGGTCATATTCCAGACCTAAAATCTTTCAATTTAATAATGAAAATCCTTGGAATTTAAGTGTAAAACCAACTCATCAATCACAGGCTCCATCACGATGCCAATATGATAATTGAAAGTAGTCAAGTTGGTATACTAACTAGCAATGCCCGAAAAAGTGAAATGTAATGCAGGTAGAAATAGATGAGTAAAAATGAACGTATAATATTTGGATTGCTTTGTGGGGAGTAGTGTAACGTCGTGTATCATATCACACCTACATAGCTTATTCTAGTTTTTGGACAAGCCAGTTCACCTATAACGTTGTGAGTCATATTTTGATCTTGTTAATTATTCGCTTATTGACCTTGATTATTTTTTTTATATGAGCGTATGTGTATGCACACTTCTTAACCTACCTATCACATGTCTGTCATTCATTTTTGTCTGACTATAAATGTTGATTAATGCTTGCTCATAGAGAGTTGGCTTACCAGCCATCTCCCATGCATGTCATTTTTACTTCGCTCGCTAACATTTGCTCATGTGTCCACAGCTTTCTGGTCTGCATCATTTATTAATATAAATGTAGTTGCCGCTTCCCTTTGTCTTCTGATATTATACACCGTTCAGGTTGATATAATAACGGTTATGGAAGTAAACTATTATTGAAGCACGCCACTACAGCTTAATCAGAGCTTAACCAAGTAAAAAGGAATCATCAGTTCGTAAAAATACCACAGTGATGCATTTGTCAGTGGGGCTAGTCGCTTCATATCTGATCTAAAATCATTGTCATCAACTAGTTATCCAACACATTTAAAATGAGATATACAAAATGAACGCTTATTTGGGTTCGCTGTAATATTCTTCTCAATTAGATGCCAAAAGAGAGCATTAAGTCTCTGATCATGAACGACCTAGTCAGAACCATGATAAACTCCAAGAACTTCAAGATCACTGATCACATTACTCATCACTTCCAAAAATATGGCTGCAGAACAACTTAAACCAAATGGAAGCAAGTTGTATTTGAACAGGCCAAAACGAGTGTTCATTATCAAGAAAATAGATGGAGATTGATATAAAGGGATTTGAAGATAAGTATCATGTAGGTCAACTTTCGAGAACACTTGAACCACGAAGTCCATTTGCAATATCCTCAGCCTCCACTGTCGTGCATGTTTACTTCAAAAAAAGTGAGTTCAGTGTCAATCTGTAGTCACCAAAAAATTCTGGGGTTTTTGCCATCAGACTTCAATGGTGTAACAATAGGAATATTTCATGCTAAATACTGAATCGATCAGTAATACGTTTTGTACACAAACCATTCAATGTCTTATATACTGTTTCTCGAAGACCGTAAATAATTTTTTATCTTTTAAAAAAGAATGGATCACCATGCACTTGGAGTTTCATAGGCTGAATTTTCATACCTTCACTGCACTTAGTGCACACAGCTATCAAATATTTATGTGAAGCACCAGAATTTTCTTTAGAAGGTAGTAAGGACCCACTATTCTTATTTTTCTGAAACAAAGAGTGATGTATATCGTACACTAAACTAAATCATTTTTTACTGTTAAAAACCAGACAAAGTTTCCTACCATCAAACTCAACAGATATATGTTTTAGAGTTACAAGATTAGGGCTGGTTCGTAAAGATTTTCTGTTGCAGTTAGCGTCAGATTTTGAATCATATACAACTAAGAAACTAACTCTGATATGTATTATCCTATTATTTGTTAATTATCTGACGTTCATGTTCGCTGATTATGTTATTATTATTATTATTATTATTATTATTATTAATGGCTTTACTCAATATTATAATCTGGTACAATATAGAATTCTCAGCACGAGTTATTTCAACAAGTTTTTTACCAAAAAAAACAAAACCCAAAAAACCAACCAAAAAGCAGAAAAGGAATGAAAAAGGTTTAAGAAAAACTGAGTTTATACGAATTATCAAATTTGCAAAATGCTTAAGAAGACAGGTTATTTACTAGGTCAACTCTAACAGCCTGTTTGTCACAAAGTAAATTTGCTAAGTAAGGTATTACAGAACTTTTATAGACTTGCTTGCGTGTATGGATTTTAATGTATTTACGTCTCGTTCTACCAGAAGATATACAAGGAGAAAGATATGAATGAAGCGGATGGTTAGTATCTGATAAGATAACACCTGCAAGAGTTTGTAAGACTTAAGATGTCTATCCACAAGCATATTAATAATGACTTCAAAAGATTCACCACATACCTTGCAAACCGCCTTCAGCACTCTACGCAAAACAGCAAAGTCTTTTCTCAAAAGCCCAGGAAAGAATAATGGAGAACAATATAGAATAATAGGTAATATGCAGGTATTTACAAATTGTAAGAGTAAATGGCGAGTAATCCCAAAAGCATGCATCCTCTTTATGTAGTATGTCAAACAGTAAACTTTTTTTCGATAAGAGTAAAACATGAGAAGACCAAGAAAGATCAGAGGAAAAAATGACACCAAGATATTTGGCCTTCGACACTGTGTTTATTAAGGAGTCTCCAATGGCACAAGAATTATGGGATCCCAAAATAGATGGGCAATTGATGGGAAATTACGTCAATTACTGTTAGACGTTTTTTTAATAACAATAATACATTTCAATTCATATTTGGCTGGATATTTATTATCAAAAAAGCTTGATTTACACAAGTAGTGTGGTATATGCAACTTAAGCCGGTAGATATAAGTATTAGGTAGCACCGGTCTGAAGCGAAATCCCTGGAAGCAGAATATCGAGATGAAGAGAACAGGAAGTCGAAGAGCAATCGATATAACAACAAAATTAGAGAAATAATAAAATACGTAAAGGATAACGCAAAAGGATATGCAAATGATGTATTTGATGTATGATTTTCATATTTTACTAAGCCAATGTGTGATTTGGCATTAGATTATAAATTAGTTTCCCCCCACCAAACCTTCTTTCATTTAAGTAAAACTGAAGAATTATACTTTTACATAGCTTCAGTGTGAAACGTAGACATGGAAGAAAGTTATTGATTTATTGTCTATTCTTGGTGTAACTGTGGTGTGAGCTACTGATATCGATATAAGTAGTATATATGGTGAGTAGGGAATAGAATATCTGACAGCAGAAGATTGAGAAGATCAAGAAGAGAAGAACAGAAATAAAAAGCAATTTGTGTGGAAATCCAGGAACAATGAAGTCTGAGGCAATTGAAGAACATTTTGCAAATAGTGTATCATAGCATGGTTTTTGTATTTTACCAAGTAACGTTGTAATTTGCGCTAAATACATAGTTGGTTGTCCTCACCCGTGTTCTCATTCACAACATTTGGTGTCGCTGCCTCCAGGGATGAAGATTCCATGGCCGAAGGAATTTGAGGACGGGGATGTGCTGAGCTTCCTGAAGGAGTTCGAAGCTGTGGCGGGGCTGGTGGGGGTGAAGGAGCCGAAGGCGAATACGGTGGTGCTGGGGACGCTGCTGAGAGGCAGAGCGAAAGCTGTATATGACAGCCTGGACGGTGCGGGCGGTAAGACGACATGGGAGGCAGTTACGGAGCTGTTGACCGTGGAGTTCGATAGCCCAGTGGACAGAGAGGAAGCACTGCAGAAGTTCCGAGTGGCGAAGTTGCCGATCGATGGTGATCCGCTGGTGCTGGCCGTGGAGCTTACCAAGTTGCTGCTTCGCGCGCTGCCAAATCTGGATGAGGAGTCGGAAGCACAGTTGTTGGCGTCTCAGTTTATCGAGAGCGTGCCTGTTGCCGTTTCCCAGCAGCTGAGACTGGTACACGCCGCGCAACCTATGGATATCAGTGAGCTTGCAAAGGTGACGCGACAGTTGATGACACAAACAGTAGCTCCGGTCGCGTGCGGAAGTCAGGAGATAAGCAGCATTGAGAAGAAGATTGAAGAACTGCAGCACGAGATTGCGGCATTACGAGTGATTCGAAAAAGGAATGATAAGTGTTTCGCATGTGGAGGGACAGGACACTGGAAGATAAACTGTCCAACACGACGAAAACGGAGATATTTTAGACGTTACGTGTTTCCTTCTTACTCTAGGGATCTGGGGGTTGTTGCATTAGTAGATAGAGGGGCAGTCTATGCAAGAGTGAACGTAAATGAACTAGATTTAGTGTGCCTAACCGATACAGGGGCAGCAGTTTCGTTAATAGGTAAAGAGCAATGTAAAAGTTTTAAGCCGTGTAAAGTCGCAGTTCACACTATAGGAGGGCATATGTTAGAGGTATTGGGCGTGTCTAACAGTATCGTAAAAGTGGATGGTTCGGAGATAAGTTTTCCGTTCGTGGTAACCGCAAACCTGTCGAGACCAATATTAGGAGCAGATTTCCTAAGAGAAGTAAAAGCCATAGTTGACCTAAGAAGCGGTAAGGTGGTCACGAAGTACGGTTCATTCTCAATACATGAAAGTAGTGAGGTGGCTGAGGTTAGAGTGGCAACAGCCGTTGTGACGAAGAAACCAAACATAACCGAGTTGTGCAAAAAGTATGCGAAACTGTTTACTGGAGAAGGAGAACCGTACGGATTTTGCGACAAAGTAAAGCACGAAATCCCGATAAAGAACAATGAAGGAAGTATATTCACAACACGTCGTATCCCTGTGCACTTAGAGGCTGAAGTAAATCGACAGGTCCAAGAGATGCTGAAAGAAGGAATAATTGAGGAGGCGGACAGCCCGTATAGCTCACCGGTACTCTTGGTAAAGAAACCGAATGGGAAATATAGATTTTGTGTTGATTTTAGAGAACTGAATAATATAACAGAACTAAAGCCGTGTGCAATGCCAACAGTAGTGGAAACATTAGATCGGCTGCAGAATGCCACGGTGTTTACAGTGTTGGATTTGCGGTCAGGTTATTGGCAGCTGCCTATAAAAGAGAGCGATCGAAGCAAGACAGCATTTACCATACGTGATAAACAATATCAATTTAGACGAATGCCGTTCGGATTGGCGGGCGCACCTTTTACGTTCAGAAGATTAATGTCGCTACTGCTCAGGGATCTAGATAACGTCGAAGTGTATGGCGACGATGTAGTCGTATACAGCCAGACAGAAACAGATCATGTCAAGCATGTGGAAGCGGTCCTAAAGCGAATTGAAGAATTCGGACTTCGAATTAATAAGGACAAGTCACAGATGGCGAAAAGTAGCATCACGTTGTTGGGGCATAAAGTGGGAAATGGAGAAATAAAACCACTGCTGGAGAAAATTCTGACTATAAAGAACGTTGCAGTACCGAATTCGAAAAGGAAATTGAGACAGTTCCTGGGAAGGGCGGCGTTCTACAGTCGGTTCATCAAGAATTTCAACGAAATAGCAGCACCCCTTTATAAGTTGTTGAGTAACACTAAATTTTCGTGGACTGAAACCGCCCAACAAACGTTTAATCAAATCAAAAACATGCTGGACGACCGCCAGATGACGCTCAGACTGCCCGAACTGGAGAAACCGTTTACAGTGACAACAGACGCAAGTGACCATGGTATAGGTGCCGTTTTAAGTCAGTCTGATAGAGTAGTGGAATACGCAAGTCGCGTTCTCACGCCTGCGGAACAGAAGTATTCAACGATCGAAAAGGAGTGTTTAGCGATTGTGTGGGCAGTAGACAAGTGGAGACCATATCTGTTAGGTAAACGATTTCACATCGAGACTGACCATAAACCTCTGCAGTGGCTGCAAACAGCACGAGACCCACGTGGGAAGTTGGCGCGATGGATGATACGTCTGCAGGAGTATGACTTCAGTATCGGGCATGTTCCAGGGAAGGAAAATGTGATGGCGGACTATCTGTCAAGAACAGACATGGAAGCCGAGCTTCCATTGACAGCATACGCAGTGAACAGTATAGAGGGAGACCCACTAGAACTCGTCCGGCAACAGAAATCTGATCCTAAACTGCGAGAGGTAATCAGAGTGATAAGAGAGGGGGCAGATTTTGACAAACGAGCAATGGACAAGGAGGCAATAATGTTGCTTCGGCAAAAGGAAAGACTGAAAGTGAACACATATGGAGCTCTGATCTGGCAGGATGATGACAAAAATTGGGTGGCTGTGATCCCGAAATACTGGCGGCGTAAGATGATACACGAATGCCATCAGGTAGCGCACACTGGTATCGCAAGAACGACAGATTTACTACGGCAAAGTGCATACTGGCCAGGCATGAGAGACGATGTGGCCCAATATGTGTTGACGTGCCAGCAGTGCCAATTAATGAAAAGCGATAGATACATGCAACCGCCATTGCAGTCGGTCCCAGTAACCGCAGTTGGTGATCTATGGTCGGTAGATGTGATGGGACCATTTCCACAGACGGATAGCGGCAACCGATACTTACTAGTTATGACGGAACATGCTACACGATGGGTCGACGCTGTACCGATTGCCGACCAGCGGGCGAAAACAGTGACCGAAGTAATAATCCGGCACATTGTAGCAGGTCATGGAGTACCGAAGATGATACTAACCGACCAGGGTCCCTGTTTTGAAAGTGACGAGTTTAAGGCCCGTTTGAAGCAGTTCGGTATCAAGAGGATACGAACTACACCGTATCACCCTCAGACGAATGGGCTTACGGAAAGAAACAACCGGACATTAAAGGAATGGTTAGCATCTAAAGGAGGGAATTGGGAGAAAGAGTTACCACTAATTTTGCTGGCGCATCGTGCCTCCATCCAAGGAACAACTAAGAAATCACCTTTCCTACTTATGTATGGTAGACAGCCACGACTTCCGATGCATAATATGACGTGGCCACAGCAGCAGAAGTGGACGGCAACAAGATTAAGGAAAGAGAGGACGGAGGCAATAAAGAACGTGAAAAAGAAACAAATATCAGACACCAAGAAGGTGGAACAGCAGAGAAGAGCATGGAAGCCTTTTAGAGTGGGGGACCTGGTAAAGTGTAGAGAACGGAGAGCTAACACTGAAGGGGGACCAGGGTCAGGAAAGCTGACCCCGAAATGGGAGGGACCGTACATTATCACGGAGAGACGCGGCCCAGTTTACACGATCCGGAGAGAAGACAAGCAGAAGCGTGTAAATGCCAGTCAACTACAGAGATGGTTTCAGGAACATCATGAGCACGAGTCACGAACAGCACCAAAGGAGACAATGGTACGGCGATCAGAAAGATTGCGAGAACAGCTTATTAAAAGGGGGGACGAGTGTGGTGTGAGCTACTGATATCGATATAAGTAGTATATATGGTGAGTAAGGAATAGAATATCTGACAGCAGAAGATTGAGAAGATCAAGAAGAGAAGAACAGAAATAAAAAGCAATTTGTGTGGAAATCCAGGAACAATGAAGTCTGAGGCAATTGAAGAACATTTTGCAAATAGTGTATCATAGCATGGTTTTTGTATTTTACCAAGTAACGTTGTAATTTGCGCTAAATACATAGTTGGTTGTCCTCACCCGTGTTCTCATTCACAACATAACTAATCATAAAATCTAAGACGCTTAAATTATGTAATAGAGAATTGACCTATGTAGATATTTGTTGGAAACGTGGAATTAAAGAAAAAAATATCATGAAATATTCACCTTTTACTGGTTAATTGAACAATGTTGACATCGAAAACAGTTGAAGTATCGCAACAACACAAATTAATTGGCAAGTTATTTTAAAAAGCAACATTAAAAATATACATGATTTTAAAATAAAATAAATTGTTTATAAACTAAAAGGTTAATTTTCATTGTATTCCATACAATGCAAAATACAAATAGAGACAATAGGAAGTTTAAAAATCATGCACATGAAGTGTGGTTTCTCAACTTATTTGTAAACTCCCCCCCTCGGTAATTATACATTCAAATAATCCATTTCTTGAATCGGTCTCAAGTAATATAAAACAAATTCCAGTAAATACATGTAGAATGGCTGAACATAATGCAAGCTAATCAAGTGATCACTGAGCAAATCCTTTAGATCAATAGAAAATAAGTTATTAGAGTTATACTAACAGGGCACAGAAGAACTATTTATCAATAATCTCCAATAATAATTTAAAATACATGACTAGTTATGGTAAGCAAAGATGGATAGTGGCTAGCAGTGGAATCCAGGACTCGCGTTTAGTCCTATTTTGGACTCGTCAGCTGGATGTACCTGCATCTCAGAGTTGATGTTCACTCTGGGACTCGAACCCATTCCCTTTCGCTTCAAACGCCATCGCGTTATCCACCCAGCCATTGAGTCCTGATAGCCACTTGCTTGTGCGATGGGGTGAAGTTTAAATTAAACTTAGTATTGTTTGACTAGTTATTTTCAAACAGTTAACTAGGACTTAGTGTTTTTGGCGCAAAATTATTGCCTGATTTAAAAGCATATACTACTTATTTATACACAGAGAGTAATATTTCCGATACAAACATAAAACACGATGGCTTGACAAAATCATGAATCATTCCGATGTTTCATAATTTGACTTAGAAATTGTAGACTATAAATTCGTAAGTAAAAAAATGTATCAAGTCTTTTGAATTTACAGTGATGGCAATGTCAAACCTGAGTACATAATGTTATTCAGTGAAAAGGAATCAAGTCAGTAAGGTAGATAAATAAGATTTTGTTACGACCCTGTGTCACATCTATTGTGTTTGTGTTTTCATTTAAACACCAACTCTATTTCGTCATTACAAAGCTTGCCATTAAGCCGCAGATCTTAGGTGAAAGCTATTTCATCTTAATGATGGTTTTTAAAGAAATAGTTTTAATAATTCTTCCCATTTGTCAAGTCCAATTCATCATTTACTTCACATTTATGTTTCATTCTTTGCTTCATTCTATTACGTTCAGCTCTGGAAGAACTAGGCGTCAAAGATATCGTTTCAAAAGAAAACTTAGCTCAGAGAAGGAAGAGTTACCAAAACGTCCTATTGTATCTGGTGGAGACAGTATTTAATATCACAATTGATTGATCACTGGGTGGTGATCAATGTCATGCGTGTCAAGTCCTTCTTAGTGCTGATCGAATGCTATCGATGAAGTTGTAATATGGCCACTAGCCTTGGTGGCTCGACACTGCGTGCACTATGTTGAGGTAAGATAGTGGTTGGAGGTGGTCAACAGGAAACCCTGGACCCGGGTTTCGTGCTACTTGGCACTCGTCAGCAAGGTGTACCTGCAATCTTGAGGGAACTGGTGCTCCCTGACGGATTCGATCCCACATGCAGAACTGTTTAAAGTTGTGTGTAGTGTTGTTTTCAACTCATATGGTGGTTATTATAATGATCATTTTTGGAACAAAGCGGTGTTCTGATTGAAGTAAGATAACATATTAGCAAACTGGATAGAATACTACTAATGAACATAATATATCTGTAATATCTCAATGAATAGAAAAACTAAATCTGATGTTTCGTGTCTCATTGTAAGCCACTTCTTCAGTGAATACATGGATAGAATATTGTTTACTTACGATAACTTAAAATATGAATTTTATGACTGCGAAAGACTTTGGACTACGATTAGTGCAAAAAACGTTTGTCAAGCTAGATCTGTGCTGTGTGAATTAAATAAATATAAATCAAATCTTCGATATTCAATTGATCAATGTTTGCTCATCTGCTTTCATAAAGTTTCAGAAAGCATTCAGATTAACAAAATTTTACAAACGAATAAAAATATATGTTCAAATTCTTACACTTGGATCATGAAGATGATCAGCCGTTTTTGATGTACTTGTTGGAGATTTAGAATTTTTAGCGCTTTTCTTTGGATGAACCAAGCTAATAAATTCACCTTCAAGACTGCGCCATTGGAAAAGATAATAATTTCTTTGTTCTCTTCGCCAGGTGAATGGAAAAGTTCCATTTAAATCAACCATATGATATAGTTTTACACCAACTGGTTGACCACACATACCTGAAAATCAAAAACACTGAATGTCAAAAACTCTAATATATGTGTAAATTATTAGGAAACGATTACACAAGGTGAAGATGTACACTAATTACTGTTTAATCATTTAATTAAATCGAATCAACTGAGCAATTCTAGTCTTTATTAAATCTGTCGCAAAGAGATATAAACAAATTGTTTGCGAAATACGTTTTTCAGGACTCCTAAGCAGTGGGTATAAATGACATTTCTTAGAATCCATTCCAGAATACTTAGGGTATTTAATGCTACCGACAACTTTAGACGATTGCTTAAAGGTCTAATAGTCCAATTTCTTGTGTTCGGTTAATGAGACATTAACCCAATTATACCTGTGTAACTGCTTCTTTCTAGAATTAGTCAACAACATAAAACTTAGAAAATTATGTCTAAAGCATAATCTTTAGTAAGGACATGGTTAAGTGTTTAGTGATTAGTTTGACTTCAAGATAATGTTATCTATTGACTGATGCCAGCTAGACAATTAATAAAAGTTAAGTAGCATCGAAATGTTTACTCTTAATAGTTTAAGGCCCCTAAGTAATGAGCACTCTAGACCTTCAAATCTCTCGGTGAACAGGACATAGAAACCGTTGATTCTGCTGTTTCGAAAATTCAATAGAAGTCAGTTCTCCTTTTTTTTACTACAGCTTGATTATGATCACGAAAAAATTGAGGACTATATACTAAAAGTTGTTGATTATTAAACATAGTTATAAAAAAATATCATTTTACATTACTGTAGAGTTACAGTGCACTAAATAATCGACGAAATCAAGCAGATTTATAACATAATACCAATAAATAGTTTACGTTGCATAAATTCAGTAATAATACAACCTTTTGAGTCAACGCGAAGTATTATCACTACGCAATTTACTCAGGACTAAATCAGCTGAGTAAACTACCTAATTTTATTACATTTTCTGATCAATTTTTCAGGCATTCTGTTGTAAAGACGTAATCGATTTCCAGCACTTACTTAATTTCACATCTTCTTTGTCTTCATCATACGTCGGACAACTTGGATGCTTGTCAATAGCTTGTTCAACAATACGCTTTAATGCTTCTTGTGAGAGGGCATAACCTGCACCTCCAGAGAAATAACCATTTTTTGTAAGGTACTATGAAAAAATCAATACAAATATATCTTGTTTATAAATAAATAAAAGAAATAATTAGGTTGTATTGTTAGGTAGTTTGAAGCTTGATTTCTCTGATAAAATCTCACTCCTGTTGTTATTATCGTGTAGAATGATTTGATTCGATTCCCAGTAAGTAAAACATTATAACTTAAAACGGTTACAGAGTTCTGAAGTTAACAAATATTCGTTAGTTTGCTGATGTTAACAATGCAAATCCAGATTATTGGGATTATTAGAACTCACTATCTATAGATTAACGGCATACATTTCTAGTTTCTGGAAATGTAATCAAGTAAATGACTGATTGTCAACTTGTTGTTTATGTTCAGGAGAGTAAGAATCTTTATTTAACTGATAGGTGACTCTTTAAACAGAGATGCAAAATTATTTATATTCGCTCTTAGATATTATACCAAATATCTAAACTAATATGCCTGTCATTAGATGCTTCTTCATGTCAGAATGAAATGTTTATTTGACTTTATACTTGATAATGGACTGTTTGAACTAATAATTTTTTGACTAAAGCAGATCTATAGCGCAACTTTCAAATGTACACAAGCTAAATAAGTCAGAGTAAGGGTAGACTGAAGTGTCTTCAAAAAGTAAATTAGAACCAGTATACTATGTATAAACTAATGCGTTTTAAAACAAAGACAATTCAACAAAGAACAGAATTATACAAAAAGAGACTGGTATATTTCATATACAAAAATATTCTGACAGTTGATACAACCTATATATTGAATTCTAGATTACAAACCCTAATAGTGGTGTTTCATAAATATTTTATAAAATCCGCCGGGTTTACACTTGACTCTTCACTCTTTTACATGGTTACAAAACATTAAATTCTCAATGTCATAATAACTCTTACTACTGTAAATCTTATTATCCAATAAACTGAAAAACGAAATCTTCATCCAAAGGTTTGTAATTCATAGGTCTAATTTCACTTGGTGAAGTATAGTGTAGACTTATGAATAGTTTTAATGAAAGAAAATGTTTTATGTGATTTCTATTTTTGATCGTTTGCGTTGATTGAGTTGCTAAATTTTAACATTTAAAGATCATATTAACTTTTGATCAATAAATTAGCGGAATAAACCCAATTTATCTGATTTCTAATAAATTTAGATCATTAAAGACGGATTATCAAACAGATTACCATAAAAATAATCAACTGAGTTGTGAGTAAGCATATGTATTCACCTTTGATCATATAGATACCAGTCGTACATTTTATCTATTGACCGAGTTTGGCAATATTTAGTAATTCTCTAAATTATGTCAGTTAGTGATAGAAGCTATGGGAACTAACCATTTATAAATTGATTATTCAGACAAACGACTCGCTAGGTCGAGTTATTCTTTTATGTTGGATATGCTAAATATGTCTAGGAAAGAATAATATTGTTGAATGCAGAGGTTGTTTTTTTCTTATATTTCCGTATTGTTTGTATGAAAAGATTTTACTAATAATTTGAGTTATTAGATAATTTCTCCTAATTATAAAAACACAAAATAGGTCAGGTAAGTATAAAACAGCTAGAAGTGGAATCCGGGACGCGCGTTTCGTCCTATTTGGAACTCGTCAGCTGAATGTACCTGCATCTGAGTTGGTGTCTACTCTGGGACTCGAATCCAGTATCGTTTGCTTCAAACGCCATCGCGTTATCCACGTAGCTACTGAGTCCTGGATTCCATTGCTAGCTAATATCTATTTTTGCTTATAAAGTTTGTGAATTAAAGCAATATCGAGGCAATACGCACAGTATGTACATATGCCAACAAGAAATTGATCAATTACAGTCCTGAATATCAATGGGAAGATTCAAGTTAACAATACCAAAAATAACCCTATTTATAATAACCTATACAAGTCTTACGAATAATTTTCATTAGTTAGACTTCATAAAAAATATCATCACCCGAGTATTTATTTTATATCACACAACCAACAGACTATGACAAACACTTATCATTTAAGCACAGACTTAATTTAGTTTTAACAGCTCTACTTAAAAACTTAATGCAGCTCAAAACTGAGTGGCTTCTTAAAACGTTAGCTATATCACCAAGACATGTCTGAAATCTTGAGAGAATTAGCACTCTCTACAAGATTTTGATAGTTATTAAGAGAGGGAGAGAGAGAGTAAAAGTGGCATTGTTTTAGATAATACAAGACTGAAGTTTTACAAAAACTTTCGTACTCTGGTCAATAATATTATGTCAACCACTCTTACTCAAAGATTATGTAACTAGTATTGTTGCTTATGATTATTTCAAGTTTATACCTTCATAATAACTGATAGAAGAGCGATCGTTTATAAACTACAAACTTAAAATTTTCAGATCACGTTTATTAAATGAGCTTTTGTCACACAATCATCGTTGAAAACTGGAGGAAATCATGGATATAACTACTGTTATGTATTATGAATTTTCAAAAGTTCAAAAAATAATCGAACTTACAGGAAAATTATAACCAATCATAAATGGATCTTTAGGATTATGCTGATGTAAAACAGATCTTAAATTCTCCATGATTACAAAGGTATCATCATCTGCTTTTAAAAAATAATCATAATCATTTCGATATTGATAGACATAACGAAGAATTGCTCGCATTTTACTCCACAAATGTTGACGACTTTCTGGATAACTTAAATTTAACTCTAAAAACAAAGAAAATTGTTAAATGTTAGTTTAGTAAAAAAATAATAAATAGTTTGAAATGAATATAACCATATTGTTTGTTAGCCTATAATTTCTGCCTTAGAATAAACACGATAACAATTCGGCAAATGCTATTTAACAGAGAGCCGTTGAGGAGTCCCATATTAGGACGAAACACCCGTTCAGTGCTTTCAAGTTTTCAATGGTGATTTAGTTAAGATCAATTCACAAATTAGCGATACTAGAAAGAATAATTGTCTTTATTTATTTTCACAGCTTTTCAACATATTGAAAAAGATTCGGTGATTTTCACATGGTAATTCAAGAAATGACTTAAGTAGAACTGATAGACTTTAGTGAAGTTTGTACTGAGTTTAAAATGAATTTTAAAATCTTAATGATATTAGAAGATCAACTAGGCGAACAAAAGTATTCAAAGGAACTTTTTTATGAAATACAGTGCTAAGTCTTTTTGTAATCGCATTTTCCATTCTCAAATTCAATCTTGTGATCTTACAATTTGAACTTTGAATTTGAGCTTCATAATGAATTTCAGCATTTTCATACAAGTTCATTCGGTTGAAAAATCTTGAATACAGAGAAACTTGCATTTTAGACTCGATTGTTTGTCATTACCAGGAAAATTACGAAGAGTAAGTGTAGTCAGGTAATATCAAGGTTTTTACTTAAAGAAACAACATGTCAATAAAGGTTTACTATTTCATTTCTCAATCTCATTAGTGAAAAAATTCAGATGATGAAATAATGATAAAAACGAAATTAGTCAGTAGTCAGAGTATATTTACAGTCATTCATCGAAAGGATGAATAGCAACTGGAAACAACTGTAAAGGATTGCCTAGGACAGAGTTCGATGGAGAATGCTGGTAGACAACCTATGGTCCTTCATGAGGGATAACAGGCGTACGTAGGTATATTTACACTATTTGAGTAGATGGTAGAACATTTCACTTACAGTAAGAAATTACGTAATCTTAATCTACTGAATAGTATCTGTTCCGTAGGATTTTTTCGTAACTATGTGTAATCATTTGGACTTATTACCGATGTCAGATTTTGAAGTGTTCGAAAGAAGTTAGGGCAACTGTATCGCTAGGAATCTTGAGATCAACATTTTATTACAAAATGTGATTTAGAATTTATTTGTGCATTTTCACAACTGATGGATTTGAATTCGACGGAATTTATGGTCACTACTCTTGATTTTTGTTATTCTAACCAAAAGTTTTATTAAACGAAAATTAAATATTTAAAATTCTGTAAGCGAAAATGAAAAATTTGTTGTCAATGTCACATGAGCTCTAATTCCAGGGAAAAGTATGGAGTCATTGAGAGTTTTTTCTTCAACAGCACTACTTTACACCTTAGGTCAGTTGAATCCATATTGCGATTGTAGTTTCAAACTCAATAAATAATAAGTACTGTTGTACAGTGATAATTTATTAGAATTTTTCAGTTCTTATCATTGTAACAGAGTTCATGAAAATAAAATGTGATTTCGTAACTGAAAAGTATACAGATTGAATGTATCAACTTATTTGTTACAAAAGTGGTTTAAAATAAAGTTTTGAACGGATGTTACAGGATTTATCATGACTGGAAAGATCTGTAGCTTTTCACAAAATGTGAATGCCTGATAAAAATTGTATATATAAAAGTAACTTTGTTAACTGTATAAGGGCTTTGTGAAAATTACAGAAATTTCGTGGTTTTAATTACAAACTGATTTTAATTGGATCATCATTGAAAAACCAGGAAGCTGTTGACAGCCGTTTCGTCTCAGTAAGGGACTTTCGTCTAGATCGTGGACCCACACTGTTGAGGATTGACATATTAGTACAAATTAACTGTTTAGTACTACCTGGATTTTGATGATGGCCAAATCAAGATCAATTTGTGATTTAAACTAATGTAGACTTGTTAACTAAACAAATCAAATTTCATAATAAGCATAGATGGATAGTGGCTAGCAGTGGAATCCAGGACGCGCGTTTCGTCCCATTTGGGACTCGTCAGCTGGATGTACCTGCATCTCAGAGTTGATGTTCACTCTGGGTCTCGAACCCATTCCCTTTCGCTTCAAAGGCCATCGCGTTATCCACTCGGCCACTGAGTCCTGATAGCCACTTGCTTGTGCAATGGGGTGAAGTTTAAATTCACTTAGTACTGTTTGTTTGAATCTTCCCATTGATGTTTTAGGACTGCAACTGGTCAGTCTCTAATTGGCATATGTGCATACTGTGCATACTGATCAGTTACAGTCCTAAAACATCAATGGGAAGATTCAAACAAACAATACTAAGTGAAATCCAAACTTCATAATGTTTAAAGTTCCATTGAAATTTAAGTTTTAGCTTAACAAACAAACCGTAAAATAAAAATTAACTATAAAAAAAGTACTTGATCTTTATATAATCAAATACACATTAAATTATTGACCGATCAAAGCAAATAATTTATATGAACTAAAGGGTAAAAATTTATAGAACTAGACGAAACCAAGTCACATAGAAACTAAAATTCCATAATGAGAATTTTTCTAACTTACTAACTGTTGGTAATTCCTTGTCATATACACTACTCATAAATATATATTTTGTACAACGTTTTGCCCAAGTATTTTTAGCATAAATAGCTTTGGTTTTATGTGTTTTCGGTATTGTATTAATGTAACATAATATACGAATAGATGAACGTAATTTTTCAGCTTCTTCTGTATTCAGTACTAAACAATAATATGAAAACAACAAAGAATTATCATATCAACATTGATGTAGTATTTGTCGATATACAATTTTCGTGAGTTAAAGATTAGTTTTAGTATTTGAAAAATTTGTGGTGTTTACTTCATTGTGAAGTCAAGATAAAGTATATCCTGGGTCCGAATCTCGTGAGTGCGGGATCGTGGATGCGCACTGCTGAGGAGTCCCATAATGGGACGAAATGGACGTCCAGTGTTTCCAGGTTTTCCATGGTGGTTTAGCTTCAATTGACTCACGCTTTAAACTATGAAACATACTAAATCTCCACAAAACCCATTCTGATAATTAATATCCTGTGAATTGTGCAGATTAACTACTGATAAATGATGTTTTCAAGATGACAAAGTAAAACATCCGAAGAGATCCGAAGAGAAGACTGATTTTATAAGAACTAGCTTTTCTATAATGTATTCCGAATTGAGAAAAAATCAATGAAATTTGAATCTACTGTAAAGTATCTGAGAATTGCCTGAATAAATTCCTCAGAATAATTTGTTTGCTTTTATTATTCATCGGTGTTTTTTTGTCCTGCCTTTAGTATCAAATGAATCTTAAAGTGAGTTTTAAAATATGACCGTCAGGCCTCGTAAATTAAATATATTTACTGTTGAATAGCTAGTACTAGTTGAAAAAATGCAATATCTGAAGTAATTCTATGGACTATTTGTGAATAACAACATGAGATGATTTTATCTGATGCTCATTTGTAGATTTTAACTAGCATTGAAACCAGATTTTTAATCGGAATCACACATCTTTAATTAACCAAATATGATCATTATAAACTGTTCAGAAAAAAATAATCTGTAGGATACTTGTTTAATTGGAAAGTTGAAGTTTCATAGTAAAATAATTTAGTTCGGAACGAATTCATAGAAAACATTCAGTTAATTATTTCATTTAAGCTTAAAAATAAATGCCAAGAAATTCATTTTGTTTAATTAGATACTTGAAAACATTCGAGTTATTCAACTTGATGAACTTGATGAACACACAGTGTTATATCCCGAAGAGAATTATGAATGGTAACATTTGAGAACTATTTATGGACCATTATGATATGTATATTTCCTATTGTATAATTGTTAAGTAACTTAGCCATTCATATTGTAGTGAACAGAACACTGGTTGGGGACAATCGAATGTATTTAAGCAAAGATTACAGACTATCTCAGTAAATTCTGATAACCAAACAATGAACAGTCAATTTGCAAATTAATAACCAATTGTTTCAATCTTCACCGTTTCTTCTCTAATTCCATTGCTCATGCATTTTCCAAACGATTGCTTCATTTCAGTTCTTTCCTCATCGGTCTTCTGCCAAAATACATTCTATGTCTGACCCACGCCATATACTACTTATATGGATATAAGTAGACAACACCACAATATTCATGTTCCCTTTATTATGAGCTTTATTTTGATCCATAGACTATTATTGTACGATTTACCATTCCTGAGTTATGCTCAGTCTAATAACTACTGTTCCCCCTATTTACAGTCACATTTGACCAACTGTCGTTTCTTATTTTATGGTACGATGTGGTCTGTCTGGTTGGTATATAAACCCTGTATGTTTGAGGATAATGATTCATACTGCAGAGGCTGTTATTGGTGTTCCGAACTTAACTGGCTAGGCTAGGCAGAAAGCAGGACTGACAAGTGCTCTAGACTGCTCACACGGGTTTCCGTGTATCATTGGTCCGATCAATAAATTCACTGCTCTCCAATTGGCGGGAATCATCACGTGATATATTAGCAGGTCACTCAGGTCACTCTATATAACACAGTATAAATTTAAAGAATTAATACCCTAATACTTGAATAAAGATGAAAAAGTAATGTATTTTATTGAGTTCGAAATATATTTCATTACGTAGTTGGAAAATTTATATTTATTATATTAAAACTTAAACATGAAAAGATATTAAGCTCCACGCTGATAACCCACTAGTATGTAATGTGTTATAAGTAATTGAGAATTTTTAACCTATTGCACTTCACTGGCAATTCATTAATTATCAGAAGGGGTTTTGTGGAGATTTAGTATTTTTATAGTTGAAATAGTGAATCAATTGAAGCTAGACCACCAGGGAAAACCTGGAAGTACGTCTGTTGTGAGATATCAACTCACTAAAGACAATTGTGAACGGTTGCTCAACTTCGTGGACTGGTTGGAATTAAACATAAACACCATTGGATGCCGACTCAGTGGTCTATCTGTTCAGTGCTCTGGTGCGAGACATTGCGAAACATTTGGTTGAAAGTGGTCATAAGGTTGACATCAAGTCACCGTTTGTAGTGTTGTACAATAGCCTTCAAGGACATATAATAAGTTCACTTAGTATTAGCATATGATTCCCATTTAAACATTAAAATTCAAATTAAAACACGAAGTTCAGCGAAGGGATCTATTTTCAACGAATTTATTATCAAGCTTAGAATCGTATATATATGAAAATGTTTTATTAAAGTACTAATTCCGTGAGGAAATATGAACATTAATAACCAAGATTATAATAAGATGATTAGAATGAATAAAATGTTTTGGATACAATAATTAAAGGTCATAGAGGTCTAAAAATAAATAAGATGATATGATGAGTATTCATGAATAAAATAATGAGAATATAAGACATAAGTAAATGGGAAATGGAGTAATAATAATAATAGAATAATAATAATATTAAACTCCGCCTGTAGCTCCTCTGGGGGTTACTGCCGGTCTCATGCCCGGGTAAAGGAGGAGGGTTGAGCATGGGGTTAGCGACCCCATCCCGTAGAAAATCAAGTCGCTAAAAAAACGTTAACCAGAAAAAATCATTCAAACCATTCAAACTCTGCCCTGGGAGTAGAAGGAATAATTATGACGTCTCATGATTAAAGCCGAGTTCCTTCGGAAGTCATGAGGCCGATGCACCTTCTTACAACCAGAGCGACAATTTTTATAGGTACATGGAATGTCCGAACTATGTGGGAGACCGGAAGAGTCTTCCAAATTGCTGCAGAAATGGGAAAATACAACCCGGAGGTTCTTGGAATCAGCGAAACACATTGGACGCAGGTTGGACAACAACGATTGTCTTCAGGAGAACTTCTGTTATACTCCGGTCATGAAGAAGAAAATGCCCCACATACACAAGGAGTTGCATTGATGCTGTCCAGAAAAGCACAAAATGCACTTATAGGATGGGAATCTCATGGACCAAGGATCATCAAAGCTTCCTTCAGAACAAGGAGAGAGGGCATTACAATGAACGTCATCCAATGCTATGCGCCTACCAATGACTACGATGAAGACGCTAAAGACCAATTCTACGATAGGCTGCAGTCGATCGTCGAGAAGTGCCCAACCAAGGACCTGACAATTCTGATGGGAGATCTCAATGCTAAGGTTGGAATGGACAACACTGAATACGAAGACGTCATGGGACAACATGGACTGGGAGAAAGGAACGAAAATGGTGAGAGATTTGCAAACCTATGTGCCTTCAATAAACTGGTCATAGGTGGCACAATATTCCCACACAAAAACATACACAAAGCCACTTGGATTTCACCGGATCACACTACACAGAATCAAATCGACCATATCTGCATCAACAAAACGTTCAGGAGGACGATGGAGGATGTGAGAACCAGAAGAGGAGCTGATATAGCATCCGATCATCATTTGCTGGTCGCCAAGATGAAATTAAAACTCAAGAAGCAGTGGACAACGGGGCGGACAACATCACAAAAGTTTAATACGGCCTTATCCAGAAGATACAAGTGTTCATCAACAGCTGTCTACGCGAAATACTTCGGATCCGATGGCCAGACACTATCAGCAATAAGTTACTGTGGGAGAGAACAAACCAGATTCCAGCAGAGGAAGAAATCAGGAAGAAGCGCTGGAAGTGGATAGGGCACAGTTTGAGGAAATCACCTAATTGCGTCACAAGACAAGCCCTCACATGGAATCCTGAAGGTCAACGGAGAAGAGGAAGACCAAAGAACACATTACGCCGAGAAATAGAGACAGACATGAGAAGAATGAACAAGAACTGGAAAGAACTAGAAAAGAAGGCCCAGGACAGAGTGGGTTGGAGAAAGCTGTTCGGCGGCCTATGCTCCATTGGGAGTAACAGGCGTAAGTAAGTAAGTAAGTAATAATAATATTAAGGCGATGGTAACGATAATGATAAGACGTACTTCTTTTGTACGCATAGTTCTGGTTTGAGCTCACGGATGGGAGTTTGGTTTGATACGAAGAAATCTAGGTAGATTTGAATGAATCATGTAAACAACCTTAATTTCAGACTGTGAATCCGTAGAATAATTACAGTCGATTGAGTGTTCAAGTATAAAACTCCTTACTATTACTTGTTTGAATCTTCCCATTGATGTTTACGTATACTAAGGTTTATTGAAGCATTGGCTATACGGAAATTGAAACCCCCTTTATGTGTTCAAAAACAATTTGTTCTTACCATTAACCTACCCTGGTAATTCTGATTTATTATCCAGAGTGGTCATCACATTGTTCTTGTGTACTTTATTTATTTTCTTTCTTTGTTAAGGCTTACCTTAACCTGTCTAGTTAACCTTTTATTTTTCATATAAAAATGTCTTAACAAGTATATGTGTGATCAGATTGTTCGAAATATATTGCGCAAATATATCATATAATTACGATAAACTTCGTCTTCTCATTACATTATCGACATTCATCAAAGGGACTAATTGTTTTAAATTGCAAAAAATTATAATGTTTTTTAATCATCTTAAAATAACATTACGACTAGTAATTTTTCAAAAAGTACTTAATTTAAGACTATAAAGTGAAAAACTGTGGTAAACATTGATAATCAGATAGCTCTTTAACACTACATGCCTCTCTATTCTTTATTATTTTGTTATTGGTCTATAATAAATATATTCTGCCAAAGTCTCATGTAAATTTCAAAGTAATTATCAAACATATCTTAGTGAATCAGTGAGAATTGGATTTCATAGTTTAAAGCGTGAGTCAATTGAAGCTAGACCACCGTGGAAAACCTGGAAGCACTGGACGGCCGTTTCGTCCTATTATGGGACTCCTCAGCAGTGCGCATCCACGAACCCGCTCTCGCGAGATTCTAACCCAGGACCTACCAGTCTCGAGCCGAAGCCCTTAACCGAAACTGGTAAGTCCTGGGTTCGAATCTCGTGAGTGTGGGTTCGTGGATGCGCACTGCTGAGAAGTCCCATAATAGGACGAAACGGCCGTCCAGTGTTTCCATGTTTTCCTTGGTGGTCTAGTTTCAATTGACTCACGCTTTAAACTATGAAATATACTAAATCTACACAAAAACCCCTCTGAGAATCAGATTTGTTAAATAAGAGTTTTTGAGCATAACTTACAGTAAGTTTGTTTGACCGCTTTATTTAGGTCTGATTGAATTTCATATTGTTTTCCTATCTTAGAATGTAAATCAGCATGTTTTTTTCTGGATTTATCATTTGTACATAGAATAACTTTATTTTCATATTTAGATTTTAGTGAGATAACAATAACTCCTGTCATAATTCCAACAAATAATGGTAAAAATTTACGAGTTTCAAAAAACATAGTAATAAGGATATTCAGAATTCTGTGCTTTCCGTATAAATCACAACAGATGATGAAGAGTATATATACATATATCTACATAATTTTGCGATATATTCAGATTTACGGAGGCGAGGGGACAAAGTGCAATACTTTGATTTAAATTTAAAGAGTTCTGGTAATAGGTTGATATATCATTTCATACATTACTAAGTGGAGATTGATTAATTTAGTCATTTATGCAACTTCACATGATTTGCATACTAAGATATAGATGATTTTCGTAAGTTCCATAACTAGGTTATTCCTAGATATCTATCAATACCTTACAATGAATATATATTGTTTACATCTCTTACAGTAATCGTAGTGTTCATACTGAATGATTTTATGCAATTTGAGCATACTTCTGCATTATGTAACCAACGACTGAAACACTTTAAAAAGTATCTATCATGAAATGACAGTAATTCATCGTAACGAAGACATGTTCAGAGGCTTAAGTCATCAAAACTCAGTGTAATATAATTTATAAATTCAGCATACTATCAACATAAACGTGGAATTTATTCAGTCTTTATGTAATAGATATTTATGAAAAGTTTTTATAAATTTTCGAATATAGTTTAATGTATGTGGAGAAGAAATCAATGATAAAATTAAAAGTCGATCAAGTGAAATTTCATTTTGATGATAGGATGTTTCTTCACGTAAAGTGTTAACCTATTGAATTTGGTTTTTATAAAGCTGGGTAGTTATACTATCAGTATGGTTCTTTTTGAGTCTTTCTATTCACTTTTATTCGGTGTGCAGTTGCATATGCCTTCATTTCATAATTCATATCAGAGTTTGTTTCAATATATTTCCTGTTTCCAAAACTCCAAACATAAGTTTATCAAGGTCAACATCCTAACTTGAAACCATTAACCGCGTTATTTATCACTGGTTATACTTGAATATGTATTTGAAATATATGTAAACCGAAACAGAAAAATGAAGACTGTTTGTCTAAGTCATGTGGATAGGTTTTTTATACACATGGGTGCCGATTTAGCTTATATAATTGTTTGCTTAAGTTAGAGCTTTAATGATTCTGATGTTAGCTAAAAAAAATCTTATCTGTGAGAATGTTCATACACATAAAAAGATGTTTTAGTATGATTGTAAACTGAATAACTGGCCCTCTATTTCAACTAATAACCGATCAGTTACGTCAATGAATTTTTGGAGATAGGTATAATAAACCTATTTTGTTAATAGTTTTCGATATGACTTGAATTTATTTCGTCAATTTTCACAGTCTGTACATTTACCACAAAACGATTGTACATGTTGTTTAAGTATATGACCTTGGACACACACTTTTCCGTTCTGTACTACTCATTGCTTGACACACGTTGTTAATCGCTTGTAAATACACCACTATACACACGCTCTTGTTCTCCATTGCTTGTATTTACAATAACTGCACTCTGAAACACCTATCTACTACATTATAGACTGAGGCAACATTTCCATTATATTCTACGTTTAGCTATATTACTCGAGCCATATCAACTTCACTGGAATTATTAATTATCTATAATCGTGGATTCTGGTACCAAACGCAAGTGAACACGCACCAGCCTGCTGACTTAAGTAACGTCCCTTAACTTTCGTTTGTGTTTATAAATTATAATTTGTATACTATAATATTAGCATTTAGATTTATTAACTTTATTGCTATTTTTGAGTCAATATACTTTTTGGTCCTCCACAAATTCAGAACACGAAAGGTCACGTGAAAAAGTGTATCAAAAATAAACTAGAGTCTCTGCGTATTCTTAATTTTTGAACTACAACGTAATTAAAGATAAATATATCAACTGGTCGATCACACAGCATCAGTTTATATATGATCCACAGAAACTTACATAACCTGAGTCCCTCCATTTTATTGTTACAGCGATCTCACTTGACACTATATTAAGGGGTTATGGTGAGTCAGATAAATTGTAACACATGCTTTATCAGCTGGGGTTCGGTGAGGACCTGAACCATGCTTACAAACACAAAGCAAAAAGTCAAATGTTATGCATGTAACTAGTATATTATATGGTAGGTCCAGCGAAAAAAATTGAATGGACAGTAAGTATCCAGTGATATACGATATCCTCATTGTCAAGAAAACCGTTTATCAAATGTCATTTTATTTACACCAGCTGTAGAAGATGAAAAATGACTATGATTATTTAATTTGCGAAAAGTCTAAGTTTAACATCCTCTTTCAAATTCACTTAAGTTATATCCTTTTTCACTTTAAACTAAGCATAAATTTACCATGAAAGATCTCTTATTCTGACAAAACTGTTGATTTACTTCTCCATCTCAAAAATAAAGGAATTATATTAAAGTGTAGGGAGTAGACTAACTATTTATCCTAATCAAGTCTTCTTATAGAGTTCTGATATATGTGACACTGTGAGTCACTCATATTCTCATGATCTTTCACATATGCCAAGGAATGTGAATAGAGAATACTGATTGCCTCAATGTTAGAGGATTATGATACTGAGTTTGAGATGTCAGGTCAATGCGTTGTTTGTATGAATTAATAATTCCTTTGTACTTGATGACTGCCTGATTTTGAGTTCCAAATACAATACGTTCGTTCGTGCTCATCTAGTTCTTCTTGGTCTAAAATGCTTTATTTCTGGAATTCCTAGTTAGTACAATAATTCAAATACTTCTATTCGTCACTGTCAACCAGACATCATAAAACTAGCCTTAAACAAATGAAAGTTTACCGTTAAAAACTGGACTTTCGAAGATAGTAGTAAATGGAAAATAAAGAAGCTTTCTTATTCCTTTAGAACAAAGCTGAATTTCACTTAAGACTTTACATTTATGAGAGATCATGCAAATCAGGATATTTTTGATTTTTAGAGTCTCAAACTAAACAACACGTCGGTCACCGTGTAAAATTCTGGGACACCAATCGGCGGAAACACACGTAGTTGATTGTAAATAAATAAAACAATCACGTGGTTAGTATCTGAGACATCTCACTGTAGGCCTTTCGTGAAACCAAAAGATCGTGACTCAGTATGCTTCGTCCCAGAATGAGTTTCTTCTTCTCTCGTGAAAGTAAGTTCTTCTAGGAGATTCTGTGAGGCCGTACAGACGATCAAGATATTGCTTCCCTATCACAAAGGTTTTGAATGGAATGTATGTGTGAATAACCAGTTTTCTTTTTTAAAACTAATTATAGTTACTTGAATCTTACTTTGATGATTAACCACTACACATAAATATACATAACCATTTATATATAACGGGTTATATATAACCAGTTATCTTGAAACTTTAAATTATGCCAGAGAGGTAGACCAAATTCGCGTACTTAAGGCAGATAATGTGGTTGTGATATGTTCGGTTCTGTTTACCAGTTTTTAACAAAGCTGGTGGCAGATGTGGAACCCATTCAATACGAACTTGTAAACATCCTCGGAATGACGCTCCTGAGTTTGTCGAATACATAAAACAAATGAACGTAAATGGCAAACGTATCAGCCAGCCTAAGAAACAACCAACTCAAAAAGACCATTGACGATTCTATTTGTTTCAAAGTTAGTCAAAGAGTGTCTTTACTATTTAAGGTGACATTTATGATTTGAATAATCTTCTTTAGACATCTGATAACTACATCCCGGTAATGAATTTCAAATTATTGGTTGTAAGCAAACAAATTATTAACTTTATGGATGGAGAAATGACAAGAAAATATAATGAAATTATAAGTAGATCTATGGAAAACCCTTTTGGAAAAGCCAGATATCTAGCTTCATAGGTGGGACCTCATTAGTCGAATACGAAACTCAACTAAATCCCCGCTTCATGGGTACGAAAAATTTGTAGTCACGAGGTTATAAATAACGAACTGAACGTCAATGAGAAACTGCTTATCGGAGAAAAATATCTATCGGTATTTATTGACAAAGATATAAAACTCACATCTCCTAAATCAAAATTAACATTCATAGAGTAGAAAATACTTTATATGAACATCCATTTCAAAGATGAAGTAGCCGTCGACATCCTAAAGAGTAGAATTTCCGACTATCTTACTAAAACGTTTTTCGAAGCAACCTTGAGGTTAGTGTTCTCTAGCTGACCAATGTTCGATAACAATCTATAGATCATCTCATCTCATATAAACAGTACTGCGTCCATCAGTTAACCTGTTTTTGTGGAGCCAGGTATATAAGTCGACAGATGAGCATTTCATCCAAAAGATTGAGATCATGAGTCAATCAATGTACGACCACCATCGAAATCTTAGAAGCACTGGATGGACATTTCGTTTCAGTATAGGAATCCTCAGCAGCGCGCATCTACGATCCCATGCGCGGGATTCGAACTGAAGACCGTCATTCTCGCACTCGAACTTTTATTCATCAGGCCGTTGAGCTTGCATGCAACGGCATTAATATCTGACTTGAATGGTGATCTAACATTGAGCGATTGGTGATCTCAATTAAAAGTTTACAATCTCTACTACACTGTACTGATCATTATCCAGAAGACTTCAAGAACATTACCTGGACATGGCTGAATAAGAAGCCCAATAACCGAATACCTTACAAACACAGGTCATTCGATCAAAACAAACCCTACGTTTAAAGTAGTCTACGAGAGAGGCAGTATGCTAACAAACGCAGTTATACACCATCTTTTTATCATTAACGGAGCACTTACTATACATTTTGAAAAGCTTGAAATAAGTGCACAAAAGAGAAATACAAACTCTTCATCAACATTAGTCTCAATCTCTCGTAATTTTTCTTCCTTCTCCCACTCTGAGCCCTCTACTTTCCGTCTATCTTCTCCTCAGAACTTTTGCTGTTGACCGACTTATTTCTCTTTCCACTATCCTCCTAAATACGGTCCGTCACAATCTCAACATTTAATTTTATCACATCGAGCCTTCCATTTCTAATTGTAATCATTTACTTATCTTCTTGCTGAATATTCAAATTTCTGACAACGACATGATCACAAGTTTACTCAACAAGAATGACATTTTTATTCCCTTACTTATTTTACCTCGGTTTTATCATGTTTATTTAACACTATATTATCCCTATAACTGTTATTATCGTCATGTTGAAAAATAGTTTCATTGTAACTAATGAATGGCTGATATTTGGTTTGTACGCAGAACCAACGAACGAAAATTAATTTGATTGAACTACATATAAGTTTTTCTGTGTAGCGTGCAAGGCCTATTTTATTGACTCGTGATAAATTAAAACAAAACACAAACTCTCTGTCGAATTTAAAAAAAGATAACAAGTTACCTAAAAAATACAAAATAATTAAAACGGTTGAGCCTGTGCTATACAGTCAAGGGTTACTTTAACACAAATTAGCGTGCTTAACAACAAAAGAAGTGGTTGATACAGAAAAGTTCAATACCTGAGAATCAACAAAAATATTCCCAAATAGACGGGATCAGATTGTAGCTGTAAATAATTCCCCAAAATCAATAGCTCATTAAGTGTTCGACACTGGATGCTAACCACGTTGTTTAGGTGGACTTGTTCAGCTGAAGGCTTTCGGTCATGCATCCGCACCAGATCACGTTGCAACACAGCGTGGGACACAGCTTCTACGTTCATTAGCCAGCTTATAGTAAAGGTTCCTCGATATATTGGTAACGTATCAAATAAATCTTTCCTACCTCTCCTCGTCTGACTTCTGGTTTCTATTCGACTGGGAACGAACGATTATAGAAGATACTACTGGTTGCTAGTTGCCAAACTAGAATATCCGTTGTATCCTCAAAATGTCTATTTGTATGAATTCCAGAAATCTTTCCTAGCAGTCAGTCAAAGGTTAATAGGTCACATAATGAATCGCTCCTCGATCTTGAGCTTAGTCATACACGATCTTATTGCCGATAATCCGGCAACATGCAACAGAAAAATGAGGTAACAAAAGGTAAGATTATACGCTGATACTGTGCAGAGCTCTTAATTTTCTAAGAAGTCTATCGATAAGAGGTGGCCACGATTTTTTGACAGTTCTTGAGAGTACTGACAAGAAGGTCCCGTAGTTTAAAGTTAGCAGAGTTTGCTCCTAATCTTGTCTCCTCCACTTATCTGGAGCCACACTGTATAATAGAGATAACAGTACAGTACACTAAAATATGCTTTCAGGATTAGAATGACTCATCTAAGGACTTGGTTTCTTTTTCTGGTATTGTGGCTTCATGCATTTATACAGTATTTTGGTTATCTTCATTGATTACTGGAATGAGGTACTGGCAATCTGGCTCTTTAGAATGATGAAGTGAAACTATCACACACAATAATTCCTAAGCAAAATAGACTACCACTTATAGGAGTTGTCTTATGTTATCAAGGAAAATCTCACCCTTTTTCACGCGCTCAATCTAAAAGAGGTCGGCACAGAATTGACCTTGGGTCTTTGATGAATGGCATATGTAGGTTGATTGACTTATGGGATATAATACTCTTGGATATGAACTGTTACCGTACTGCATGATTTTCCAAAAAAATGCAATGACGTTGGGCAGTGAACATATGCGCATGCATTCCTTAATCCCATTATTCAGTGCACTGATGGTAATATGTTCAGAGACTTCTGGGACTTAAAATGCAACAGAAGCAACAAACAGTAGCTATACGACAGTATTCGTCTGAATCCGCTTTTAATAGTTTTCAACCTTTCACACCCACGGTCGCACGAGATCTTGTTACTAAACATATAATTTGAAATTTGGTTTAAGTCTGATAGCTCTTGTCAGTAACCTCAGTATTAACTTTTATCGTAGCAAAACAACCATCATAGGGTCTTAATATTGTTCGGACATACTGGATAACATGTCGAGGTCCTTTGTCCTATACAGACGCTGGTTTACTACTGAATATTCGTGTATTTAGTCCACAGTACAGAGTATAATTAATGTTTATGAGCCAGTTTTTTTTAATACATAATTAACCTATTGTCTTAGAGATGAGTAATTTAAAATATCTAGTATATTTCTACCACTCCTGCTATCAGTTCACTAACAAATTCATAGCCATCCTTACTAATTGCACCCCAAGTCGTTTCCACATATAAGACGCGAAGAATTGATGCATCAATCTTTTAATGCTCAATACCTGGTCGTTTGGATGGTTGAGAAGTGCCCAGTACTAATCTTGAATGATCTTGAAGAAGCAATTAACGTTACGGTAGGGAACCTAAATATTCTCGAATTACCACTTAAAGTGCTGAAAACGCTCTACAGTTAAAATAAGTGAAAATATCAATGGATAGCCGTATAATTGCTCAGGGTAGCTAATCTAGGTGAGGATGAAAGCTCTTCTTTCTAATGTCTTAGACTCAGTGTGGAATTTTGACTGTGATTTTTAATTATATTCCTCCTAGTTAACTTTCATTTTTCTAAATTAACATTCACTGTCAGTCCCGGCGACTACTCTTGTTCGATCGAAAAGAAGTCGATTTACTGGACGGCGAAAGTCAGTTCTCTAAGTTGCAAGTAAGCTTTCTTTTGCTTTTATTATCTAAGTAAACAAATACAGTCCAGTTGGATTTGTCTCGCTAAATTCACATTATTTTTTTTAATGACTGGATCAGTTTATTTCGTTTCTCAAGTTAAGAAAGTATAAAATTGGCTTGCATTCCAACACTTGTATTCCAATAACTCATTGGGTTATGGTAATGGGGTGAATCATAAGCATCGTAGATCCAGTAACTTGTGCATTGTTATTGAACTGCATGTTTTTTATTTTCCTTAAAATTTAGGGACCCTACCTAACAACAAACGATTGGAAGATTTCAGGATACGACGAAAGTAACTCATTGCTTTATTGTGGAATAAACACTGAAAGTTTATCAATGAAAATCTTAACTATATCGTTTGCTAATGTTATACACGTGTGGTCTATTAGAAAGCTGATTTGTACTACTTCATAGTGTTTGGAAATCTCCATTATCAAATAAATTTTACTGCTTCTGGCGATTAAGTCATTACGAAACCTTCATCTATTAGTTAGAAGTTCCGAACAATATTATGATCTTCCATTTTGTTCTCTAACAGCCTACGGGATGAGGTCTCTGACCGCATACCCAACCCTCCTTTGTGTGGGCTTGGTACCGGCAGTAACTCTAGAAGAGCTACAGGCTGAAGTAATAGGAAAGAATATGAATCCAATATATAATAGACTATAAAAATATAAATTGATGAACTAAAAGTAAATAGAACAAAGAGTAAATGCACCTTCACCCTTGCAAACAATTTAAAGTACTGTCGATAACCATAGTTATTTTACAAATAAATTGATATTAGTTCTAATATTCCTCTCCGGCAAACGGTTAATGAATACTGATGTTATCCTGTGTATACACATTCTCAAATGTTTAATTGGGTGAAGTAAAACAGTTGAGCATTGTGGAACGACACTTCTTGATAGACCTGGAAAAGAAACTGACTTAGTAGTAATCGTGGTGACCTGGAAGCGTGACCTTATAGGTAGGGTTATAACCGCTTAAGGCCGGTTACACGGCCTTTCTGTGGGAAGTTTGTATTGTGCGAGCTTCGTACTTCAAGAGGCCTTACAGACGAAGTCAGGAATTCATGAGGTAGGATTAGTTGTATTCACTTTAGGGTCTACCTTTCCTGATTCCCCTTGATTTGTGAAGAGGCAGCATCGCTGCAGCTGACATGTGTTTGAGGTAAACATCTTGCTGCTGTCGTGTCCTACAGAAAGCAGTAAGTCTTTGCCCTCAGGCAGTAAGTTGCTGCTTTCAGTCTTATTGTTCTCCAACCAACTTGCATGGCGTGGTAGGACATAAAGGATTAACTATACCAACCAATATGGCTCAATCGTATATTCGCAGTATATAAACCCGACCACCACTTCAAGGTAACATCTACGGTCGGGAAGCACAATTTCTTTCGTAAAATGAGTTTATCTTGGAATACCTTTTCGTACTATCCAAAATGCAAAACAAATTTTTGTGAGTGTGGAGTTGTTCAGATTGTTGAATTCAGTTGAAATCATGAACCGAATTAAGTTAAACCACCATTTGAAACCTGGAATCACTTGATGGCCGTCTTATCCTAGTATGAAATGCGGCAGTGAGCTTCTACGGTCCCGCACACGGTAATCGAACTCAGGAACTTCTGTTTTTGTCTTTCAATTTGATTTAAATAGTATCTATTAATATAAAAATTAAAATTGTCAACCAAGAAGTTGCAGACTTTTAATATCTCGTCTCTTACTTCAGTTGAAATATCCAGATGTTGGTTTTCACACATACAAAAATACGGAGTTTTGTTTATTGAACAATTAAGTTTTTTTTCCTGTGACCTCGTTTTCTCACTTAGATTTTTGACATCTACCTAAGGTCTCTAAATTCCTTGAGTTAAGTTTTAAAAGTCTTTTAAAAATTAAATTCACATTTTCATTGTCGTATTTTTGGGGCACTATGGTTAGTATTACACAAAATTCGGCTATAGTTAACGTTTGTTTGACTGCTTAGTTAATTCATAGAGGAACGCCGGTGTCATGTCGTAGATGCAGCTGCAAATTCACGTTTAAATAAAGACTATCAAAAGGCACTGGTTGTGTTACACTTTATCAGGAGAAAAGCTACACACTTTTGTATCACATAATATTTACCTCTTTCCTTAAGACATAGAGCTATTTAACTGGCTGTCGGAAAGCATTATGACTGTCAGTTTATTTAATATTTACGTATAATACATGTTTCGCAAATAATGGATTATTTTTCAATACCTTGATAGACTGTTAACACCAACTGCACAACATATGGTCGTGGTCACATATGGTTTGGGGATTCTTATGGCTTTGCATGCCGTGTAGATCGGGGCTTACACATAACTTCATTCCAAGCTCACGACAGCTGTGTTCACCTAATGTATCAAATGAAGGAGCATGATTTGCTCATAACTATTGGTGTAAGTTCTCATTAAAAACTACATACTACTTTTCCACTACTCTTGTAAAAGTCCACCCTTTTAAGTCTCACTGTTAAGATTTGTTTCTCTATCTCAGTGATTTGTAGATTTATCTTTGTCTTCAAAACTGAGATATATTTTATTGAGTATCAGAAGGCAATCACCAACGACGTGATGTTTTTAATCAAGTATTTTAACTGAGTTAAGCAAACCTCAACGGTTATTTCTTTTTTTATCTCATACTATTAAATCAGTTAGTTAAGTCTTGTGTAGCGTAAAAATGTAGTCCACATAACCAACTAAGCTTAATTTTCATTCTTTTATATAAATGTTTTAAAGTTTTTCCAACCTCTTACACATTTAGACCTTATGGAGTCTATGTTTCTTCCCGATTCCAAAAGTAGACACTAGTTAAAACCTGACTGGTCCTTATATCTCCAAATATAGAGAAATAAAACTTGGGTCTAGGGCTTTCTGTCAATTATATGTAGCCAAATACCATGTAAAAGTTTTAAAGTCTACTGGAGGAAGTTTATGTATCTTACTGTAAAGTTGGATATTGAATACTTTCAAGACCTGTCTCCGATCTGCATTGTTGAACAAAGCAAATCGCCTTTAAAAATCTATGATTAGGGTATAGTTGCGTCCAGACAATCTAATCTATTAAATCTTTGACAATTACTAACGGTGAAATCGGCTTTCAAGTGTGTATCACCTTAAATATGTTAATACCTTTCCTAACATGGATTTTATATTTCACATCTATCTAGGAAGACAAAACAAAGGAGATCAATTTAAAAGTATGGAACCTTACAAAAGTAAGTTAATTTATTAACATATTCCTTTGTTGAAAGTGTGTATAATGTAGTTTTGAAAATATAATCACGATAACATAGGAGTATGTCTTTCTGATTTCGAACAACCTTTGTAACATACCTCAGAATCAAGTCAAGAAACCATATATGATAATACACGTACTGTATGTCTCTTATTATCATTGCCCAGTCCCCATAGTGAAATAGTGCTATATTTGTGAAGCGCCACTTTCAGCTTCTGGCTTCAAGGTGCGAACGCTTCCACGTACTGCTTAGTTTATCAGCCTCACACACAAGCATAGGATTCAGAGCCGAGTTCATAAACCAATGTTTGATAAATTAGTTTTATTATCACTCAACTTATTTCATTAGCTCACCTACAATGATATAGTGGACATGGTATTAATCTATAAACGTCATTCATATCAGTTGATCAGTATTACTACACGAAGATCTTTTCTTTAGATTTAGGAGCAAACTAGATTCTATTCTTAAGGTTGTAATTTGTTTAATGCGTCATAAGTAGTGTCATAGTTTTGATAGCTTCATTTTTTTTGTTCTACTTTAGTGGACAAACAAAATGACACCATTTTGTTGTCGAGTTACATCGGTAACTCCCTCTGGGCTTCCCCTTGCTTACGTAAGTTAAAGTGATCTTTTTTATTCAATGGTAAACTGTGGTTTTATGTTTATGAAGAGCTAAGAACATATTCAGCTTATCCAAAATCACTTGCTTTCATTTTACCAAACTAGTAAATCTTGTCAAAAGTATGGTTTTTCGTACAATAATTACGCATATAGTTAGCTGACCTACTTTGTATGTGAATTCATTTTTGTCTATTATTTATTCAGAGTAACCGAAAACTCCATTTACACTGTTATTATTAGTGACATTTATAAGAAAAAATTTTCACACTTATGATAATTGTGATTTTGATTTATCAAAAAAGTATGATATACATTAATATCGTGGCTACACCTACCATGGGATATCAACTTTCTTTTGTGGTTTGCCTACATCATGTACAAGCGTCGCTGTGTTATCCTGTGTAGGTGGGTTGTAGGCAAAATCTTTTGAGAGGTACCAAGCTTGATTTATTGTTTGTAAACTAAAGTCATATATGACATGATTTATATCTTCAGGTTATGCTTTTCCCTACTTCTTATACATTTTCAATGTTGTCATTAACAATACGGGACAAAAAATTTCTGCTATTTAATCAAAACTAACATTCATTCACTTTCTGATCAATTCTAGATTTATGTATCAATTGATAAGTAACATGAAAAATGACCGTTTGGCATTATGTATTTCTTACTTAAATATACTTAATTCACCTAACAAGTGGACATCTCGGAAACGTTCAGTTATTCTGATTCGTCAATTTCCAGACACCAGACGATGACAAAGAGCAACTGGTTGCAAAGTGTTATTACTGTATCATTAAAATCCTTGTTCTGACATATTGTTTATGAAATATTGCTGATCATTACTTATCATCATCACTGAATTAGAAAGGTCCTTCCAAGCAGTAGTCATCGAATGATGTTAAGCCTCCTACAACTCACACTTTACAAGCTAGACTGTTATCCTTCTTCTATATTCGTCAATAAACGCTTGGTAGATTAGCCTTACATCAGTTTTTTGGGAATGCTAAATCGCCTAAGGTAACGTATTATGGAAAAGTCAGTCTTAAGATTTACATATTAAAGTTATTTTCGTTCATTGAACTTCAATGTGTTTTGGCTGTTTTATTCACTGCAATTTTGTGCTTAAGTCTCAGTTGGTACTTTTTGTAATCAATAATTATTGAATTTAATCAATATAAAATTGAATTAATTCTTCCAAAAATATTTTAAATAAGTTTCGTCTTATGCTCATGCTTATACTTTTACTACATCTACTGCTATGGGATTTGAATCCACAATTGTATCTCTGTGGTTATGTAATATGGCACCTTGAACTGATGTACGTACGTACCAAGTTCTACGTTGTTGCTAACTGACTGACTGACTTTGTCTCATGGAGTAGCTGGAGCTCAGAGAGAAGAGACCTACTGTATCCGGCATCAGATTTTCATAGGACTTCAGGCATATTTTGGTACTATAAAGTTTAAAATTCTACTATTTTTCTATCTTTATGTTTCAACATCACACTTCTTATACTGTATCCTTATTTCTACAATCAAAAGGTTACTTGTTTGGCTATAGACGAAGGTCTTCATTATATGGTTTTGGGTCATGTGAATGGTATAGTTCAGTTATTTAAAGGAGATATCACTCGTGAAAGGCAAGTTATTGTGTAGTTAGTTTTTAATTATATTGTTTGTTTAAAAACAAATGTAGCAACTTAAGAAATTTAGCCCTGAAACAATTCTCATTTATTTTCAATCTTTCAAAGATAGTTTACTGTGAAACTTCACTGTGTAAACATTTATGAGTTGACAACTTTAGTGTTTCCAATCGAAACCGATAAAAGCAGTCAAGAATTATAAATATATCAACAGATTTCTAATAATATTAACAGTATAAAACAATATAACTTATCGATAATTTGTTAAATCTTTTGACATTCATTATATTCTATTCACTAATATTTTATTTGTTTCTTCTAGGCAGTGTAAACGTTCTATTCTCTATGAATTTCTATGTCCTGTCACTGGGTTAGGTTTATACGTCCCGAATCATCATTATCATCAGCGAAATAAACAACAAAATTATGCGGATAGTGATCTTTCAAATATTAATCAATGTTTCGATCCTATTGTTTTTGCAGCTTCAGAGCAAAGTTTGATGAGTTTCGTACTTGGTCAAAGAGAGAAAATTAAATATAAGGTAGGCTTCTGTATATTGGTTTTTTACAAGTCGGTTTTAAATCTGTTTTTTCTCCCACTTAATTGATTTGTTTTATTAATCAGTTGTATACAACGTCGGTCGCAGTATGGATGCACATTAGTGCAAGTTGTGACACCTAATAGTAAGAAAGTTAGAAAGGAAAGTTATGAGATTGAAAAGGAAAATAATTACATCAGTTGAAGTGTTAACTAAACATCATAAATTCACCGAAGTTGGATAGCGGTTAGCACTGTAATCTATTACATGCGTTTCGTTCTATTTAAGACTCTCCAGATATACATAGCTAGCCTCTAACCAACTTTACTAAAATATTTGTGTATATTCGGCAATATTGAAGCAATCCACTCCTGATTCGTACGTGTCAAATGTGACTGATCAATTACAGTCCTTAATATCAACGGAAAGGTACAAACACTTACAAAATCATAAAGTTAGTTCGGAAATAAATTATGTGATCTGAAATAAAACTCAATCAATAGAATGGGGTTGCATCATTCCCGTGGATTTTCAATCATGTAACCTATCTTTGTTTTTCTTAATATCTTATCATTTTAGTTGCAAATTCCATAGTCCTCCTCAAAACTAAAGACCATGTTTGATGTGCGAGACCTGTGATATTTTCTAGATCATACGTTGATACAATTTATATTTCTAGGAATAAATTAAATATTGTTTTAGATATGATACTTTGTTATTAGTATGACTTGGTTGTGCTTTTATACGTGTTACGTTGACATTTTCTATCTAAATTCTATTTCTTATAGAATTTTAAATAACATAGTATGCTAATGAATTTGCTTCGACAACTGACTAAACACTTTGATCAATACTGTTTCATATTCTCAGTTTCACTTTTAAATATTTTCTCTATAAATGTATGTTTAGACTGTTCTGGACCGGTTTGGAGTACGACCTCACTGTACAACTATGATATTTACTGATGATATTACTGGAGCCAGTCCTCAGTTTGCTGTGGCATGTTCAGATGTAAGTTTGTAAATTACTATCTAAAAATATCACAGAATCCGTCATTGTATAACATAAAATAGGCTGATTATGTTAGACTAAATTGTATTATGGTAATATACCATTTATTTTACAGCCATTCTTACAAGACTTAATAACTATTCATGTATATTGAGCCAACACATACACATACATCAATTATTACTGTATAATATTTTTTTTTCAAAGGCTGTATACTTCTACAATTGGGATGGTAGGGGACCTTGTTTAGCTACAGATGGCGAAAAAATTGCTTTAGAAACATACAAAAATTATTTGATTATACTGAAAAATACCGGGTATGTTATTGTTTAAATATCTATTTCCTCAATATGATTTTAGTGAGGTTTCTCTCAATCTTCTTTCTATCTGACATTATTAACAATATTTTGTACTTGGTAACAGCTGGTGAAATAAAGTCTCATTCGATGTATATGTTAGGGATCAAAATGATTTCCAGTGTAGCAAGTATTAAATTATCGGAAAACTGAGTATAATATTTTCAACATTCAAGGATATCTGTATATTGACAATCTGAAAGCAATCTGTTTACCATCAATAATTATTTTAAAATTACTACATCCCTATTTGAAATACTTTTTATTACCTATTCATCTGATATGTTTACGACATCATGGGAACTCATGAAGCATCTGAGATCTTTAGTTTATCTGGGCTACTTTTACAGACTTCAGTTAATACAGTCAGTCATACGCAATGTAGAACTAGACACACATATATCGGTTCAGGTTGCCACACCATATCAGAACAGCGAGACGCGAAACCAGTGGAAGGAGTAACAGTATCAGTGGTAGTAGAAATCTTTAGGTATAGACATTGTGATCCGAGAAAGCACTAAATCTTGGAATAAAAATGGAAAACTATAATTTCGAAACGCAGGATCTAAAGAGAGACAAGGAGTGATTACATCTACTCCATTTTGATCTGTGCCAACCATCGTCTTTGACCATTAGTTGCGATGGTCTCGCTGACCTCTTCATCAAAATAACCTTAAGATACGGGTAACTTTGTTTTGACTATATCGACGTTTTTTGACTAACCATTAACTGTTGATTATTATCTTGTTCTGTAATTCTGCCACTTAGTGATGTGGTTTCTAGTTTCATTGAAATAAAAAATTTCGATATCTCTAGTGTCCCACGCCAATAAGTTTATGGTGTTAACTAAGTTACTGAGACTGGATTCGATAATGTTATTAAAATCTAACCATTAACTAGGTTTTTGATTTAAAACCAGCCTCGCCTATTTCGGGGCAATGAATTTATCTTTCAAGCACTATATACAGTAACCCATCATAGGTAATGTTTGGCGATAGATTTATGTGTATTTTTAACTTGAGTATTGTGTAGTATCAAAAATGTCCAACCCCATCATTCTCACAGATGTATCATTTAACCTGGTAGCCAAATTGTGCTCAGTTAGTGCTTAATTATATTCACTATTTCAGATCACCGCCTTGGTTATTAGCCTTTTATCCATTTCATACATATAATTCAGTCGTTGGATATTCCATCGATCAAACATTTAAACATCACGAATAAGTTGTATTTGAATCTCCAGATTTTGTGTTTCATTCACTGAGTGTTAATGAGAAGGATTGAAATGTGTTTGATTCTGTGCTATCACTGTAATTCATCTGACTATTTAAATTTTTATATAATTCTTCACCTAACCCCATTTTGGTAACAGTGTTATTCAAAAGTCAAATACGAAATGCAACGGGAAAACTGCATTTAATCCAAGTGTGCGGTAAGCATGAGTTTAATCACACCCATTTAGATTGATTGAATTAATCAATAGGTCTATATGAATCATCGCACAAAACGGTTAATGAGATAAGTAGTAAACAAACACGTACATACATATACAGAAACGAACGTGGATATAAGCGAATAGCTATGCTCACGAAAATAAATACAATGTGATTAACACGATCAGAAATGACAAAATCAATCGTAAGTTTTTTTCATCTGAATAGTTGGGGGACGGAATTATGGAGAAGGTGACTTAGTGGTTAAGGGACTCTCAGCCACCGAGTCCCAAGTTCGAACTTTACTCCAACTATTTCGGTTAAGGCAATTCAGGTAGCTTTACTAACCTTCACACTTAGAGTGTGCCTCGTACCTAATTGCCTGGTGAATAAATTCATTTATTATGATAACAATGATTATTTTCATACTACGTACGAAACAATCAAAGGTCTTTCGCACATATATGTTAATAACTGTGGCGTGCTTCTTTCTCTTATTTCTAGAGAATCACTAGTTAATTCATACAATCCATTTCTAAACTTGTCATATAAAAATAAAGATACAAAGAAATCATTGTCATCCTCATCGTCAGCTGTAGCAACATCAACAAATACTACTGCAACGACAACGGCGACAGGAACAACACTTTCACCACCGCTTCCATCATCTCAATCATTTAATTATATCACTTCGGGTACAATTGTTATCCAAGATTATAATAATAAATTTGTTGCTGGTGAATTTCATTTCAATTACTTCAAAGCATTATTCATTGAATGGAATGGTATTTATTTATTGTGTGGAGATGAATGTTTCAATCAGTCAGTAGAAGAGACATTGAGTAATAAAGATGAGGATGTTGTTGGAACGACTTCGAAAGTTTGTGAAATTGTTTTTATCTTTATCCTCTTTGTTTTTTATATTGATTCCAAACTTTGGTTTTCATCCTTACTTCCCTGAGTTAGGATGCATTACAATTTATTCACGTGTGGGTGTTACTAGGACTGGAGATTTGTAAATATAGTTTAATTTGGAGATAGTTTATACTACAGTTTACACCTCAGGAGTAGGCAAGGCGTTGCTTGTGCACCGTGAACGATAGGGTGAGCAGGTATGTAGTTGGGCGTAGGGTACTAGTAGAAGATGGTAAATCGGTTCTGTACAAAATATTAACGGGAAAATAAGCATGAATTAATGCCATAATGAAATGAAAAAAATCAGCTCCTCAGGTCGGTCGCACTTTAATCAACTAAGACCTTGCTCATCATATCCGGCTTTGATTTTTTTAAATAGTTATGGATTGTATCAAAAATATTGGGAGCATAATTTTGAAGACTCCTTGCTTGTGTTCATTCATTGAAATCACCTTTTCATTCTCAAAGTCTTGTATACGATTGCGTTGATATTTTCTAATAGAACTCTGACAAAATATTAGTCAAACTTCAGTAAGCACACTGTAACTACTCACGCTCAGGCACTGCGAAACACATAAAGGGATAAAAGAAGTGTAATAAAGAATAATCTGTCCGTAGGAGTTCATACAATGATGGAAAAATATCTCACTAAATGCACTGCCAGCAAAATTGAAGCACCCATCAAATTGAAAAGAATACCGAAGTGTGATGATGAAAACTTCCAAAAATATTGTTTGCTAAGAATCTCACAGCACTTCATGAGACTGGAATAGGATACTTCAAAAAACTAATCACAAAATCAAGGAAGAAAAACTTGTTTTACGGTTAAGATTGTATAATTTATGGTAAAAAATAGCACCCTTTATATACCGGTTCTCTTTACAAATATTCAAATCAAATTAGTAATTGTTAGAATAAAGTAGAATAACATACTCAAATAATCGACGACTCATTTTGTCAAAATAAATGGAATGTTAAATTAAACGATTATCAAATTAAATTATTCGGTAATTTTCCTTATAATTTCTTCTTTTCACTATTGTTCAGTTAATTTCGTATCAAATTTGTTCTAGATGATTTGTTTAACTGAAAAAGATACTCAAATTAAATTGGACATGCTATTTTCAAAAAAGAATTTTAATTTAGCTATTGAGTAAGTTAAGCACACGATATTGTCAAGTTATTATTGTAATTATTGTAATTATTTTTCATTATATGACTTACTTCCATTTGAACCATCAGCAAATATTTAACATTGGGCGTAAGCAATGAAAAAATTGGTTATTTAAACGTTATTGAACAAAAATCAACTCATTTATTGGCTAAATGTGGTAGTAAACATCCTATTTACTGGTATGAAGTAAAGAAAAATGACCGTAGAAATAATAACTACTCATTAGTGATATACTTTGAAACATTATATATGTGTACGCGAACGCGCAGTTGACATACCTACAGATTTTCATCTAAACGATTTACATTTATTGAAGACTTACGGGTATTAATAGGGCATTAGTGTTAAACTTCGGACTCTATTCCCTATGTTTACATCAAAACAATATATTATAACTTGATGGTTTTTGCAACTGATGAGAAAAACTGATGTATCACATAATGGTTGGCGAATTTAATGTATTTGAAATATTTGAAATTAGTGTCTGTTTATAAGTTATTGTTCTGAATCTCGAGTGTAAATTGTTTTGTCATGGCTTCTGATATCTCTAGGTTGCATGGCTATGACTAATTGAACCCATATCTGATTTTGCAAACTCAAGCGATAAGTTACAACAGTTGAAACAAGATTTGGATGGGTCCACCCAGCGGAGTTGAAGAACCCTGGTTCCATAACTCCAGGATCCTAAGGACCTGTTGTTGTTAAACACTACCATGGGATCGAACCTACTAAAATTCCTCTGTTGTCTTGTGAATTAAATCTCTAGTTACAAGGCTTGGGGAATGGTCTCGTAAGAAAAACATCTGCTTCGATTTGGGAAACTGGACAGTATTTCGGCCTTCATACAGATTTTCTGTAGCACATATATTTATTTTGATACCTCTTTATATGTGTTTATGTGTTGAAATAAATAAACCATAAATGTATCGAGACCGCTGACCGATATCATGTGCCGAGTCACCAATTAGAATCCTGATCCTAATTTTGGTCTATTTCACATCTACTATCTCCTCGTTAGCCTAATGCCTCCGAATTGGCCAAATACACATCCGATCAGAACTATTAACCTTGAGTCTACAGTTAGATTCCTATTGGTCCACTATCCGAAAGCTCCTTTCTTTGCCCGGCCTTGAGTCTAAAAATAGCGGCCACCTTCTGTCATCTTTATACTTTGAACAGTTGTGCTTTACATACACGCATACCGGAATACATTGCTGCATAAAATGAAAAAGAACAAAACAAACCAAAGATGGCTGTAAATCAGGAAGACTGTAAGTACCAGTCTGACAATATAATTAGAAATAGCAGGTCACATAACAGTACTTTGTGTGTTAACTGAAAGCTTACGATATATGGGACGTAAATACATGATAATTTAGCCACTCAGTAATCGTAAAATAAAACTATAATCACAATTGATTGATCACTGGGTGGTGATCAATGTCATACGTGTCAAGTCCTTCTTAGTGTTGATCGAAGGCTATCGATCAAGTTACAATGTGGCCACCGGTCTAGGTGGCTCGACACTGCGTGCACTATATATATTGAGATAAGATGGTGGTAGGAGGTGGTCAACAGGAAACCCTGGACCCGAGTTTCGTGCTACTTGGCACTCGTCAGCCACCTAGACTGGTGGCCACATTGTAGCTTGATCGATAGCATTCGATTAGCACTAAGAAGGACTTGACATGCATGATATTGATCACCGCTCAGTGATCAATCAATTGTAATTACATCTCAGTCCTACAGGAGGTCGGTTGCGGCCCGAATAGCTCAGTGGTAACGTCTCTGACTGTGAAGCTGAGTGACACGGAATCGAATCCGCCAGGGAGCATCATTTCCTTCAGGATTACAGGCACACCTTGCTGACGAGTGCCAAGTAGCACGAAACCCGGGTCCAGGATTTCCTGTCGACCACCTCCAACCACCATCTTATCTCAATAAAACTATAATCAATGATGATTCGACGATTCCAGCTTTTATAATGTCCTTCCGTTATTACAACAGTTTAGTTGGTTCTTAAGAAATATACAGATATTTTGTCGAAAATATGAGTTTCGTAAGTTAGAATATGTCTAAATTTCTGTGGCTATCTATCATTATCCCATCATGACATGTTCGTTAATTAATAAATGTAACAGTTTGATCCCTTATACATAATAACCCTTAAGTATCATTTTTATTATTAATTAAGGTTGAAATATATGAAAATAGTCCACAGATTCTACTCTAAGTACTCAACTGCCTTTATATATGGTTATTATTTTCATGTAAATAGAATATATCACCTGGGTACCTTAACCTATTCAGCTAAACAACCTTGAAATGCGAAAGTAAATGTAATATCTGTTAATAATATCAACAAACTCTATTAGCAGTTCTTAAATCAAATGATACCTCTTAAATATTACTTTCATTCAACTGTACGAGGTTAACATTTAAATCTATAATTAGTTATCAATCTCACTAATTTATTGTTTTACAATGCATGACATTGCTAAAATATCATATTCTAGTTTGTTCGATTTTTGTTAACTGTTCAATTATTATCCTAACTCAACCGTTATCGGGATTGACTATAGAAACCATGACAAATTAGCATAAATATATAAACTAATTTTAATATCAATATATTTTTTCAGCAAATAAAAGCTAGTAAAATGAAGCAATTTTTTTCTAAATTTCATTTTAGGATAGCTAAATCTCAACATTTTGATGAAAATGAATTGGCTCACATATTTTGGCGTTATGCTGATCACCTTTATAAGTAAGTTATGTCCATAGAATAATCATTGGACATGTCATTTATCATCTAATAGTTATTTTGATTTGATTTTTTTAATTGGTTTGTTTGTTTCAAGGACCGACTAATTAGAAATTTAAAATATTTTTACTAGATCCCATAATTTCCTGTCAATGATTTTGAGACTAAATTTTTCAACTTTCATCAGTATATAACTTTGCTGTACATACGATCCTACTTCTTCATAGTAACCTGGTCAACTTAATCACTGCACACTCTTCTGTTATACTATGTTTAAGGAAATATGAATTCTAACCTTGATATCCATAAGTTCAATTGACTTGACTATCTTCATTCAGATGACCAAATAATCTGTCGAATTTTCTATCTATTTACGCAACCTGTGTAACGAAAAGATCATTCTCAAGGTCTCTTGTATCATTTCTTTAACACTTAGCAACCCGTAATTACGTACTCCTTAAAAGTGTACTGATGAGACAACTCAAATGTGACAAAGATTTCAAAGTTAAGTAAAAAAGCTTATTCAGCTTCAAAACTCTAGTCATTGTGTTATGTTGTCCATCATCCCAAAACCGTAACTATTTTCTGTAATATAACTATTTCTCTCTTTTAAATAATTAGCTGATTTTCTTGTGTGCAATAAAATCACGGGTTACTTTTGTATCATTTCGTTTCTGCATTTCAGACAAAAAGATTATGATGCATCTATTCGTGAATATATCAAAACAATTGGTAAACTTGAAGCGTCATTTGTTATCCAGAGAGTAAGTATCTTTTCTGTTTTCATGCTTCAGGAGACTTTTTATTTTAATATATCTACGAATGAATTAAAGTTTCAGCACACAATAAATTTTGGACTGAATACTTCACAACCAAATAATTACCATCTTGTAGTGTGAATAGTATAATTATTGTATCCATATTTTGAAATGTCTGTTTGAGTTGCTTTTTCTAACAGGGTCTTTTTAGGATGCTTTTAGGTGTGTTTTGCTTCTGTGATTGTAAACAGCGAACAAAATCTTGTGCAATTACCTCAACATTGTAATTAGTTTAATTATACCAGCTATTTATCTCAGACTATCATAGTTCATATTCCTCTTACTCTCATCCTGTTGTAACGGTCTAAAAACCATAACACCAGAATTTGTTACTACCATATATAAATGAGTACATTTTCCAAAGGGAAATCCCTATTATCAATCGTTCCAATAAGTCTTAGGCTTTTAGTCAACATTAATTCCCAGAAATTCTCAATTAGTCTTTGCAATAGGACTTACTCGATAGTTCGGATATTCAAGCTATACATTTTATTTTACCTAATAGCTTTCATTAAGGTTTACCAACTGATGACTTACTTACTTACTTACGCCTGTTATCCCTCGTGTAGGAGCATAGGCCACCCACCAACATTCTCCTGGGCAATCCTTTCCAGTTCTTCCCAGTTATTATCCATTCTTTTCATATCTGCTTCAGTTTTCCGGCGTAATGTATGAGTGTTAATTGGTTGTGAATAATTATTGATTGTCTGTGTGTTGCAACCAATGGGAGAATAGATTAAAGATTGATCTTCAGACACGCGCCCAATAAGAATCACACATAATTTTACATAGTGGATTAAATGTCTAAATTACAGCGAGCAGACAAATTATACAATTGTTAAATGGGCTCATTACATACGACTAAGTTATTTGTTTACTATATATTGGAGTCAGTTGTAAAGGAAATTAAGTTCTGAGTTATATTACAACGACGAGTTGAAGTTAACAAGATGAATAGTAAGGGAGTAGAAATATTGTTGTAGCAGTGATAACACGAAAGAACAGAAGTTGAGAATATATATCCAAAATAAAAAATAAAGACGTGTGTATGAAGTAATACTAGCCTTCTTGATCTAGAGCGAGATGAAGATTGTATGTATCTGCGTCATTGTGACTGTTTCTAAGTCACTCCACACAAAACCTCTAACCGTTAATTGCGATTATCTCATTATTGCTAACCGGGTATCTTGCATTTTCGATCAATTCTCAAACCAATATTTATCACTCCATGGACTGATGCTGGCTTTTGGTTCATTCATCGCTAGTTGAATTAAACACTAAGTGATAATATCCTTTGATTTTTAACTACCTGGTGCCTCGTTTAGATCCAATTCGCTTACTGCATTCTAGATGATCCAGTTTCATTGTTCGTCGTGATGACACATCTAGTTAATAAGCTCTTTTATCGTTACTGCATTATATTAGTTATTTTTTGGAATTACCTAAATAATGTGATGGCTTAATTTCTGTGATCCCACTGATACAAGTTTTAACATAGCTTTTTTTATCATTAATTTTTCACTATTCAAAAACAGGAAATATTTGAACGAACAGTCGTTTTCAATGACTTCATCATCAGACTCTGTAGTCATAAGTCCATAATTCTTGTAATTTTTACGTAGTCCAAAACAAACCATGCATTAATGAACTTGAAAATATTATATGTTAAAAATGGTTAACTTTTACATCTGTTACGACATAAATGCTTCGAAATTATGTTGTTTGTAAATTCTTTGAACTTTGCTTTTTATAGTTTCTTGAAGGTAGTCACATTATTCAGTTAACTACCTACTTAGAAGCATTAAAAGAACGAAACTTGTCAACAGGTGATCATTTAATTTTACTCCTTAACTGTTATTGTCGATTGCAAGATGTAGATAAGATAGAACAATTTGTTAAAGTAAGTTAAAGTGCTTTTGAATTGCGTTTTTCATTTTCTGATACAAAGGTTTTTCGTAACAAACTGTATATAATAGAAAATGAGATTCGGTAGTTTCAAAACTAAACCTCTCACTACTAGCGTATTGAACGAAAACAAAAGCGGGGACAGTCGAATGCATTTGAATACAAAATTACAGAACGTCTTAGTGAAATCATACAGCAAATACTTCATTTGCAAAGTACCAATCATTCTTTGTCCTCGTTCTTTTTTCTTTGATCTTTTTAACCTTCTGCCTTCAGGGATTTCACTTCTGATTAATGATATATACTAATTATATCTGTCAATGTTAGTAGCACGCACCACACTAGTACGTAGGTTTGTAGTGAATGAGAACACCGGTGAGGACAACCGATTATGAATTTAGCACAACTTACAAAGTTGCTTGATAAAATACAAAAACTATACTCTGATACTCTGATATGCAAAATGTTCATCAATTATCTCAGGCTTCATTGTTCCTGGATTTCCACACCGATTGCTTTCTATTTCTCTTCTCGATCTTCTCAATCTTCTGCTGCCAGACATTCTATTCCTCACTCACGATATATACTACTTATGTCGATATAATTAGCCCACACCATAGGTTTAATAAAATATTTTACAGGTTTTTGTAAAGCTGAATCTTGCCACCTTTCATCGTCATGACCAAGCTATTCGTTCGAGAAAACAAATCTAATCACTGGTCACTTATGCACTGAACAATTTTAATGCGTACTTTTTATGCAGTGACTGTTCCACGAGAATTCATTTTTACAAAAATATATCAAAGAGACTAATAGTTTGTTTTTTAATGAGCATGAATTTCGACACTTTCACCACTTGGAAATGTAGAATTCTTATTTTTACAGCAATTATCACTAGTAGAACGATCTTGTGCATTCAGTTCAGGAACGGGAATGATATTAATATTTGTAAGACACTTATTTTTAAAGCAGTTGGCACCTTTTTTAAATTTTGACAGGGCAGTGAGAAGACGGAGTTGATCTCAAAAATGTTATGTATTTGCACTATACATTTCGAACAATCTGGTCACAAATATACTTGTCAGGGTATTTTATATGAAGATTAATAAAGGTCAAACAAATGGAAGTTCAAGTAAACAAGGTAATAAAGGGGAAAGTATAGGAAATTGTCGCATTACCCTAGGCCATAAGTTGACGTAAGGATTTCCATGGTAACTTCAACATTACGACAAATTGTTTTTGTACACATATAAGGGGGTTTTAAATTTGCGAATAGCCAGAACTTCAGTAAGCCTGAGAATTTGACCTTGACAATTATTTTTATGTCTCTACAAAAACATTGTAATCGGCATTGAAATATCGTTTATCTGCTATCCCTTGTAAATAGAAATCACCTTATAGTAAATAACGATGCGATATTTTGCCTCCAAGGTAGGACCTATAAACAAGTGAAGTTAAGCTCATATTAGTGGATATTAACGATGTGTATATTTGAATGGTAAACGTTTGGGGATTCTACAAGTTAATATTTTACAATATTACCCCGGCTATCTGCAACTAATGAATCCCGAAGCTTAACTTTGTAAATTCAAATACTTTAATAGTCTCTGAATTTAAGAATAGCCAGTTATACTTTTGGAATATATTTATGATAAGTGAATATGACCTGGTTAGTATCTTTGTCAGTAATTTAACCTCCATCCAGTATAAACGATAGCCGAAAATGTTTTATTGCGTTATGATAAGTCTGGACTAAGGTGTTTAAAGAATACATGGAACAGAATAGTAAAAGCATATTGTTGCTCATCGTTCCAGAACGACATGTTTGAGACCATAATATCTTTGTTTTCTGTTACTGTGAGGATGGTCCACAGGTGAAGTCGAGGAGGCTCTAGGAAGCCCAGGAAGAGCCGCAGACATTCCATCCAATCAGGGCTAGGGGAATGTTCTAGAAATGCCAACGTGGAGCTTTCCCATTGGATGGATTAGTTTGATACCTATGTGCTTATTGGTTGACCTAAATGATAATTTACTTTCAGCCAAAAACTATAAATACACGAGATTTCTGTGCTATATTTTGACATTATTCGGGGCAATAAACTTCCTGCTTACCAGTCTTTGTCTTCTCTCTTTGCGACGTTGCGGGTTCTATCGTTCAAGTAGTCAAGTAGTTCGCGGCATATTAAGAATCAAGGCTCTAGATATAACAACTGGCGACGGGTTAATTTATCAAGATGTCTATTACCTTTGACCAATTTGAAGCTTTTCTAGAGCGCCATGAAAAACGGCTTGAACAATTCCAGATGCGCATACTCGAAAAACTAACCCAGCAAATGAACCTCAATAAGAATGGACTTACAGATGTTTCTGCCAAATCGCATGCTGATTGTATCATTGATTCCATTCACGAATTTCATTTTGATGGTGTTGCTGGTGTAACATTCGAATCTTGGTACAAGAAATATGAAGATGTATTTAATGTCGACCTAGAAACTTTTGATGATGCCGCCAAGGTCAGGGTGCTACTACGAAAGCTGGGCACCATTGAACATGAACGATATACTAATTACATTCTGCCCAAGAACCCAAGAGACATTTCATTCGAAGAAACAGTTAAAATTTTGTCGCAAATTTTCGGTGAACAGTCTTCCTTGTTCAATATTCGATATCAGTGCTTGAAAATAGTAAAAGCCGGCAATGATGACTGGGTGCAACATGCTAGCATAATAAATCGCGAATGTGAGCGCTTTAAACTATCAGCAATGACAGAAGACCAATTCAAATGTCTTGTTTTCGTATGCAGCTTACAATCTTCAGAAGACGCCGACATTAGAACCAGAATTCTAAGCAAAATTGAACAGTGTCCAAATATCACCCTTCAAGAGGTGACTACTGAATGTCAGCATCTGGTAAACTTGAAGCATGACACTTCAATGGTAGAAAATAATGGTCGACTACCTTATGTACAGGCAGTAAGTGGGAAGCAAAAGCAGAACACAACCATTAAGAAGCCTCCATCCGCATGTTGGTTTTGCGGTGAGCTGCATTACAAAAGGTTCTGCCCATACAAAAACTACCGGTGCACTAGATGTCAGCTCAAAGGACATAAAGAAGCATGTTGTAAAAAGAAGATGCACCGTCGATCATCAAGTGTTCATTTCCGAAGACTTAAAAATTGTTCATCAATCAACAGAATAATGGTAGCACATACTAGAACAGAACATAATCGAAGAAAATATGTGACCTTAGAGATAAATGGGTGCCGTGCTCGTCTACAGCTTGACACTGCTTCAGATATTTCACTGATCAGCCGCAAAACATGGAGTCATATTGGAAAACCCTCGGTGCTCCCTACAACCCAGTTAGCACACAGTGCATCTGGAGGAAAGTTAAATATTGTTGGAGAGATATACTGTCCAGTTAAAAAAGGGAATGTACAGAAGAATGTGAAAGTATATCTCACGGAAAGCCCAGGACTAGACTTATTGGGACTTGATCTAATAGAAACTCTTAAGCTAGCAGATCATTCTATTAATAGCATCTGCAGACGAGTGACTATTGGCAATTCCTCAAGGTGTAACCAGAAAAGTACCGTGCCGCAAAGACATCACAACGTTTTTAAAGAAGAATTGGGAGAATGTACGAAGGCCAAAGCCTTGTTAATCCTCAAACCTGGTGCTACTCCCGTTTTTCGACCCAAAAGACCTGTGCCCTACGCAGCTCTACCGATTGTTGAACAAGAATTAGAACGACTGCAAAAAAGTGGAATTATAGAACCAGTGAACTTTTCTGATTGGGCAGCTCCAATAGTAATTGTTAAAAAGCCTAATGGAAGTATTCGATTATGTGCAGACTATTCCACTGGATTAAATGACGCACTTGAAGATCATCAGTACCCCTTACCATTACCAGAAGACTTATTTGCGAAACTTAACGGGGGTAAGTATTTTGCAAAACTAGACCTATCAGAAGCATATTTACAGATTCCAGTAGCGGAAGAATGCAAACATTACTTGACAATAAACACTCATAAAGGGTTGTTTCGATATAATAGACTTCCGTTTGGAGTAAAGACTGCCCCTTCAATCTTTCAACAAGTTATGGATACTATGCTACAAGATATTCCTGGTACTGCGGCCTATCTTGACGACATACTGATCATGGGTACAGACTATGCTGACCTGGAGAAGAAGGTAGATATGGTTCTCAGACGCATAGCAGATTTTGGGTTTACATTACGTGCTGAAAAATGTGATTTCTACATGGAACAAGTCCGCTATTTGGGATTCATAATTGATAAAAACGGAAGAAAACCTGATCCTGAAAACGTCGAGGCTATCAAGTCCATGCCTCCACCAACTGATGTGTCAACTTTACGCTCTTTCTTGGGAATGGTTAGTCATTATGGAGTTTTTCTTCCAGAACTGCATCGCCTTCGTGCTCCTCTTAATGGGTTGCTGAAAAAAGATACCAAATGGTTCTGGTCATCTGAGTGCCAAGAAGCTTTCGTAAAACTAAAACAGCTCCTGTCATCAAACCTTCTACTCACACACTATGATCCAGAGCTTCCCATCATAGTCGCAGCAGATGCGTCCAACTACGGAATCGGCGCAGTGATCGCACATACCTACCCAGACGGGTCTGAGAAGGCAATCGCCCACGCTGCACGGTCGCTGACTATGACAGAAAGAAACTATAGTCAGATAGAAAAAGAGGCCCTCTCTATTATATTCGCAGTAAAGAAGTTCCACAAGATGCTATTTGGCAGACAATTTACCCTACTAACAGACCATAAACCGCTGCTGACAATTTTTGGATCGAAAAAAGGTATACCTGTATATACAGCAAACCGTCTACAGAGATGGGCAACGACACTACTGGGCTATGATTTCAAGATAAAGTACCAACCAACAACGGATTTTGGACAGGCAGATGCCCTTTCAAGACTAATTAGTTCCCGTACAAAACAAGAAGAGGAGGTGCTCGTGGCTGCCGTAGATGTTGAGGACGAGGTTCACACAGTATTAACAGACGCAGTTTCCGGACTCCCAGTCACATTCGAAGCTATTAAAGGAGCTAGTGAGAAAGATAACGTGTTGAAGTTTGTTCGCCATTGCATACTCAACAAGTGGCCTTCGTCGAGACTAAATGGAGAACTCTTGCAATTTTTCCGTCGACGAGACTCATTGACAATTGTAGATTCCTGCATCATGTTTGGCCACCGTATCGTCATCCCCAGAAATCTTCGAAACCAAGTCCTTAAGCAGTTCCACAGCGGACACCCGGGGATAAGTAAAATGAAGTCGTTAGCTCGAAGCTACGCATACTGGCCATCAATGGACCATGATATAGAGCAAAAATGTCGCAGTTGTTCGTCCTGTTTAGAGGCCGCAAAGAACCCAAATAAAGCTGAACCGCAACCATGGCCAAAACCAGACGGTCCCTGGCAAAGAATACACGCTGATTTTGCCGGCCCAATACAAGGCAGAAATTACTTGGTTGTTGTCGACGCCTTCACGAAATGGCCAGAAGTATACGACATGCCGAAAATGACGTCAGAGAGTACTATAAGAAAATTGACAGGTTTGTTCGCTTGTTTTGGGGTTCCTGAGATCTTAGTGACTGACAACGGCACCCAGTTCATGTCATCTGTCTTTAAACGGTTTTGCACTGAAAATGGCATATCACATCTACAGTCTCCCCCGTACCATCCTCAGTCGAATGGCCAAGCAGAAAGATTCGTGGATACTATAAAACGAGCTCTAGTTAAAGGGGGAGGAGAGGCCATCCCAGAACAAGTAATCAGCAAGTTCCTTTTGTCTTACAGAGTTACCCCCAATCCGGCAGTACCCGAAGGTAAGTCACCAGCCGAGTGTATGTTCGGAAGGAAAATTCGAACAATCTTTAGCAGTATGTTGCCACCTAGAAAGACAAGAAAACCCACGAATGGAAACCATATGGTCACTCGTAGCTTCAAGGTGGGTGAAAGGGTACTCGTTAAGTCGTATCAAGGAGGAAAAAGGTGGGAACCAGGTATTATAGAGCGTCGAATTGGAAGCGTATTGTATTTAATCCGAAGAAATGTCGGTACTTGTATAAGACACATCAATCAAATTCGAAGGGATGGCAGAACATGGATGCCACAAAGCCGGCTCCCATTTCATTTGCTCATGGATTCGTCTCCAAAATGCACTCAGGCGCACGAAGGTAGAAAAGATAAAAGACGCAAGAGCAAGGCAACACAACCTTCGAGAGTAATGAGTCGCAAGAGAATCGCGGTAACTCAATTCCAGGTGGATCCGAGAAAAAGGACTTATACAACAGACTTTAAAGGGGGGAGGTGTGAGGATGGTCCACAGGTGAAGTCGAGGAGGCTCTAGGAAGCCCAGGAAGAGCCGCAGACATTCCATCCAATCAGGGCTAGGGGAATGTTCTAGAAATGCCAACGTGGAGCTTTCCCATTGGATGGATTAGTTTGATACCTATGTGCTTATTGGTTGACCTAAATGATAATTTACTTTCAGCCAAAAACTATAAATACACGAGATTTCTGTGCTATATTTTGACATTATTCGGGGCAATAAACTTCCTGCTTACCAGTCTTTGTCTTCTCTCTTTGCGACGTTGCGGGTTCTATCGTTCAAGTAGTCAAGTAGTTCGCGGCATATTAAGAATCAAGGCTCTAGATATAACAGTTACATTATTAAGTCTATCCAAGAAGCTTACACTTAACACTACATCTCAGGTCATCAGTGTATTTACTAGTTGTTATTATTGATTGTCCAGTTTTTTTTTCTAGTCTAAATTCACTTCTTTTAATCCATTACGTTGATATAATTTAGTTCCATGTACTATTTTCTTTCAAAATTAAATATAGGCTCCTATAAATCCGATGTTAGACATAACATCAGCTTTGCATGTTTTAAAGCAATCAAAATATATTGATGCCGCTGTTAAACTGGCTGGAAATACTGACCGATACATAGACTCTATAGGTCTTTTAATAGAAGACTTAAATGATGGCAAATCAGCACTTAAAATGATCAATAAATTGAATTTCGATGAAGTAAGTTATATGGTAAATATGTTCATTACTTTTTTATTGGTTTGCATTGTGTGTTTTGTCTCATAGGTGGTTTTCGGTACATAGTGACATGAATTGGTGTTCCACTGAAATCCAGAGGGCATGAAACAATTGTTTCATTTTTTTATGCGATTTTTCTGCAGTAAACACATAAATCTTTTAGGGACCAGACCTGAGGACCCTAATGGTCTCGCCATGAGAGTTTATTCTTAAAACTGTGGATTTGAAATTCAGTGGTTCATATTTCAGAATTTAGTAAGTTACAGTATAGTGTCAAAGACCATCTACCTCCATTGGTGACCACTGTCTCACTCTCTACATGGCTAAATTCGACCATTGATGGCTTCTCACAAGAATTTGGGAGGACTCATCTCAAACCAGATCACTATCGAGCAAATGATTATATCATATATCAGCGATTAAAATCTTGTGATCAGCGATTATATCATTGTTGAGAGGTTTCGTAAAAGCTTACCAATGGAACCTCATGATTGTCTCACAAAATCGTTCATTGACTGAAACCGGAGATGTGCATCATTGGCTTTCAACTGGTCTAGGAGTTAGGCAACCTGATTGAGACCCGAAAGCCCTGGGTTCGACCCTTGACATAAGTGTACGTTCCCGACGTTCAATAACAAAACTGCCGTCCAGTATTCTCTGGTATTCAGTTGTAGTTCAGTTGATATTAACTAGTCATGAAAATCACCTACAAATTAAATAGATCTCCACAAAAGGTTCTAACAGTTATTTTTATTTGCTCACTTGTTTGTTCTTTTTTGTAATAAAACTTATTCATTATTAGACCTCAAATAATGTACTTCCTTTGCAAGATCATTTGTTCGAATTCAATGTCATTGTTACAGAAAGTTTGCTCCTAGTACTTTCAAAATTATCTCATCTACATTTCCATTAAACTACCGAAATGTCTCTTATCAATAATTCCACAGATGGACTATACTTTATTGTATTACGCAAAAATTAAATAATGGACAAATAAAACATTTATGTTGTAATAGTCCATCAGGAATATGTTTAAAGTAATATTCTCATCTTATGGAACCACTGGGTAGACTGTTTAAAGTGTAATCATATGATCTTCTTTATATGGGGTTATATATCTGAAGTCAATACCTACTTAGAAATGTGTTGGTTACCAAATGTGAAAGTAGATATTAAATTGGTTCATACAAGCCTCTCGTTTATTTCTGAAATAGCCGAATCATAGTATCTTCGCTAGTTATTTTCTCAGAGTGATTTTTTATCGACTACAAACGTGTTGTAGTAATGATGCTGTTGACAACCGAAATCACAAATAGCTCATAAACATGTGGGAAAGCATACTTATAATCCGGTAATTTTTAAAAGTAACTGTCAAAGTAGTTTTATACGTAAATGTTATTGAAAGTTTAAGTGATCACTGGGATGTTCACTTTAGTGTTTGGTTTATTCAAGACATCAGAAAAAATTCATATGCCATCTCGTTGTTATACAATCATTAATCTTTAATTATACCAAAAATTATTATTCATATTTAAAGTTCATTTCTCATTATTTGTTTGTTTCCAGGCATTGAAATCTATCAGTGAATATGGACATCAGCTGATCACTCGTTGTCCTGAAGACACAATTAAGCTTTTGGACAAATTATGTGCTCATCCGGGTAGGATTTACATTTTCTTTTGCGTCTAAATACCAAGTTATTGTACTTTTTTCTCTCTTGTTTTAATAACTATCCACTAGCATGTTTTGTTATTTTTGAAACATATATGTAAATATTTTCGTTGAAATTATGTAGCTGACCCAACCATTCAGCGTTTGACTGAACGTTTTCTACAATTTAGGTAACAGAAAATGATACCGTGGTTTATTTCGTTTTCTATTTCACACTTTTCGCTACTAAATTAACAGTACATGTCTGTATTTTTCTTAAAAATACGTATTTTTTTCATTAACATTTTAACTTACCATTTAATGGAAATCCACAAAATAATGCCTGAATTGTCTCATAATTAGACTTTTATGTCAAAAATCTACATTTTTCTTGTATGATTGATCTTATGCGTAATAAAGCTTTTCCAATCATTGCACTATTGACTACTGTCGAATTGACCATACAAAACGAGTCGCATAATGATAATTGAATGCCGTCTGGACAAAATTATTGTAAGACTTCACATAAACATACATCCAATTCCTCACAGCAGCGTAGCAAAAAGTAACACCATAAAAATAGGAAAAGATACAAAAATATCAATTATAGGTGTAAAAATACATGAAAGATGTGTAATAATATATTGAAAGAAGTTAAGTGTGAAATAGATCTGTTCCACTGCTACTTTTTTTAAGCCTTATCATTCAAATAATCGATTAGTTATTTATCGTTGTATACATTCAAAACATTTTGCTTACTTCGTAAATCACTAGTTACTTCCTAGGAATTTATAACTTATTACTAATTTTGTAATATTCATATTTTCGTAAGTCTTCTTTAGTTTTTGTCAATTACTCAGTGAACATGAACTTATGTTTCATGTTTATTGACCATTCAACACCAAAGTGGAATATGTCATGTTTAATAAGTTGGTTCGACCCCTAATTACTCAGCTTCTTAGTTAGATATGTTGCTGTGATGCTATTTCAAAGATCAACCTCTCGTAAGTTTAAATCAGTCATTAAGTCGTGACCAGATTACATCCTTTCTGTTTCTGAATCTCCACCCGGAGTTCATTTTAGAATGCAAGCTTCTGACTACACAAGTAAACTTCTTTAAAGTGAATTAGTTGTTGTAAACTTGCTGTAAACTTAATACAGGTCCATAATTCATACTAAAATGTCAAGAAACGTTGCATGTGTCATTTACATAAAGGAAGATGGGTATTTTCTACTTCACGCACATTCTAATTTTTTAAAAGTGCTATAATAATATAAAACATTTTAAAAATGACTACAGAATGCCTGTCAGCTATCAAATGGTCGGATGTTAGATTACAGCAGCAATTTCTTTAGAATTTTGCTCCAACGATATAGAGCCGTACTTGTCATTCCAAAGTTTATGTTACCATTCAACACCTGCACTACAAGTGTATGTCGTTTCTGATATACTATCATAATTACTTCTTATATTTTTTAAGTCGTATTTTTGTTGGAAAAGTGTAAAAAGAATAATTACGAATGTAGTATTTTTTGTCTTGTAAACAATTTGATTATTTACATACTGCTTTTATAGATATTCGTTGGGGACCCAATATTTAGTTGAATTTTTACACATCTTCGTTCAATTAAAACCCATCTTTGTTTCTATTTTTTTTGTTGAAATTTCATGTTTTCCATTTAACCCTTACTTTACCCACTACAATCAATTTAATGGTTTCTTAACGTGTTCTTTTGCTTTTTCATCCCGTCACTTAAATGTTTTTTGTTTCTCTCCTCCAAACTCTAATAAATTATGCTCGTTATTCGATAATGTTGTTTGTAGTCAAACACCAATTTATTCACTACCCTATCAGTTTCTAATATCGCTTTCACAGTTTTCACTTCCCTTTCCTAAAAATTCCGTTAGTCAGTTCGAAAACTTAATTATGTACGTTCTGTGCTAGATACAGTGCATAATCAAATTCATTTGTAAAATAAAGATTTCCTTATATATTCAGCTAATTCTTGGATTTTTATTTCCTGATGAAAGATGGAATGTTATTTTATATCAAAATAATGATAAAAGAATGTGATCACGCATACTGACATCGTTGTGTGATCAATACTGGTGTTAAAAGAAGAGTACTAGGTACTATGTCATAATTCTCCATCGATTGAGGTGGTCGAGATATGTATTATATTTGCTCAACCAATGCCTGTCTTGATGGAGGGTTTGTTAGTGTAGGAGTAAACGAAAAAGAAGCTCGGGATGGCCATTTCAGGACGTATGATCATTCCTTAAAGTCATTCACTGTTGGATTGAGCCGGCTTGGCACTGCAGAGTGCTTGATTGCGTCCTAATAATTATCACAATCATTCGTTGGAGATGATGGACTTAATTGCTTATCACTGGTCTCACAGACGCATTTAATTTTGTTTCCCTTAAATCTTCAATTATAAAATTATCTCATACGTTTTATTCTGAAAATTTATTCTTTCCTCTCGAATCATACTTTTCATGCCTAGTGTTTTCTACTACTACTGATACTGTTACTAACTCTCCTACCCTGGGTTTTATCTTGATAAGTTCATCTCAATATGCTGATATGGTATGGCAACTTAAACTGATGAACCAGGGTTTTGCGTTTCTTATGCGTGACTGACTTATACAAGCAAAATATCCACATTCTAAAACTAATTAAATCATTAGACAGAAATTTCATTCTGTGTAATAATAATATTTGTGAAATAGATAAGTTTAAGCTATGAAAATGAACATCAATCAAATTACGACACCATATTATAAAAATGATTATTAACTAGTTGGGCTGTAAGTTGGTTAGGGTAAAAGGAGCGGCTGAACATATTTCTTTTGGATTCAAAGCTCCGGCTTTTTGATCCGAATAGCTATTGCTTCAGGTATCTGAAGGATTCTCAGTCTGACTGATTTACGCAGATTGTTTTTAATACGATATATTATTGTGAATGATTGTTCCATGTTGGCTGTATGCCTCGTTTAAACTAAATGTTAAGAGTTTCGACTATATCTTTGCTTAACCACGAGCCCGGAAATACACATTCCGAGAACACCTGCCAATATAATTTGCTTCACAAGAGTAGTTGAATCAACAGATACAGAAATAGGTGTCTGATCCAAGTAACTTACCTTTCAATCCCGGAGTGACCATTGGATGAGTAGGAAAGAATAATTACAGTTTACCTGCATTATAAGTTCTTTATATTGCTCTGTGTAACTTGAGTATTAGCATTTCGCTGGTTGTATCGCCTCCAAGTTGTAGGCGCACATACAGTGACTTTTTGCTCACAGTTAAGCCTTTCTGATGCTCTTTTTTCTTGGCTAAATGTTTATTTATAAATAACTCAGAATATCCATTTTTCATGGTCGTACGCAGCGCCTTTGTTTCCTCTTCGACTGCATCTAGGGAACTTATGGTCTTTATTCTGTAATGAAGTGTCTTAATGAGGTTCATTTTATATTGTAGAGTAACAAAATTAATGAAATTTGTATAGCGGCCAGTCAAAGTAGTTTTCTTGTCTAATGTTCTTCTTGATTACCCATCTATACTACTTGTAAGTAGAACATTTAGAAAGGCTATTCTACTTCACTTTTCTTCTTCACATGTGAATTTTATGGACGGATGAACTTCATGAAATCGCTTGAGTGTTTCTATCGGGTCAGTACAGTCGCTACAAAGGATGAACGTATCGTCCATAAATCGGCAGTAAAAGGAAAACTCGTCAATCTGCTGTACTATTAGACTGTTTTTTAGTGTAGCGAGAAATACGTCAGCCAATATGGGGTCAGTTAGTGATCCCATAGTGATACTACCTATTTGTCTACATATTTCACCATTGTATTTGAAGTTTACGTTCATAGAATTTTTTATTAATAGTTCCTTAATGATGTCTGTAGAGATTGTAGTCTGCATTTCTTGTTCTCTAAGTTATTCACATATATATTCTGCAGTCTCCCTGAGCGTGACATTTGCAAACAATGATGTTACGTCTAATGACATCATCGTTTGTCCTTTAGTGTTTGTGTTTTTGATCTTGTCCAGAAACTGAAATGCATCCTTCACTAAGCATTCGTGGAGTGGTTTTAAATGGTTAATAACCTCTTTGCTATAGTGTGATAAGGGGAATTGTACATGTCGTGAATCGGTCTCAATGAGATATCCAGTTCGTGCACTTTCGGTAGTCTGCAGAGCATTAGTAAATGGGTACATATCGGCGCAATTTTTTCATATATGTTTGGTAGGATTACCCATTGGTCTCTAGGATCCTTGAAAGATCTAATCAGTCCATCCTCTACCTTAATACTGACGTTTATTAGTCATTCAGTTTCTGGAATTTTAGATGATCAATCAAGATGTTATTTTTCCTGTCAACATATTCTTTTTTGTTAAGTAGGACAGTATTTTCCTCCGCATTTTCCTTAAACATGAACACTTTTTCGATTATTATTTTTAATATCTAATTATAGAACCTGAAGATAGTTTATTGAAAAGAATATCCTTCGTTCATATATGTGTTTTAGTATGATGGGGAGTTTTAAGCGATAGTCACCATTTATTTTGACTTAATTTATTCGTCATAATGTTTTTACTTATGAACGATTGTTTCTTCGTTGTTTGGTTGTAGATGCTAGTCGAATCAATGTACAACACTTCTTGAAAGTGTTTGTCAATAATCCTAAAGGTTTAATGCAGTTTCTTGATCGTTACATCAATGTAAGTTTATTTGTTTTTGCCTTTATTTCTTGTCGCTGTTAGTACAAAGCAGTCATTTTAAAAACATGCTTGTGTGTCTTCTTAACAATTGCATTATTAAATAACTAGTTCCCTAACATAACATTTACCAAAGTTCCATATTTAAACAACTTAAATTATTTTTGTAACTTTCTTATGGCCATACAACGTGACATTAATCGATCAGTGACATACACTGAATATCAGCTTTTTGGTGGGACGACATCAATGTTCGCGTATGTTGGAACCACTGAGTAAATATTGGTAAACCTAGATTTTAAAGTATTTGGTAGAGATGATTGTAAATTGATTGGTATTACTGTTTACGTTAATCGATTCAGGTGGTTGTACTATGTATTTCGCTGCTTACCGATTGACTACCTAAATATGTTGCACTGATCAGCCCACAGATAAATGTGTTCATTCGTTACCTTCCTTTTATTTTTCTTACTTTTAATAGTATTTTCTTACTTCCAAATATTCTATTCTACCTGCTGTTTATAATATTTATTTATTACACTTAGTTTTCTTCGTTAATTTCGGTATTATTGTTTTCACTTCATATTGATCTTTGTTGTCTCTGCTTGGATCTAAGTATAAATATATTCCAGGTCAGTCAGTCAGTCACAACGTAGAACTTCGTACGTACGTACATCAGTTCGAGTTGCCATACCACATTAGCACAGAGGTACAATTGTGAATTGAAATCCAATAGTGGTAGAGGTAGTAGCATAGCTGCAACAAACGGTCTCAATTATCTGTTCTTTGAGCCACGACACCGTAAGATACAGCCACGTGTCTTTCCCTTTCGCTGAGTTTGCCTACGTGAGCATTAAAGTCACCAGCCACTATTACTATAACAGAGCGCCTATCTTTTCGGAGAAGTTCGGAAAGCTTTCTGTAAAACTCATCTTTTACATCATCTGAGCTGCAGTCAGTGGGAGAGTAGGCACATATGACGAAGAGGCAACGAGGAGTGTCCCTATCTTCCCGAGTCCTTACTGTTCCGTTTAGTCGGACAACGAACAGACGACTGTCTACTGGGATCCAGTCTAAAGGAGCTAGTTCTACTCTAGGACTCAATGCTATACCTACGCCAGCGAGACCACGGGAAGCGGCGTCAGGGCTTTCAGATACATGAAGTGTGAATCGAGTTGGCTTTTTATTATGACATGGTGAGGTCAAATGAATAACGCTACTTGGATTTTTTATGCGCGTTTTGGAGACGCAGCACACATCGATGGTGCGAGATTCTAAAGTCCTAGCTAAGGAAGCCTGTTGTCCTATTCGAGATGATGTTCGAACGTTAAACGTTCCTACATGTAGTTTAGAGCGTTGTTTCAGGAGACCGGGAATAACGTTCCGCGTACTCGAATCGTTTGCCTTAGCGGTGTGAGGTGATAAAGGGATGCGAGAAGGGTTGGTCTTGGAGATAAGAGAGTTGTTAGGTGGTGTAGGAAGGATTTGAATGTGACCAACTTGGTCTCGTGTGTTGTTACGTGTATGAGGGCTAATATCACTTCCCGGCTGCCCACACCGTGGAAGGGTATTTCTTGAGGGACCTGAAAAAGAAGTTAGATTAGTGTTGGTCTTAACGACCTGGGAGCGTGACCGCAGAGTCCATGGGACAGCTGCTTGAGGCCGGTGAATGCACGGCCTTTTTGTGGGGTATTTTCGAAGTGTTAGCTCCGTTTTTCAAAGGGCCTCACCACCAGAGACGGAAATTCGTGAGATAAGGTGAGGCGTGACATTTTTAGGGTTGACCTTTCCCAACCCTACCCTTCCTTGTAAGAAGGCAGAATCGCTGCAGATGCTGGTTGTCCGAAGGAAACACCTTACTGCTGTTACACCACTCTACAGTCAGTAGTACGACTTCGCCCTCAGACCTTGAGTTGCTGCTCTTAGCCTTACCGTTCTCCAATCGACCTGCCTGGCATGGTAGGTCCTATAGGAGCATATGTTCCAGCCAATATAGCTCGTTTGGGTCATCGCGATAGGCAAACTTGACCACCACGTCAAGGTAGCAGCTACAGTCCTACGTTGTTTATCACCGACTATGACAAATTTACCGAAATTACATATCATTTGTGAAGTTTAAACTTATTCACCCCACAAACGACAAACAAGATACGGAAGATCAGAGGCGAAATGATGCAATAATGTTTATTACTGTCGAATATGTTGTTGTTTTTGCAATTCACATGAATCTAATAAATACTTTTCAGCTGGTCTATGATACTCTCGTTCAACCACTCACCAAACACTTATGGATTCTATAGAATAGGTGGATTACTATTAGTAATAGAATCTTGGGCGCGTGTTTTTTCTTATTTGGGACTCGTCATATGAATGTACCCTATTATTAATGATATAAAAACCTATAGATTTTGTATTTTCCTCGCGGTTTAATTGTTTTGTTATTTTTCGTGTGTTCTATGCTACATTGTTATGTCTCTCTTTCTTCGCTTAAATTCAAGACGGCTTCACCTTCTAAATTGGTTACAGGAGTTGTGGATACATTTTTAGAATTATTACTATATGAAGCCAATCGATTAGAAGCTGATAAATCAATGACCAATGAAGAGTCAGTTCAACTATTCCAAATGGCGATGCAATTATTATCGAATAATGAAGTTTGTTTAAAGCAGCCATTTTTTCTAAATGATGCCTTACCATCACGAAATATTTTTCTGTTAATTTTGTCGTTTCATTTCGGTGAATAAGCTTGGAGAGTCTTGCTAGTAGCCATGTATGGCTTAAAAAGTTATAGAAGAAATGATACATTAGTTGTATTACTTATTACTATGATTTAGATAGTTGTGTTCTGTCATAAACATTTTTCTGTTTCTTACTTGCAAAATCACTAATTTATCATAATTCATAGACTGATTTTTAACTCCTATCCAATCTCCATGAGTAATTATAGCTTCTATCTATGTAAATTTGGTCTGGAATCTTTGTCTAATATGCTATTTGTTGGATGGGATAATTTTAATTGCTCCTAATCTGACTTATTTTATACGTTCATATCTTATTGACGAATCTTAGGCGCAAAATGTTTGCCTTCTAAAAGGCTAACAGAGTAAAGAAATATTTCTTTTCAATTCATATTTCATCACAGCCCTCTCTCTAATATGCGAATTAGCAAAATACTTTGGTAACAAATAAATTAAGTAGTGGTTAGGTAAAAATAATGAAACGAATATCAACTTTATGTAAGCACAGAAAACTGGAAGAAATTCTGAAAAATTGGAAGGAATCAAAATTGAGTTATGACCCACTTTGGTATGTTCTGTGTGGATGACTAGGATAGAGAGAAGGTTTGTACCAGCTTCTTTTGAGCGTATTGGTTAAATTTTTAAATGTGGATTCTGCTAACTTCAACAATATGCAAACGAAAAACCTGTGAACCATATATAAACTTTTATGGGATACGGCGGACAATTTTTAAAGCTTTATTCTTGTCAAGTTGTTGTTTCAATCAAGTGAATGAGAGTAGACTTCTTGATCATCATTAACTGTCCTTCGCCCAACCTGGCCAGATATGATATTTAACCATACAACGACGAATTATTTCTTTTCGATTAGCTACTAGTTACCATTTTGTAGAATTTATATTGAATTGGATACTGTTTAGGCATTACATTAGTTTTAAATTATGTATTTTTATAATCACCTAATGTAGCTGCATTACGATGAAAAGAAAGCTCTAGTTATTTGCCATCAGCGAAAATTTTACAAAGGTTGTATTTATTTATGGGAGAAACAAAAGTTGTAAGTTTTCTTAATTTGAGTACATGACAGTGTGCTCTGAACTTATAACTTAGATATGATCAAATCCTTCGATATTACATATCACAAGATATGAATAAAGAGATAATGAATGTATGTGAAGATTGTGGGTACGTCGATAATATATATATATATATTGTTTCTTGCATTTTCTTGTATTTAATATCGCTTCTTATTTCCCAATACTTGAGCAAATTTGGTGATTGCCCCTCCGAATTCATGTTACATAACATTTACCAAACTGATAGTGTAAAGTATTAATTTTAAATAAAAGTTGTAATCATAAGGCTATTACAGCATGATATTAAATATTAGGTGGTAGTTTTCTCCTTACAAATAAAAAATATAGTAAATATTATTATTATTGCGTAGATAATTTAACACTTCTTAGTTATCTAACACTTAGTTGTTTAGATATCAGGATACACAATTACGATAAACTCTTCATCTGGTCTCCCTTCGTTGTTATTTTGTGTAATGAATTCCGGTTTTTAAAATATTGAATGAATTTCCAGTCGTCAAGTCAATGAGTAGTATACTAATCGACCAATGGTGTGCAATAGTGCTGTGACCGAATAATGGCTACCCAAGAGACCGTATTGTCCACCTAAGCCCTTAAATAATTTGAAATCAGATCACTCAATAGAAGGATAGGTTTTGCTGTATAACGAAATAAAATACTTATTTACAAAATACAACATAATAAGGTGACGTAGGCGATCAAAAGAAATCAGTTTATAGTCCACTCTCCAACCAATTAAGGACTAGTTTTGAGGTCTAATTCTTGCTTGTAATATTATTCTGACTTTTCTTACAGGTTTAAATATGTAAAAGCTTACGTTGTTTTATAACTGAGTAATCGCTTACTGATTTGTTCTGTAACTAAGCCAAATTTACTAAATGTGTTTAGTAGTACCTCACTTTAGTGTAGTGTAATTTAAAAGTCTATTATCTAAATCGATTCGTTAACAAGTGATTTCATCCTCATGCTATCCTAATTAACTAAAGCTTCAATTTCACAAAGCGAACTATTATGCTTCTTGTGTGTTATTAAAATGTTCTTTGGTTTTCTACCATAGATTAGTAGTTAACTCTTCTATTTTCATCGTCAGATAGCCAATGTCTTTAATTTAATGATCATCTATTATTTACGCTGTTGATAATTCACTTGTCTTTGCTTATTATTTATGTAGTGATCAAATGCCTAATTTATGGCTTACTGCTTTGATTCATTACGCACACAAACCCGAACATTCTGATATTCTTAAACGAGTCATAGATCGTAAGTCCTAATTTTATCTATTTATTTATTGGATAATAACTTTTTCAACTTCACTTTTATTACTTTATATTTACTATACTTATAAATATGGTTTATTCGAATCGAGCTATTCATCTTTGTTGAGAACTGTATCAAGAACTATATGAACTGTACGGATCGTGGGTGCCCATTTCTGACGAGTCTCATACTAAGATAAAGCAGCTATCCAGTACTTCCAGGTTTTCAATGGTGTTCTAATGTAAATGGCTTCACGATCTCAATGAAATTATACAAAAGATTAGTTTTCATAGCTTTGTTAAAATGATTCCGAGTGGTTAAATATAAAGAAATTTCTTAGGAATGTTTAATAATGACTGTTAAAAACATTTTATCTTCTGAAACATGTTTGTTCATATTAGAGATGCAAACTGTAAGGAAAACAATCTTATAATGAATAAGATGTGTCATTAAATCTTCAGGTAACATAAACTGTCAAATACCATCGAAGCTTTCTGGGAACGTACCTAAATCACTTTAGAACTGGTCTCCAGAGTAACTAATCAGTTAGATATCTCTGTGATTTTCACTATAAAAAAATACTACTTTAAAACTTGCTTTATCTGTAGACTAGACTTTGGATAAAAAATAATTTTGAATTTTTTACCTTCAAGCCCATAAGTAACTTTCTTAGCTCTTGATCTAGTTTGTTCGAGTGACATTAAAACGTTTTAAATCTTTATGTTAGACAAAAATGGACTAAACACACGTTCTAGTGTTCAATGGGAAATTAGAAGATATTTATTGATATCTTATAATTACATATTTGAAATTTTTTTAATTACTAGTTGACGGCTAAGCAACTGAGATTAAATTCTTGAAGAAAAATAAGCAGTAAAGCTGATTCGCTATATATCGTAAATTGTCTTCTCACAATATTTTCCAGTGATTAGTTCCCAACATAAAATAATTGATTAACCTCTATCAGATAAAGTTTTGACTTTAATTAGTCTATTGATATATGAATATTTTCAGTATGATGATTTGTGGAGATTGTAGTATTTTCTTAGTCGACCAGTGGAGACGAATCCGTGTCGTATGTGAGATAGTTATCCACCTCAGGCAATGGATGAAAGGTTGTGCAAGATCATGGGTCGATTGGAGTTAGGCATTAACACCGTTGGATCCCGGCTCAGTGGTCTACAAGTTAAGAGTTCACGCGCAAGACCAGAAGTCCTGGGTTTGAGTCCCGTATGCGGGGTCGTGGATGCGTACTTCTAGGGAGTTCCATACTAGGACGAAACAGCTGTCTATTGCTTCCAAAGTTTCAATAGTGGTCTAGCTTAGATCGACTCATGAACCAAAATATGAATATTTCTCATAATGAATTTTGTTAAGTGTGTGTAGATACTCACTGGCATTACTTTTATTTATAATACTAATCACTCAATCTATTCATTGACTGTAAACTTCTTAGTTGTCTATCTTTGACTGATTGCTGTGTATCACTTCACACTTTACTTTCTATTCTTTTGAAAACATATACAGAAGTGGACCGTTTAAATCTGGCGACACCACTTGTTGTCCTACAGTTATTGTGTGATAGTGATCCTGAACATTGTTGTAATGTTGGAACGATACGTGTAAGTTATAAGCACCTTTAAAATCATTATCTGTTTTCATTTTGTGTATATATGGATATATAACACATTCTAAGAGTGCTATCTTAAGTCAGGGTTTCTCCTCTTCGAGTATCCATCCATTAGCATTTCAGTAATCATTTGTGATTTCCACTACAGCTAGAACTAAGTATTCATTACTTCTGATTTCACAATGTTGTACATAAGGCTACGAATAATGTATCTATGTATATTTCATAAATGGATCTTCACTTTTTGTACTTACCAGATATGTATATCAACTTACTTTATCAAATTATTTTCTGATTTCTTACGATGCTTATCCCGTTTCATAGGATTATCTTTTACGCCACTTAGAAGGTGGTAGTAATCGAATTAACAGTATGAAAAACGAAGTGGATCGTCTTCGTAAGGAAACAATGCATAATCGTGAAATAGTACGTAAATTAAACAATCAGTAAGTTTGCAGGTATCATTACCAAGTTTTGATTTGATAACTTTGAATAAATTGAGCATTGGGTAGACTGTCACAAATAAATAATATATTTGTAATATCGCAATGAGTAGAAAAATTAGATTTTCTGATGTTTCGTGACGTTCAGTTATACTATTTAAACTTGGATTAATGTTAATTTGGTTATTTATTCTCTGAAGAAGTGGCTTGTACTGAGTCACGAAACGTGAAAAAAATCTAATTTTTCTACTCATTAAATATATTAGTTATTCATAATCACTAAATGTGTATTGTATTCGTCAAATTTTCATGATTATTAATTGAAATCATGAACCTGTCAATGTGATACCACAATTGAAAACCCGAAAGTATTGGGTGGCTGTTTTGTCCTGCTATGGGAATCCTCGGCAGTGAGCATCCACGGGATTCGAACCCAGGGTTTTCGGTTTCGCGCGCGAACGCTTAACCTCCAGACCACTGAACCGGCATCCAATAGTATCAATGTTTAACTTCAACCAATGATTATAACGTTGCGATTCCGCTGTATTAATGCATGACTATTTGATTGATTATGAGTTTGAACATATTTTAATTCTTCTTCACCCTATTCAATCAGTCAGCTAGTGTGGTGTTGTCTACTTATATCCATATAAGTAGTATATGGCGTGGGTCAGACATAGAATGTATTTTCGCAGAAGACCGATGAGGAAAGAACTGAAATGAAGCGCAATCGTTTGGAAAATGCATGAGCAATGGAATTAGAGAAGAAACAGTGCAGACTGAAACAATTGGTTATTAATTTGCAAATTGACTGTTCATTGTTTGGTTATCAGAGATAGTCTGTAATGTTTGCTTAAATACATTCGATTGTCCCCAACTAGTGTTTTGTTCACAACATTTGGTGTCGCTGCCAACCAGGAGGAGGAAGGGTGCTGTTCTGCGGACGCCGCTGCGGGTCTGGAGTGGAGGTGCTAGTTGGGGCAGTCTGGTGCGGAGAGGTGGCGTCGAGTGGAGTGTTCTGGCGAGGCGGCGTTGGCTGTAGCGGGTGCTGCCGACGGAGAGGAGCAGTGGGACGTGTTGCTGCTGGGCGGACATCGGATGTAGATGGCTCAGCAGGCCGGTGGAGTACGGGTGTTGAACGTCCCAGGTGCCGGGTGGATGCGGATGTTGGTGCCCCGGCAGGTCGACGGATCTATGAAGTTCAGCGCGCCGCAGACTCGACATTCTGACGGAGAGTTTGGCACAGACTGCAGTGGAAGAAGATAGCGGCGTGGCGAGCAGAACCACCGCATGAACGAATGCTTTAAAGGGGGGACGAGTGTGGTGTTGTCTACTTATATCCATATAAGTAGTATATGGCGTGGGTCAGACATAGAATGTATTTTCGCAGAAGACCGATGAGGAAAGAACTGAAATGAAGCGCAATCGTTTGGAAAATGCATGAGCAATGGAATTAGAGAAGAAACAGTGCAGACTGAAACAATTGGTTATTAATTTGCAAATTGACTGTTCATTGTTTGGTTATCAGAACTTACAGAGATAGTCTGTAATGTTTGCTTAAATACATTCGATTGTCCCAACTAGTGTTCTGTTCACTACACTAGGACCAGGCACATATTTGCATCGGTCCAAGTTGACACACCTCATTAGCACAACAAAATGATCACCAAATTCATAGAAGCACTTACTTCAGTGGTGTTAATATATGAAAGGTAGATTGCATATAAGGATATGATACAGGAAGAAAGAATTAGTTCGTAGAAATAAAGTAATTTTAATCTCACGGTTTAAGGGAAGATAGGGAGTGAAAACACTTACACCATTGTGATCGATTTTGAGACATGTCACCCAGAGTGTGCTACCATTGGTTACGATAGTCGCATGTACCCCAACCGAGTAGTTTGCATCTACCAACACTGCTCGGATGAGAAGTTAATGAGTTTATTGTCTGATGCTGCTTTTCGGTTCGGCCGCCTCGTAGTACCACCATAACTTTGTTTCAAATACATGTTACAGAGTTAACCCAGGAAGCTGCACCTGGTTTCTGATTTTCAGCAGAGGTTATTCATTCAGATCATTTCCATGTATGTGACATTATAGGCAAGACCTTATACTTATTGTTTAACGGTTTTGTCATCTAAACATTTGAAAATGTACCAGGAAAAACACCATGGATGTAGTTTATCTAAATTTCTAAAACTATGTCATTCATTCTAAATAAATTATTTTTAACCAACTCACGATTATTCTGTTCCTAATGTGTAAATGTAGGTTACATTTTCATCAGTACTGAGCGTCAATAACCCCACTTATTTTAAAATTGTCGTTAGTTCTCTTAGGTGGGCACCTGGTGGAGTCTTGACTGGAGCACAAAATCCTCACTCAACTTACGAATATGCATGCGCATAGGGATGAAGTCCATCTTCGTACAAAAATGCGAGTCTACCTCAAAGCAATTCTCCTTGTTTTATCCTATGCCTGTAAAACGTGACATATTATAGTGGAAGAATTGCTTAAATTGCAGGTTTTCGGTCAGAGGTATATTCGAAGCATTGCTCACTTATTGTGAAACGTTTTAATGAGCATTATTTGTACCCAATGTTCTCGCAGCTGAGTAATTCCGTTTACCTAGATGGTTTTATTATTATTATTATTATTATTATTATTATTATTATTATTATTATTATTATTATTGGAATTGTTTCAGTTAGCAAGTGTAAAAAGGTATGACACAATGATAACTTTACTTATGCAAAATAATATTTGTTTTTCTTCCGTTCATCAAATGTGAAGACATCCTACTATAATAAATTCATTTGTATAATACGAATAAATTATAACTAATGTCACAGACAAGAAACAGTCAGTCATAAGCAATACATAACCTAATACATGTTTTCTTATTTTCAAATTGCTACATCACATTACCACAGTTGGATAAAGTTATCAACACAAATTTCGGAGTGGTAGAAGTAGTAACTGTATTTGTGGTAATAGAAAAGGTTGAACATATACAATAGGACTCGGTAAGCGTGAATTTGAGGATTGAAAGGTATAAAATAATTTTAGAACTCGAGGTTTAAGGGAAAATAAAGAGTGATAGCACCTCTCCTTAGCCAACCCACCTAACAATAATCACTCTGACATCCGCCAGGTAGTTTGTACCCACAAAGATAATTCACTTCAATTGTCACTAATTTCATGGACTGGTATCATGTTTTGGTTTAGCCGCTCCCAACTTTCTTCCAACCTAAACCAGTAAACAGTGTTTTTCGGTGGCAGTGATTAGGCAATTAACGACTTGTCGCTTTTGTAAAGATTTCATCTGTAGAATAATTGTGGTATTTCCATGATAAGATTTTCATTTCTTTCCAAAAGAATATTGCTAATTATTGTTTTTCATCTTTTTTCCTACCACTATTTGGTTTATATGTTTTCGCGTTCTAGAGTGAAAATATTTCAACAACAAAAATGTCAGCTGTGTCATCAAAGTCTGGACCCTCCATCAATTCATTTTCTATGTGATCATTCTTATCATAGGATGTATGTGAAATGTTTGAATTTTACTATTTCCTTGTATAACCTGTGTTCTATCGAAAAGTGATAAAATTGTTTCATTAATCATCAATAAACTTCAATCATTGTGAAGAGATTAACAAACATGGTATTAGTTATTACTTAATCATCGATCAATATGAAAATATCAGTACTGTTGGTATTTTTTTCATATTTAGATCTTAACCATTATACTTGGTATCTACAACGTTAAACTTGGAAAAGGCTGTAGTAAAACTAACTATTTACAGATTTGACAACAGTTCTTATAATTTTGTATAGATATTCATTATTTGATGATGAAAATTTAGTTTTTATCATGATTGCTAGAAAGATAACTGCTATGATATTGTATTGTCGAAATTGATAGACTGTTATATTATTGAAATATTTGCTAACATCTTGTCGAATTTTTCCTAATGTAAAATAGAACCTTGGTATATAAAGATTAATTGGTTTTTTCCACAGATAACGTTCATCCACGCTTTTCTTGTTAGATTGTTCTACATCTTGTTGGTTAGTTAGAAATGTAAGAATCTAAGTCTCTCAAGAATCACACATGTATAAATTGTATTCGATATATGGAAGTAAATTAAAACCGAGTCGTGGTAATTTGTTTAGTAGATTGTCTTGGTTAAGTTTTACGATTGAGACTTTTTTTAATATGAATAGAATCTAGTGTGAACTCGATAAATCGGGTAACCTATACACAGCATTTTAAAAACACATCCCCAAAGTGTGATAGAATACAGAGAAAAATTAGAAATTCAAAAGAAGATTAGTATTGAAGAACTCAACTTTGTTAATGAAATAATAACAAAATTAGCAAACTAATAGTAAAAGCAATCGGTCGAATAGCAACCAAGGTCATTGTGGATATATGAAATAGAAAAAAAAAATATTATCGTGGTTATACTTACAAGCAAGAACTATTACTTATGATTAAAAAGACTAGATACCCTGAGTTCATTCATTCAGCAGGATTCAATAAAACAAATGTAGAAATTCATAATATACTGGATGTTTATCACACTGTTTCGTAATTTACTAAACAGTTATTTTTCATACTCGTGAAAAAACATCAATATAACTTTGTATGTATTTTTCTTCCTACTTATAAATTATTGATTAATAGATGCTTTGACAACTATGCTTATGGTGATCAACAATGCCCTCAATGTGCACCTCAAAATAAGTAAGTTCTTTTGTAGTTGTGGTGATCAACTTTTTTCATCATATGTTTGTATTAGTTGCTGTGTACTGGCGTTTATTTTATCGATAGTACTATCATTTTTAAGTGGACTGTTCACATAACTCATCGCCGAGTATTTTCTTTAAGAAAAAAATTGCTGAAATTGGTTTAATTCTATGTTGCTGATCATCAGTTTCAGCTTATTTACGAATATATTCAATATTACTAGCATACAATAGATGTGGTTTACGCTTTATGTTCAAGGCTGTATGTTGCTGATATCTGTTTATCGCTCAATTGTAGTTACGTTTTTTACAATATGTATCACAGCTTCAACTTTTCAATATAGTTTCCTTCGTAAACTTTCCATTCAGGAGATAAAAATAGATAAGCGGATGTTTTCATATTTTGAATTCTTTCTAATATTCTATGATTGTTAGTCTCCGTTTATGGTGTTTCTGGTTTTCACGAAGTAATTCATTCTACATTTCATCGAATGGATCCTGTAAATGAAAACGGTCGATAACAGATATCTCATTAACATTTTAGCTACCATTTTCAGTTTGACTCGAAATATCCTTTGATAATCCAAAATAAAATCCTATCACCTTTGCTTTTGCGTCTTAAGCTTCAAATATCTTTCACAATTCCAACTGTTTTTCTGCATTAATTTGTGGTTTCACAATCTGTTGAAGTTATCAGGGTGGATTCATCTACACTGTTCAAAAACATACTCTCAAGCAAGTAAAGTGGTTGTTTTATCCTCCTATCACTCTGGTATATCTAGTTAGATTTGTAATATCAATGCTACTGTTAAAGGTGTATAACTACTTCTCATACTATACAAAACTGTTTTCTCGTAATGTGCTGTTAAGAAAATTAGTTGCTTCAATCAGTGTAGATTGTTTAATTGATGTTCCACAACTATGTATATTGTTCATTTTATTGATATTAATAATGCAATTATGATATTTTTAATTATTATAGTTCATATTTATTTCACTTATTTTGACCAACTGTCTAAAACTTGATTAGATAGAATTCATAATGTACAGTCGAAATAAGTAGTTAGGACATCGTTTATGGAGTCAGTAAATTTCAGATAAGGAACGAAAATGAACAAAAAGAATGTGCAGTTGACAAGAGAAAGTCATATGTCCCGCAACTAAGTGTTGGAAATTGACGTCGCTAAGTCAGCCTAAAAATGATAACAGTAGCTTTTTAAATGCCCGGATTTGGTGTAAGCCGTTTGATAACGGCGGCTACAGGATAACGTAACAAATTCAGAGTCATTTATTTGTAGGTTATTCTGAAGGATTTTGAAATATCGATGTTGGACCTCTTATTCTGTATATGGCAAGCAATCACATAGTTGAAAATTTAACCCTCTCAACGAGCAATTCGTTCGATATAATAAAACCAGTTTAGTGGATCGATATGTCCTTTTCAATGAATCTCTTTAGTTTGAAGTCAATCTTACGGGATATTTAATCACCTTAAAAGCCAAGTTACAGAAAATAGGGTTCTTTTTTACTGCAGCACATACTTCATGTCTTAAAAGTTCTCTGCACGACAATGTTTATCTGCAAACGTTTATCAGTAGGCGTGAAAATACAGGAACAATGTTTATCTACTTGACGTGTACTCAGTGAATAACACTTTCATTACTACTCCTAATATATTTTATTTCACTTTCAAATCTAACAATTAACTGTCAATAAAATCAAGTTAGATTGTTTATTTTCTTTAGTAACTTAGTAATCACATTTTCCGACTTACAGTTTGCTCGACCTGTTCTTCATCTACTGAGACAGACTTTAAATCAAAGGGTATAGATAACAAAAGTTTTGAATAATGAATTCTAGAGATCGCTTAATAATTAAAACTAATTTTTATCAATTCTTTGTTTAGGAAGTTATTGGCTGAAATCAATAATACCTTGCCAATTAATAAATCATTATCTGAAAATGTTAAAGAATCACCTGACCAATTGTTAATTCAACTGAAAACTGCATTACATCTGGCGAAAGAAAGAAATCTTTCTAAAGAACAACCTCATAATAACATTCCCACTACAACTTTGGCGACCGATTTCAATTCATCACCAACTCATTCTCCACTCCTAAGTAAAGCGCTATCTAATGTTTTAGCTCAGAGTTCTGGACTGTTAACTAATCAAAGTAAATCAATCGGCAGTCAAAATCTAAAAGATATAAATCATGATGATGTCTTGTCTGTAGATAAGCAATCCATTGAATCTTTGAAAGTTTCGACTTCTTATAAGTAAGTGAATTGACATATTTTTATAGGTACTTTTTCCATGTATTAGTCTATGATAAAACAGAAGATTATTACAAAGTTATCGAAGATAGCCAAACTTGTTCAAATGAAAGTCAATAAAAATGAAGTGATATTTCATAATATAGTCAAGATTATCAAAAATTTCAACTATTGAATACAATAATTTATGAATGGAAGGGTCTCATTTCAATGTCATTGAAGTTTTCAAGCATTGAATAAAAAACGGTTACATCATTTAGCATAGTAACGTAAGAGCTTACGTTATGTATAAGTTTTAGAAGTAATAAGAGGTAATAATCTACAGGACAGAAGTTAATTATAACCATGTGCTTTATAAAATCAGCGAAGAACAAGTTAATACTTATCAATTATAATTTGTAAAATTCAAAGGGTTGGTTAGACAGGTTAGACCGTAAGAGAATAACGAATCGAACATGACTCTTCCATATACAGAGGTCAGATTTAACATTGTGAGTTGCTTTTTATTTTATTTTATTTTATTTAAACACAAATATTGGTACAAAGGGGCACCAGATATATATGCGCCTCACAAATCTCATTTGATTTGTGTGAGGGCTGTGATACTGCCCAGGTGCCCAGACTGAAGCAGGTGGTTTTCTTAGGGAGCCACACCCGGAGCCTTTTACGTGAAGGTCTAGTCCACAAGGCAGTGGAGCATCGTGAGGAGATGCAGTCCCATGGTAACCGGTGACCAACACTAGGTTCATACGCCATTCGTTCCTTCGGGATACTGGAGTCCATGTGCACCGTTGGTTTGGAATCAGGGTTTTCCAACTCCCCTAGATGGAATTTCCGTGTCCACCAATCTGGTTAAAGCGCCGGACATTCGCTTTTCGTCCTCTCAATTTCGGATACAACACCCCCGCCACGAGAAGGCAGTCAGTAGGACTTCCCTAACAGAAGCTATATATTCGCGTAGCCATGTGAGAGCATTTGGAGAGGGAGAGCGGACTCTCCCCACTCTCGGCCGTACCAGGGCATTTGGGGGCTTATAGCCTTAGCTGTGCACAAATTTCCCATCCAAACCTTTTCTCGACCAGTTCTTTTCAGTTTGTAGAGGATTTCAGATGACGATTCACTTGGTGTGACCCAAATTGACCGTGTTTCCAAGGATTGAACTATTGATCGCTTTGCATTCACCTTCGGATACCCATGTAGGGTAGTGCTTGGATATTCGTTTACCAAGTGCATGCTTTACACATCCAATATAATCTGCTCCACAAGGGCTAGTAAACCGATAAATGAACATTAAGATAGCCCAATGCAGCAGCTTATTTTTTACACTTTGTTGAATGAGTAACTTGCTGGTGAAAACAGTTAGGAGGAGCTCTGTTAAATAAAACGTCCTCGGGTACCCACATAGATCATTCTTTAATATTACAGCTTCCGTTCCTCTCTTGAATCTAGTGTCCAAAAATCAAACTTCCTTGAGAACTATGGGAATACTTTTGAATTGACATTTTGGTTTTAGATTATTGTCAATGTTATAAAATTTTTATTCATTGAGAGGAAAATAATTATTAGAACTGTTCGACAAAATTTGCTTACAGCTTTTAGACAATTCATAACATACATGGTTACATAATTCCCTATTTATAAATTATACCGTTGTAGCATCCCTTTAAAAAATTTTCGTTTCTAGTCAGACCACTAGTTTTACACTAGTATTACAAAGTACTTAATAATCAGTAGATGTAGTCATAATCTGATAACTAAGTGAATTAATCTTGAAATTTCCCTCATTTATTAGATTCACTTTGCATTTTTCAAAGCAACTCTTCGAATAAATTTGTTATATATATTCTTCTTCTACAATATTACTATCGACTTCCAATGGATAATATTTAAAAAGTGTCATTGAGTTCAACTAAATAACTGTGTACATATTGAATGGTTTATGTTTCGATTCATATTTCTTATGAGAGGACTAGCTACTTAGTTGTTTGTTTAGACTACAATTAGATGAAGCAGGATTTGAAAATACATCATAATTGGAAAACAAGTGTTTTCAAGTCACCTTTACTAAGTCATCACTTTAAATACTAGAGATTAGCAAAAATGAAAACCTAACTTCTTACCATTCAGTATTTTTTATTCTGATTTCTACAAATTCAATTACATTAATCGTCAGTCACTAAATTTTAAATGTTACATATGCTACTGATATAAAAGATCCCTGTTTTATTTTAATCTTCCTTTTTCAAAGATCTACATTACATAACCGTATAGTAAAATAAATGAAGCTGCTGGATTCCGTGGACAGATGGACTTGTATGATTTGTAATATTTATATTTTCAGTCGAAGAATTCTTTGTGAACTTTATAGGATCATTCCTAACTTTAAGCATTTTTCAATAAACCTGGAGTTCATATTATTTCAGTAAACTATGAAAATGAAAAATATCGTGTACTTCTGGAAGACAGTTGACTAAACATGTGTTAGTTTGTTTCGCAATGTATCATTCAGTCTTGTTAGTTGACTAGTTTTACTATTTCGACAGCTACTTTCTATTATGATATAAATCAATTAAGTCATGATACAATTCTTTTTTGAGATAAATATATCCATCTAACAAATCACTTAAGTTTACTCTTCTAAAGAAACGTGGGAATTTCCCAAAATTTCTCCAGAAATAATTTACGTTTTAATGGTAAAAACAAATATTAGTCCATAAAACTGAGTAGTGAACACATCATAATAGAACCGAAGTTATATTTTCAATACTCATTTTTGTTTTCTAAATAGTAATTCTCATCACAAAAAAGGAATGAGCGTACTGTCCTGCTAAAACGAATATTTGATTATTTTATTACTAGGTCTCCAACATTACCTGGAAACTTTTTGTCAAATCGGACTACTTTGACTTCAACAAATGCTAAAACTCCTTATACTGCTAGTGATTATCACAGTTCTTCAACCAACCCTTTTGAATTGGAATCATCTATATCTGTTGGTTATTTCTCATCTACTAATCCAGCTCAATCTGATTTATCTGTACATAAACCACTAAATCCATTTGATGAGCCCAGTGATTCTCTCAATTTTAATAATAATGATGATGGTAATGAAAACATAACATCTCATTCATTTAATCGTAAATCTGAACATCATGAGTCTCTAGATCCGGGTTTCAATGAATCTCTGATCGATGAACAGCAACAACAACAAAATCTTTCCAAGCCACGATCGTCAAATCCTTTTGATTGGGATTAATACACGAGATTATGGCTTAATTTCTGCACTATCATTGTTTTGAAAAGAATTATAGTTTCATCGGTTTAATTTTCTAAGTATATCTATTTCATTCACCTGTTTAACTTTTTTCATTTCTAACCATTAACATTACTGCTGATAATCATTCCTGTTTTCAATTTCCTTCAGTTCTTCTATGTGATTTTATTTTTTTTTCATGATGTTTACTTTGTATTTCGTAATTTTCTGACGTTTCTCTGGTATTAAGCGTAACCATAGTTTTATTCCAGACTTCTCAATAGAAATGTTTAGATCCAACCACTAAGTTGTAAATTACTCCAGTAATATGAATTTCTAATCCTGTCATGAAAATATAGTTGCTTACTTGTTATTAAAATTCCATGATGATGCAAAGAGTTATTTAATTCTGTACTGCAAGTTTTCCCACAACTCATACCTTCTTAACTCTATTATATCGAACAATGGTTCAGCTGTGCTAGGGCGGGCTTTCAAAATTAAGCCTCAAAAGACTCACACAGTCAGGTCTCTGTAACTTGATTATCTTCCGAGTCTACAAAGTAAAATACATTTAATGCTTTTGATAATGACATCTTCAATTCATAGAGTTTATCAAATAATTGTTCCGAAAGGGACATCTAACTGACCAACAAATGTTCGACGAGCTATTCCAAAACATGACCTGTGACAAATTTTTACAAAAGCATAAGAACCTCCAAGGAATCGCAGCTGCTTGTAACACACGACATACTATGAAAATCTCCTGATTCGTATTTCAACTATTGCACAGTACTCTTGTAACTGTGTTTTGCATTCCTTGATCTTGCTTGTATTATTTGATTTGAATTAGGAATTATTTTTAATGTCGGGGCTCCGACTGTAGGTCTTCCAGGATTACTGCCGGCCTCAGGCTCGGGTAAAAGAGAAGGGTTGGGCAGGAGGTCAGCATCCTCCATCCTGTGGAAAACAAACTTGCTTAAAAACACTAACCAGAATGAGCAACTTAAACTTTGCCCTCCGAGTTGAGGGAGGAATTATGACACATGGTGAAGGCCAAAATTTTTCGAAGGTCACGAGACCGGTACATGGGATGTCCGCACGATGTGGGACGCCGAGAGGACTAACTAAATAACTAATAAAATGAGGAGATAAAACTTGGAAGGCGTTTGGCAGTGTGGATAGGAGAAACTTCCTCAACACTATTGTGTGAGTAGCTGAGAAAATAGTCAGCATCATCCGGGATTCATACAACGAATTACACTACAAAGTCGTGTATGGAAGTAAGAAGTCAGACAAGGCTGCTCACCCTCTCTTGATGGTTGACTGGATTATGAAGACCTCGACATCTGAAAGGAAGCATGGAATACAATTGACAGCTTGGATGCAACTAGACAATTTGGACTTCTCAGATGACCTAGCCCTTTCATCCTATACACACAAACAGATGCAGGTCAAGACATCCAGTGTAGTAGTAGCAGAAGCAGCCTGTGCATCAGTAAGCGTCAACACATACTGAAAGGAAAGCGAGGTGATCAAATACAACATGGAGAATATCAACCAAACTAGTCACACTTGATGGAGAAACTGTGGAACAGGTGTAACCTTTCACGTCCCTGACTGGAAAGCATCATCGATAAACAAGGAGGATCGGATGCAGATGCAAAGGTAAGGATTGGCGAAGTAAGGACAGCATTCCTAAAGTTGAATAACATATTGAACGCAAAACAACTGTCAACCAATATCAAAGTCTCAAACTTCAATACGAACATGAAGACAGTTTTACTGTATGGAGCTCTTACTTCGATAATAATCACAACCATCATCTAAATTTACATATATTTATAAACAATTGTCTAGTCACGATTCTGAATTTCCGTTTGCCGGATAACATCAGACAGCTTACTGTAGAAGAGAACAAACCAATTCCCGTTTGAAGAGGAAATTGGGAAAAGACGCAGGGAGTGGATAGGACATACATTACGGAAACCATCAAACTTCACCACAAGGCATGGGCTAACTTGAATTCCTGAAGGGAAACGGAAAGGAGGAGGACCAGGGGACACATTGTGTCGCGAATCGGAAGCAGATACGAAAAGGATGAACATCAGTTGGAAGCAGCTGTAAACGACTGTCCAAGGAAGATTTTGATGTAGTATGTTGGCGGCCGTCTTATGCTCTCCCATGTGAGGTAACGGGTACAAGTAAGTCATGATGTCGGCCATTGAATATGAGGTATAGATCTTGTGAACTCAAAGTTACCGTGTTGAACGTTAATTTTACATCAATCTCTGACTAACTGATGGAAACACCTAATTATCTCGTAGTAGCTTAACATTAAATCCCATTTTGTTGATCACTCCTCTTAGGGTTTGATATACTGTGTTTTGCTTGAAAACCTTTTGATTGTGTGATAGAAGCTGTATCGGCACAGAAAAGAAATTTCCAACCCAATAATTGTAACAATTATCGATAAAAACCTGTATTCGATATGCTAGCACAAAATGGAAAAACTATCTACATGTTAGTGACTCTATATTTAATTCCAGTTGAATCAGACGGTGATGATTGTTGTCGAACTATAGATCCCGCCAATTCCTGCATATAGTTATCAACGTGAATCGCGTTAGTTAATAACGGAATAAAAATAAGTCAAATACGTGAATCAAGTTGTATCATACACAAGTTTCACACACAAGTAGGGTTGGCTACGCCTGTCACCCCTCGTGGAGGAGCATAAGCCGCACACCAGCACTCTCCGTCCAACCTGCCCTGGGCAATTCTCTCCCGTTAACATCCATCCTTTTCATATCTGCTTCTATTTCCCAACTTAATGTGTCCTTTGGCCTTCCACTTTTTAGTTTCTTTTCAAGATTCCAAGTTAGGGATGGCTTCGTGATGCAATTTGGTGTTTTCCTCAATGTATGTCCTATCTACTTACAACGTCTTTTCCTAATTTCCTCTTCGGATTCAAAATGGTTTGTCCGCTCCCATAAAACGCTGTTGCTGATAGTATCCGGCCAGTGAATGTTGAGTATTTTGCGTAAACAACTGTTAATAAATACTTGTACCTTCTTGACGATGGATGTAGTAGATCTCCACATTGCAGCTTCGCACACTAGGACTGTCTTGACGTCCGTATTGAAGATTCTTACTTTGATATTGTTTGACAGTTGTTTTTAGTTCCATATGTTCTTCAGCTGTAGGAATGCGACCCTTGCTTTGTTAATCCTTGCCTTTAAATCTGCATCAATGATGCTTCCCAGGTACGTAAGCGTTTCTACGTCTTCCAGAATTCCGCCATCAAGTGTGATTGGGTTGGTGTTCTCCGTGTTGTATTTGAGAATCTTGCTTTTTCCTCTGTGAAGGTGGAGGCCTATCGATGCAGAGGCTGCTGCTACATTTGCGGTCTTCATCTGCATTTGTTCTTGTGTATGAGAGAGGAGGGCTAGGTCATCTGCGAAGTCTAATTCGTCTAGTTGATTCTGAGAAGTCCATTGTATTCCGTATTTTTCCTCAGATTTCGAGGTCTTCTTAATTCGGTCAATCACCGGAAGAGAGAGGAAGGGGTGAGTAGACAGCCTTGTCTGACTCCGGTTCTCATAGTAAATGCAGCTGTCCTCCATGCACCACTTTGCAACGTAGTCCGTCGTGTGAGTTCTGGATAATGTTGACGATCCTCTCAGGAACTCCATAGTGTCGAAGACGTTTTTATAATGTTTTCCTAACATTGTCAAACACTCCATAGTCAATGAAGTTGATTTATAGTGACGAGTTCTACTCAACTGATTGTTCAACGATGATCCGTAGTGTCGCAATCAGGTCTGTGTACGACCTATCCTTACCGAATCCAGCCTGTTGATCTCGAAGTTGGGCGTCTACTGCGTCTTTCATTCGATTCAGCAGCACTCTGTTGAAAACTTATTAAACTGATGTCTCTGTAATTTCCACACGTGCTCAGATCCCCCTTCTTTTGTATCTTGATGAGGTATCCTTCTTTCCATTCCATTGGCACTTGTTCTTCCTCCCTAATCTTCTTGAAGAGAAGGTGAAGCATATTTGCAGTTGCTTATGTGTGTGACTTCAGTGCCTCAGCCGGTACATTGTCAGGTCCTGCCGCCTTTCCACTTCTGATTTGTCTGATGACCGTCTTGACTTCTTCGATCGTTGGTAGAGTAACATCTATTGGAAGGTCTGTGTGTGCTACTTCGACGTCCGGTGGATTGGATGAAGCTGGTCTATACAAGAAATCCTCGAATTATTATGCTCATCATATCCTCTGTTCCTGAATCTCCATGATTGTCTTTTCTTTTTTGTAATTGACTATATCTCCCTGCCAGTTTCTTCGTTGTATCATATTTCCTTCTCTTACAGCCTTTTTTGCGGTGGTTGTTAGGTCTTCCACGTATTTATAATTGTTAGCTCTAACGCTTTTCTTCAATTCCTTGTTTGCTCCTGCGTAGTCGCCTTGTGTTTGACTTTCTCTGCACGAGTTTGACTGTTGTTAATGGCTATTTTCTTGTTCTTCCTTTCTTGAATCTTGTCCAGGGTTCCCATAGAAATCCATTCCTTATGATGATGCTTATTCAGAGCCACAACCTCCTGACACGTTGAATTTAGTGCTTCTTTGATTCTTTTCCAGTCGTCCTCCATCATAGTTTCTTGTTCTTTCAGTAGATGCTGTAAAGCCTGTAACCTGTTGTTGAGAGTTATCTTGAAATCGTTGAGTTTGTCATTATCTTGAAGAAAAACTACTGTAACCTTGTAGTGCAGTTTGTCCAGTGTTTCTTTAGCTTCAGTCTCATCTTGAACACAACCAGGTGGTGATCTGAAGCTATGTCAGCTCCTCTCCTTGTTCTAACATCTTCCATTGTCCTGAATTTTTTGTTGACACAAATATGATCTATCTGGTTCTCTGTGGTGTGGTCCGGCGAGATCCATGTAGCTTTGTGTATGCCCTCGTGTGGAAATATTGTGCAGCCCATAACCAATTTGTTGAATGCACATGGATTTGCTAATCCCACCCCATTTTCACTTCTCTCTCTTAGTCCATGTCGTCCAATTATATCTTCATATCCTGTGTTGTTCATTCCGCCTTCAGCATTTAGATCTCCCATCAGGATGGTGAGGTCCTTTCTTGATCAACTAGCTATGATTGATTGAGCCTCGAGTAGAGCTGATAAATGTCGTCCTCGTTGCTATCATTGGTGGGTGAAAAATATTCGTTGTGATTCTCTCCTTCTTTGTTTTGAATGATGCTTTGGTTATCCTTGGTCCATGAGATTCCCATCCTATAAATGAATTTTGTACTTATCTGGACAGCATTAGAGCAACTCCGTGAGTGTGTGGAGCATTTTCTCTTTTCATGACCGGAGAACAGAGGCATCTCGCCCGTATCTAGCCTTTGTTGGCCAGATTGGGACCTATGGTTTTCGCTGATTCCGAGTACTACCAAGTTGTATCTCCTCATTTCCTTTGTTATTTGACTGGTCTTCCCGGTCCCCCACATTTTCCGGACGTTGCATGTATCGATAAAAATTGTTGGTCTGGTTGTTATAAGGGGGATCGGCGTCCTGACTACAGAAAACTGTCGGCTTTCACAGTGAGGCGTCATGATTATTCCTTGAACTCCCAAGGCAGATTTGAATTATTTTTTCTGATTAACGTTTCGTTAGCGGGCTAGTTTTCCACGGCATGGGGTCTATGACCGCATCCCCAACCCTCCCCCTTTGTGTGGGCTTGGTACCGGCGGAAACTCTAGAAGAGCTACAGGTGGAGTTACATTAAAATGAACAAAGTACATAAATATCGTAAAGAGTAGTGTCAGTAGCGAATATAAGCAGATTGATAAACGTAGAAAAAATTAACACGCCTTCATGATCTGCAGCTCTGTGTACGATAAAGCAACACCATCGTATGAGTGGTTCAAAATGCCGTGAAAACAGTACTATCTCGTTCATCATTTTTGAATGTGTATGGTATTTGTAGGTACTAATGATTTCCTTGTACTGGATTCCTGCTGATTACGATTTATAAATACATTGCGTTCATTTCCGTTCATCTAATTCTACCTGTCTTAAATTTCACTTTTTCGGGCATTGCTAGTTAGTATTGATGATGCAACGGATATTCTAGTTTTACAACTAGATACCAGTAGCACCTTCTAAATTCGATTGTTCACAGTCAGATAGAAATCAGAAGTCAGACGAGAAGAGGCAGGAAAGATATATTTGATTCGTTGCCAATATATCGAGGACCTTTTCTATGAGCTGGCTAATGAAACGTAGGAGCTGTGTCCCACGCCGAGTCGAAACGTGATCTGGTACGGATGCATGACCGAAAGCCTTCAGCTAAACAAGTCCACTTAAACACGTGGTCAGCATCCAATGTCGAACACTTAATGAACTATTGATTTTGGGGAATTATTTACAGCTACAGATCACTCCCCCCCCCTAGTGAGGTAGTGATGCCCCTAAGACGTGACCAGCCAGAAGTTTAAACCCAACGAGTTTGTCGCTGTTAAACACTCTTCTGATAGCTTGCTTCGTTTAGCAGCATCTGGTCGTCTTTCCTTAAACTATGGGACCAAAATGTACAACATAGCAATAAAGAAATATAGTACAATGAAAATTTCGGTTTCTTGCGAAACTTCGTCGTTCTTTTCCAGCCGTCCTGGAAAAGAGGAAAAATAAAACGTGTGAGTGCGTGTCGAAAATACACTCGTACTTGCGTAAGGACACAAGATGAGCGGAAAAAATAAACTGATACACTTACAAACAGCGTAAAAGCGATTGGAAAAAAATGGTTTGTTTTTGGGGTTTTTTTATATATAAAAAGTATATATATATACGCTCAAAAAAAGATAAAAATGTTTTGTTTTTTTTTGGTTTTTTTTATATAAATAAAAAATTATCATATTAAAATTTTTTTTATAATGAACTATGGAAGGGTAATTCAAGGTAAAGCTTACGTCCTACGTGCAATATTCGTTACGATGTTCAGGAAATCTTACTCTTCTTCCAGAACGCGTTGTTTTAGGTTTTTCTATCGACATTGACGAAGTATCAAGTTGTGTGTCGGTTGTCGTGTGGGGTACTACGAGTGTAGTAGCTGTGTCGTTTGCTTGTACCGAAGGAAAATCGACGTAGCTAGGGTTTCCTTCTAAGTACGCAGCTTTGAGTCGATCGATACTGATGCTATCGTTCGTACCGTTCTTATCAACTACATAGTACTTAGGTTCGCGTTGAAGAACTTTGAAGGGTCCTTCGCATGCTGATTCGAGGGGTCGTCGATGAGAGTCTCGACGAACGAAGACGTGTGTACTATGTCGTAATTCGGGTTGAACGAAAACATCAGTTGATTGAGGTCGAGTGTGAGCAGGTTTAACTGAACGCATAGCGTTTGTAAGCCTACTGATGTAAGAGTTTAGATCCATGTTCAATGAAGAAGCTGAAGGATCCACGAATTCTCCTGGGAGTCGGAGTGTCGTTCCTTAAACGAGTTGAGATGCCGTGTATCCAATGTCAGCTTTCACTGCATTGCGGATACCTAGCAAGACGAGTGGAAGAGCGTCTGTCCACTGTGAAACGTTTGAAGCTGATAATGAAGCTTTTAATTGTCGATGAAAACGTTCTACCAACCCGTTTGTTTGTGGGTGGTAGGCGGTCGTTCGGAAGCGCGTGATTCCTAAAAGTGAGGTGAGACAACGGAAAAGTCCAGATTCGAACTGGCGTCCGCGGTCTGTAGTGATGGTTGAAGGGCAGCCGAAATTTGCTACCCATCGTTCGACGAAAGCGCGGGCCTCGGTTTCAGTAGTAATGTCCTTAATCGGTACTGCTTCTGGCCATCGAGTAAAACGGTCTACGCATGTTAGGAGATATGAGTATCCGTTCGAGTCGGGTAAGGGTCCTACCAAATCTAGATGGACGTGGTCGAAACGAGCGTCAGGGGTTTTGAAAGAACCTAAGGGACATTTGTTGTGTCTGATTACCTTAGATTTCTGACAGCTTACACAGGAGCGTGCCCACTCCCTCACGTCTTTATTCATGACAGGCCAACAAAAGCCTTCGGCTATAAGTTCGATTGTTGCACAAGCACTTGGATGAGAAAGATTGTGCAACGTATTGAAGACGTTGCGGCGATAGTGTTTTGGTACAATTGGACGATCCCTACCTGTAGATGTGTCACAGAGTAAGGTTTCCTTACCTGTTCCCATCTGCCTAATACTTAGTTTAAGAGTTGTCGAGGATAACTCATGCTGAAGATCAATGTCCTCTTTTTAAAGCTGAGCGAGTTTAAGAAGGTCGATTTTGAAGTCGGATAATTGCAATTTCTGGAAAACTTACCGTACTGGTTATGATACCAGCACCAGTCGGGATTGTCTGTCTCTCGTGGTCGAGAGCCAGATCGCTTACGTGAGGCGCTTCTACGCGGGGTTTTTGACCGACTACGGTCATAACGAACTCTAAGATATCGTGTAAGCGTGTGACATAGTTCGGCCATATCAGTCGAGGTCGATTGGGGTTTTTCTTTGACGGAAAAAACCTCGGCCTTAGAAGATCTATTGATTTCCAAGATTCGATCGGCAGATGCAGCTAGTTCATCTATGGCATTGTTTTGAAATGAAACAAGCACTGCCTGCACCTGTTGAGGGAGTTTAGACATGAAAAGTTGTCTAAATAGGCCATCATCGAAAGTCCGTTGGCCGACGACTTCTCTCATTCTAAGCAACATGTCCGTCGCAGAACCATGTTGCAAGTCGATATTGTTAAGGAGTTGGTCTAACCGTTGTCGATCAGTTAGGTCTCCTCGTTTTAAAATCGATAGCTTAAGCGTTTCGTAAGGTTCGGGAACATCACTAGTAAACATACTAGGTGTTACGTACCTGTTAAACTCGCGCGGTAACGCCTTAACTACCGCGAGGAAACGTGTGCGCGAGTCCGTGATTCCGTGCATGCTAAAATCGGCTTCTGCATAGCAGAACCAGGACTCGATATTGTCGGGCCAAAATGGCGTTAACTGAATCGAAATAGGGGGAATAGACTCAAACTTAAGAACCTAAGGAGAGTGTTCCGTCATAGTAATATAGATATCGAAAAATGTCTAAGTAAAATATATTCGAGAAAAAAAACTGCGAAAAAAAGTATATCACAATATATAAAATTCAAATAAAGAATAACAATGAATAATAATATTCCAAAATGGAATAGACTCACAGTATATTGACTTGGTGTACCTGATCACGTCGGTCTCACCAATGATGATGCAACGGATATTCTAGTTTTACAACTAGATACCAATAGCACCTTCTAAATTCGATTGTTCCTAGTCAGATAGAAATCAGAAGTCAGACGAGAAGAGGCAGGAAAGATATATTTGATTCGTTACCAATATATCGAGGACCTTTTCTATGAGCTGGCTAATGAAACGTAGGAGCTGTGTCCCACGCCGAGTCGAAACGTGATCTGGTACGGATGCATGACCGCAAGCCTTCAGCTAAACAAGTCCACTTAAACACGTGGTCAGCATCCAATGTCGAACACTTAATGAACTATTGATTTTGGGGAATTATTTACAGCCACAGTATACCAACTTGAATACTTTCAATTATCATATTGGCGTCGTGATGGGCTGTGATTGTGGATTGGTGTTGTTTGTATTACATTCAAATTCCGAAGCTGTGGAAGAATACGTTGAAAGATTTTAGATTTGGAATATGACCAGGTAAGATGTTAAGGATGATAAAATTGTGGCTCAATTCCTTAAATTAATCAGAAAAGATGCATAAAGCTTACTAAAGTCCTAGGCATTTCCAGATAAGCCTATTTCACTTCCCTACACAGATCACATAGAACTGCCAATAAATTATGTAAAGCAAACAAGCTATGAATGCCGCGACGGATTGACGGATCAACCAGCAGATGAACAAAATCACGTCATAGCAACCTAACATACAAACCTTTAGGAGAAATTTGAATTATTTTAGGAACCGTTAGACCTAATGAGTGACGTTAAGATCATTTTTATTTGGATTTTAGTTTGTTTAACTGCACCATTTCAATTGGTAAACGTAGTAATGGAACGCAAAAGTATAAGTTGTTGAGGTACAATTTGATGACAAATAACACGGATGATCAGAACTCTTCATCTGTCGGAATAGATGATGCGGTTGCACAGTTTGAAACATACGAGGACTATCTTGATTCCCAGATAACTGCCACTGATCTTTTTTATTTAGAGGTGTATCATTTTTTTTCGCTAACTGATAATTTTAAGGATGAGGAAGTAGCTCGACAACTTGTTGAATTGGGTTACAGAGGATCAGGTGAAACACTCAAACGTGAGGAGTTCAACAGTCGTAAGAAAGCACTTGCGGAGGCGATGTTAGCCAAAGAGCAACAAAAAAAGTAAATTGCCGGGGTATCTCATCTTAACCTTTTTTCACTTTTTCTCACTTGTCTCCAAAGTATGTTGTATTAATCTGTATATTTTTCTGCGTAAATTTTTATCTGCTATTCTTTTCCAGTCTGCCCTACGCTCTGTATATGCTTTGCAAACTCGTAAACATGCATAAGACCAATATTGGTCTTCATTACTAATACTAGGTATATTAAACACTGGCAATAGCCAAATTTTATTGTTGTTTTCAGTTGAATTGCAGAGCACTTTATTTGTTTTTTGCATTAAATTGCTGTACAATGGCGTACATGAGAACTAAACAGTTTGGTGTGTATTTAGGCGAAATGCAGGTAACTGGGCGACACTTCAAACATCCAGAGACAAACAGGGGTGTAGCGGCATATAAATCCTCGAAATAATTTGTTCCGTAAGTCTTTGTCGTTGATTCGGACGTCATTGGCTTTACTACATATACTCGGTCACATTTTCGCATCAGATCATTGTTGGGTACGCCGTGCTACGCAGCTCTTGCAGCCGTTAATCAGCTTAGACAGAATGCTTATCGACATTTTGATGGCCTTTAAAACATGTCTCTGCACCACTCGTTTTTTCGATTTCTGATTTGACCTGGTCGGTGTCATGCGATCAAAGAGGTGTCACACTTAAGTGTTGTCAAACTCCGAATATCTGTGGCATATTTACGAGAAATGTCCCACTATTCCCCCATGGAAGGTGAGGACCTTTTGGAGCTTCCCGACCTATTTGCCTCTTATTTTCTTGTGGGATTCACCTCACACTTCCCCTTTATCGGCTGCTCAGTGTGTAAGTAGCTATCATAAAAATTTCCGCGTGATAAGGATTCTAAAAGTGACCCATTTTCCTCGAAGTAATCTTGCACAACTTCTACACATACCACCATTCAGTTTTAAAATCGTGGAATGAATATTATCATGAAAAAATGATGAGGGGTAAACTTTCGGGTGGAATCAGTGGTCAAATTTTCAAAATCAATCTTGCATTCTCCAACAAACTCTGTCCTTGGTCTTCCTTTCTAATTCCATTCAATTTTTGTTCATTTTTCTCATGTCCGTCTCCATTTTCCGGCGCAATGTGTTCTTTGGTCTTCCTATTCTCATTCCGCCTTAAGGATCCCATATAAGGGCTTGCCTTGTGACGCAGTTGTCATCAGTCATCACTTGAAAGGAGTCAGTGAGCTGTCCTCCATGTACGATTTTGCAGTTTAATCCAGCATATGAATTCCGTATGATATTGACTATCTTCTCATGCACGCCGTAGTGTCGAAGAAGCCTCTATGGTGTTGTTCTGTTCACGCTATCAAATGCTTTTTCATAGTCAATGAAGTTGATGTAGAGTGATGATTTCCATTCGATTGATTGTTCCACAAGGATCTGTAGAGTCGCGATTTCGTAGGTACACGATCGATCCTTACGGAAATCAGCCTGCTGGTCTCAAAGTTGGACGTCTACGGAGTCCTTCATCCTGTTCAACAATACTCTGTTAAAGACTTTTCCTGGTATTGAGAGAAGACTGATACATCTGTAACTCTTACACTTGCTGAGATCTCCTTTCCTTGGTATCTTGATCAGAAGTCCTTCTTTCCAGTCTGTCTGTACTTATTTTTCATCCCAAATTTGGAGTATCTTTGCAGTTGCTGCTACATCTGCTTCCAGTGTCTCTTCCGGAATGTTGTCTGGTTTTGCTGCTTTGCCGCTCTTGATTTGTCTGATGATCAAATTGATCTCTCAATTGTTGATGGGCCAACATCGGTTGGGAGTTCCGTAGGTGCTACTTCGATGTTGGGTGGGTTCAGTGGAGCTGGTCGATTCAAGAGTTCTTTGAAGTGTTCCACCCACCTGTTCCGTTGTTCTTCAATATTGATGATTACCTTGCCCTCCTTGCTTTTCACTGGTCGTTCTGGTTTATGGTAATTTCCAGAGAGTTTCTTTGTTGCATCATAAAATTGTCTCATGTTCCCTTCTCTTTCAGCCTTTTCCGCCGTCATTGCTAAATCTTCCACATATTTACGTTTGTCGGTTCTGATGCTCCTCTTCACTTGCTTGTTTGTTTCTGTGTATTTGGCTTGTGCCTTGGCTTTTTCTGTTCTTGTTCGGCTGATTGTTGCCTTCTTGAATCTTATCCAATGTATCAACAGTGATTCACTGCTTGTGGTGGTGATTTTTGTGGCCCAGAACCTCCTGATAAGCTGAAGTGGTTTCCTCTTTTATCCCTTTCCAGGTGATCTCCACAGTAGTTCCGTTTTCATTGAGTAGGTCATGATAGACTTGGAACCTTTTGCTGAGGGATATCTTGAATTTGTTGAGTCTGTCAGTATCTCGAAGAAAAGTCGTATGAAACTTTTGTAATGTTGTCCGCGCCGTCGCCCGGTGCTTCTTCAGTTTCAGTTTCATCTTGGTGACCAGCATGTGATGATTTGATTCTATATTAACTCCTCTCTTGATTCTCATGTTTTCAATCATCCTTCTGAACTTTTGTTGATACAAATATGGTTGATTTGGTTTTGTATGGTGTGATCCGGTGAATTCTATGTGGCTTTGTTTATGCATTTATGTGTGAATATGGTGCCGCCTATGATCAGTTTGTTGGAAGCACATAAGTTTGCAAATCCTCCACCATTTTCGTTCCTTTTCCCAAGTTCATGACGTCTTCGTATCTGGTGCTGCCTATTCCAACCTTGGCCTTTAAATCTCCCATTAGAATGTTCATGTCCTTCGTTGGACATTTCTCGACGATTGACTGGGTCTATCATAGAATAGATAAAGTCTTCACTGTAGTCGTTGGTTGGATGGCATTCATCGTAATGCCCTACTTCCTTGTTTTGAAGGAGCCTTTGACAATCCTGTGTCTATGAGGTCCCCATCATATAAGTGCATTTGAGCTTGTTTGGACAGCATCAATACAATTCCTTGTACATGTGGTGCATTTTTTTCTTCATGTCCGGAGTATAACAGAAGCTCCCCTGAAGCTAGTCTTTGTTGTCCAACCTGCATCCAATGTGTTTCACTGGTTCCAAGCACCTCTAGATTGTATCCCCCCATTTCTGCAGTAATTTCGAAGACTTCCAGTATCCCACATTGTACGAGCATTCCATGTACCTGGGTAAATGGTTGCTCTAGTTGTCAGAGGAGGCATCGTCCTCATGGCTTTCGAAGGAACTCAGCCTTCACCATGATGCTTCATAACACTTCTAAATGAAAACCTTCTGACTCCCAGGATGGAGTTTATTATCAAATGACGCAGGCCACAAAGCTACAAGCACATGAGTAAGTATCAGAGGGCAAGTGCAAGCAATTAAATAGGCAAATTTATAGTCGAATTGTATAAGTGCGCAGCAAGACAAAGCAAAGGCTAATAACAGGATTTCAGTACATACATATATGAGGAGAAAGATGAGTCATCAAATGATGTTTAAGCAATCAACGTTTTGGCTAGAGTCTGTCGTGTGCTCTAGTGATCATAACAGTACAAAGAAATATGCAAATTGTTACTATCCAAATGACAATATCTGTTAAGTACGTTAATAAAAGAGCTTAACCAAAATTAACCATAATCGAAATTGATTGAAGGATAGTTTGTATAACACGTTTGACTAGCTGTACCTTTAGAAAACATACATTCCTAACATCTTGCCCACATTTCACCCGCCCATTACAGAACAATGTATTTTAAATTTCATGGTATTTTACCAATAAATAATTTAAAACATTTATTGAACATTAAAGCACCATAGTTGGACGCTCAGCCACAGTACACTTTCACATTCATTGACAGAATCAACTAAGTTTTCAAGATTATTTATGGTAAATAAGCCTGTCTTTAAAAATATTAATTTCATACCTTAGAACCACCAGGCCAGTAAAAGAAACTCGTGGATTGTTTACCATGACAATGTGGTACTGTCTATCATCTTAGAATTTATCTTCATCCCGAAAATAACGTCAAAGTAGAGGCTTTGTAAAGCATATAATTACTAAAGTAGTGTTTCAGATTAAGACTGTACTCTAGGTTCTCTCTATAATCACATTTTTTCCTTTTATATTCAAAGCCTTTTTATGCCATTGTACTCGAATGATTTGGATCGTTCTTCCTAACATGTTGAAATATGAATTTGCAAACACCCAAGCTTTAATTTATCTTTTACCAATATGCGTCATCAAAATAGATATTTTACCGTCCCACCTTAAATGACAAGTCACTTCAACAAACTCTTATGACAGGATCATCTTTCGGAATTACTTTCTAAGCATATAAATCAGTACCTTTATGAAAATTTATGTTCGTTTCAGCGCATTGTCTTCCTTCGGTTTGAAGATAACGTGTCCACTTATTCGAGCTTTAGCTGAGCGGGAAGGTTCTAATCGAACTGGTCAAATGTCTGTAAGTAACATTGTTTAGCTTTTGAAAAGAGCGGTAGTACATTTTAAACTACTGAGCGAATTTCAGCTATTTAGATCATTTGACAACTTTTGTAAACATTATAAACTATCTGGCCAAACATTGGCTGTTTAAAGATATCTTTGTGAAAGTCGGCATAAAATGTATGACAAAATATTAAGTAAATTAATTAGAGGATCAACCTAAAGCTCATTGTTAACTGTCATTTTTAATCGTTTTTGGTTTGATGGTATGTGATATATTGGACAACAGAAATCGTTCATTCCCTATTCCTTTTAGTTGATAAATTACTGTTTCACTTCCAATCTTGTCAGTCTAGTAGTTGGTTTGACTCTTGTATAAAAAGACTTTTTATCATTATGGAAATCGGATAACATACTACGTTCGTGGGCGTTGCTCCCTCAACATTATTCGTAATCAACTTGTTATTTCCAATTGTTTCTGTCATGCTCATTTGGAAGGATATATTTGAAGTTAATTTAAACCTACATTTCACCATCACTGTCATCATTTGAAGTCAAAATGTATCTACAGAGCTGTAAAAACACAGATTGGCAATTTTTAAATTTGAAGAATTTAGAATTCTGCAAAACTAAAAGTGGCATTAGATTTTTAAATGTTGAAACTTCATCAGATATAAGAATTTTCCATCCATTAGTTTTAAAGATATACGTGATGAATGCGTTTCCATCAAGCATGCAACACTTTATAATCAGTTACTATAAAGTAAAGAATTTAAAGGTTTAACTTTAATCTCATAACGGTCAAACAATTCAGGTCATCGTTTAAGCTATCTGAAAATGTTCCATGTGGCCCTTATCTTCGTGCTTCACAGTGTTTATCATACGTCCCTTGAAGTATCAATGGCGAAAGACTGTAATAACTAATTTAGTGATCTAGATATGTATCTCGACTTAGTGTCATCCTCAGTTGTATAGCTTGATTTCTTGTTCTTACCCAACTAGCCTGAAATCCCTTTTTAGCTATAAATATGTACCTGAATAGAGAGTCGCTGACTGAAGGGACAAATTGCTTAATTATGATAACCAACACAATCCAAAAATTAACTGACCAAATGGCTTTCATGCCTGAAAGTTCAGGGCTGATTTAGCCACAAAACATTTGATATTTGTAACTCCTGTCTCTAAAGAAAATGAATAAAACATTGGTCATCTGAGTTATTTGCAGCCCATTATTTACATTTTGCTTTTCTTATAAACCATCCTACTGGTTCAAGCTTTTAATAATCACCCACTTAAATTTAAACTTAGGACCCATTTTATTTACTTCAGTCTGATCACCTTGATAATATTTCGCTAACCTTTCAACAGCTGCCTCAACAATATACTTTTTTTAATCGATTTATACCTAACTCTTGCATTGCATTTTAAATTTTTATATTTTCAGACTATTATTTTTATTAGAGATCAGAATTCACGTGGCCAAGAAATATCTGGCTATATAGATTATGCACATCGTTTAAAAACTGAAGACTTTATAGTGTACTTTAAAGAAAAGAAAAAATTGCTCCCAAGACCAGGAGATCTAAGGTATATTGTAAAACAATGTGTTTAATTTGCTTAGTAAGTCAATTTTACTATTTTTAATAAACAGCAATTAGTTTTCTATGATTTTATTCAGAAAATCCCATGATTATATCATTCTGTTCCCAAAAGAATCAAAGTACAGGAACTGAAAAACATGTTAAGATGGGTAACAAATGAATTGTGTCTAGAGCCACAGAATTCTACTGGATCAACCGCGTTACCATACTTATGCAGTAATTAAACTTATTAGTAATATTGAAACTGTTGATCCATATGCGTTTATGATCAAGTCTCAAAGCAGATTCAGAAAACTTTGTTAGTCTTTACCAAAATGTGTCACTTATAATATGGTCTGATAACCGAAAGATAAATATACTGTGCAGCAGCAAGCTTTGTCCTACTTTATAGATGCTAAGCATGGTCATTAAGATTAAAGGGCATTTAAAACTTACTTCGATCTGATTGTTGGCGCTTTCGAAACATAACTTGCGTATTTTTGGACTATCAAGCGATCGATGCTAATGTTAAGCATAGGATTTTAAATGAAGGTGGTTATTCGGTTGATGAGGTAATGAAGTCTCATCAACTGAGGTGGTTTGGATATGCACCACGTAAGCCAAACTACCGTCTATCTCGACTGGAGATCTTATCTAGCATAGGAGCAAGTTATAAGGAAGGTAGGGTCTAAAAATCAATACGTGATAGCACTTTATGAAATTATTTATATGACAGCCATATTAGTAGATATAAACTACCTAATTAGGACTCCAGTGATAATCATAACCAATGGTTGTAGAAGCTGAATGTTACGGCTCAGAATCGTTCGTGATGGTCCAGGTACATCTAGTCTTCTTATTTTTTAGATCACGAGTCTCGAAATCAATTTATAGGTATTTCATCATTATGTATCTAACATTTCCTACTATTACCGATACTGCTACCTCTACTAATCTGGCATTTGTGATGATAATTTCATCTCTCTTTGTTAATGTGATATAGCAACCTAAAGCGGTGCAAAAATATCCTAGTTTATAATGTGCATATTACTAACTGACTTCCGGATTCATACTTAGTCATTTAACTCCTTCAAACAGTAAAGTTTTGTCAAATAAAGCCATTCTAGTTAAGGAAGTTTATTTACACTAGAGTCGTTTAAAACACTGAAAAAATAAACAGACTAGACATTTTTATAAAAAATCACTTAACTCTACCAGAGTGAGACATAAAATAGTCTTTACATCGAAGATGGCTGCTCGATATGATGTATTTAATCAGTTTTTCTGACGATATGCTTTTCATTTCTACGTTTCCAGAGATTTGAAATAATCCCGTAGCATGTATTTAAAATGCTCACTTTTATTCTTAGAAATACAATATTTCTAATTCATAGTTCTTAGGTTTAGAATTTTAATCACATTCTCGAGAATGAAGCCCTATTCACCTTTTTATCTATAACTGCCTTAAGTTTAATCTACTGACTAAGTAATTTATCCCTTTCGAATATAATGGCACACACTTATCGTAAATTAACACGTAGATTGGATTTTATTTATATGATTCCATGTGTAAATGACTGTTTGAAGTATGAAAATTCCATATATATATATATATATATATATATATATATATATATATATATATATATATATATATATAAACTTAATTCCTAGTTTCTACAATTGGGAAACTCACAATGTTGTAGCCAATTCATCACCAAATTATACTGTTATAACAGAAAATCCTAATGGCCTTCTTTTGAAGAACAAACGTGACAGAAAAATTTTAAATTTTGATCCGACTGTAAGTTATTGTTTTGTTTTTATTTAAAAATGGTATGAATTTCTAACACTATTCAATTCTGAATCTCTTAGGCTTTTATTAATAGCTCATTATACATTAGAATTTCAGGCTTTCTTATCAAGCATATGACAGAACTAAGCATTTATGGATAATAGCAGAATATTTAAAGCTGTACATTACCACATTAAATAGGAATAATATATTTGTAAAATCTCAGCGAATGAATTTTTTAAATTAAATCCAACGTTTCGCCTGGCAATCTGGTCCAAGCTTTTTCAAGGAATTATAATCAAACATCAAAATTATCGAATATAAATAGGTACATGGTTCTCCGAGTTCATTATACACTGAATAGGTCATCCAATCAACGTTAACAAGAAGTCTAAACTAGGTATGTTTAAGAGATATGTGATGTGTAGTGATGAGTGTTCATATAACGTATTGTATATAAAAAAACGTAAGAGGTGAGAAGAGAAAATTACATTCACATTATATATTGTCTCTTATCAATGAATTTATAAGGAAAACATACAATTTGTAATATATGTCATATGAATCATATCTGTCACAGCATGTATAACATGAAGATAATTAAACAAAAATATAAATAACTGATTAGAGTTTAAAATGTAAAACAGTAATTTAAAATCGTTTAAAAATCCCAATCATATTAATAGACTAATATTTGAACGAAGAATATTCTTTTCGATGAATTCCCTCTTCAGGTTCTACAATTATATATCCAAATTAATAATCCGAAAAATTGGCCAGGTTAAAGGCAAAGTACATCGTTTAAAGCATGTAAATTTAGGATTGTCAAACCAAATAGAATAAAATTGTTAATGTTGATATGACTCATATAGAATGTTAACTTGAATCTGTATATATGTCAAGTAAAAATTTAAGATCTGTGATCAGAATATAAATATGGGTCAGATAGGGTGAGAGAGATATATGATAGTGCAATTACAATTCGATCAAGTGGAAGACTAAATGTGTGAAAAATTAGTGAGACGTAATAAGGAGGGATCAATGCGATGTGAATGAATCATGTTTAGGGGAGATTAATAATGACATTTAACCAATAATAATAATAATAATAATAATAATAATAATAATAATAATAATAATAATAATAATAATAATAAAATACAAAGATTTGTGAATAAAGATAAGAGAAGGGGTTTTTGTGGAGATTTGGTATGTTTCATAGATGAAAGCATGAGTCAATTGAAGCTAGACCACCGAGGAAAACCTGGAAACACTGGACGGCCGTTTCGTCCTATTATGGGACTCCTTCTAATAATTAATATAATCATATGCTCACTAGTGACTTCGGGAAGTACTTCCAGGAGCTCTAGTGAGAAGCAGTGACCAGTGGAGTGCAAACCACGTCTGTCGTGAGATAGGAACTCACTGATGACAATTGGTGAATGGTTGCTCAACTTCGTGGATCAGTTGAAGTTAGACATTAACACCGTTGGATGCCAGCTCAGTGGTCTATCGGTTAAGGGCTCTGGCTCGTAACTGGTAGGTCCTGGGTTCGAATCTCGCTCGCGAGAGCGGGTTCGTGGATGCGCACTGCTGAGGAGTCCCATAATAGGACGAAAAGGCCGTCCAGTGTTCGTAAGTGCATAGTCAAATTAGGTCATACAATAGCTAAGGTGATTGTTCATTAATTGGCCTTGTGGTTGGCCAAGGGAGGAGTAGAGGTTGGAGATATTTCTTCTGTACACATAGCTCCGGTTTCTTCATTCTGATGGCTACTGCCTCCGCCGTTTGAAGTACTTTAAGTCTGACAAGCTTAGGCAAAAAGTTACTGACCCTATAAATAATTGAAAAAGATTCGTTTATAGTGGCACTATGACCGGTTTCTACTAAATGGGTCAAAATCGAGCTGTTTACTTTCCTCATCAGACCTTTGCTTAGCCACGCTGGGAGGTGTTCACGAGCACGAAAATGTAAATTCCTAGAACTTCGACCAATATAACTTGCTCCACAGGAGCAGTCGAACTGATAAATACAAAATGAAGTGGTCATTCTAGGAACTTCATCTTTAATCCTCGGTGCCACCATTGGACGCGTAGAAAACACCAAACGTAGTTCACCTGCGTTGAAAGATCTTTGTTTAGATCTGCGTAATCTCTGAGCAAGTATTTCGCTAGCGACATCCCACCTGAATTGTAGGCGCATGAACAAGGACTTTTTCTTGACCGTTTGGAATTCGCCTATTTTCACTTTCAAGATCATATATTTAATTATAAATTTTCTGGGATACCCGTTCTCCCTTAGAGCATTATGCAATGTATTTAGCTCATTGTCAACTACATCCGCCGAACATATAGTGCGTATTCGATAGCTAAGGGTTTTGATTAGGTTTCGTTTGTACTGTAGACGTACAAAGCTAAGGAAGTGTGTATACTGTCCAGTCCACGTACTTTTTCTGTTCATGTTTCTTCTTAACGATCCATCTGATCTCTTAGTTAAGAGGACGTCCAAAAAGGCTAATCGGCCATCACCCTCTTCCTCTGATGTAAACTGGATGGCTGGATGCACTTCGTTAAACTGCCTAAGCACATCTTGTTGTGAAATATTATCTTTACACAGGATGAATGTGTCATCCATATACCTGCAGTAAAATTTGAATTCTTGAACAATCTTTTTCAGATGACCGTTCTCTAGTTTAGCTAAAAATATATCAGCTAGTATAGGGCCCATAGGTGAACCCATTGCCACACCATCTGTTTGTCTAAATATTTCACCGTTGAATTTGAAATTTACATTCATGGTGCATTTCAGTAATAACTCTTTCAAGACATAATAATCAGATAAAAGTACAGAAAAAAACAAGAAACGTACCCAATGAGGGAATTAGGGCCAAGGAAGGGTAAGAGGTTGGACAAATCGTTTCTGCACGCAAAGTTCAGGCTTGAATTCATGGATTGACAATGCCTCAGCAGTGCATAAAATATTGATTCGACCTCCCTTTGATCCGGTTCCTTTAACTCTATAGATTATTTTAAAAATCGTGTCTTTTGGAGCAATGTGTCCACAATTGATCAAATGCTCTTGTATCGCTTTTCTTCATATCTGTCAATTGAACTATTATCTGACCCATAAATTGTTTTCTTCCTTACCCCTTGATTAGTACGTCACCTCATTTGTTATTTATTGTCGAATCCATTTATAATGCAATCTTTCCTAGCCTCCTGTAGACATATTTTCCATAAAAATGTAAATATAAAAGGTGAAATTTGAAGAGCGTAATTTTTGACTGTATGTATGTGTCATTTTTAATGTTCCAATGAATTTTTCAAAGTTGAAATCATGAGTCAATTGAAGCTAGACCACCATCGAAAACCTGGAAGCACTGGACGGCCGTTTCGTCCCACTATGGGACTCCTCAGCAGTGTGCATCCACGAACCCAATGAATTGTTTAACAAATTCCGATAAGACAACAGATTAGAATCATTGAGTGTAATTGTTGTCATTTTAGATAATACGAATTAGATAAAAACATTAAGGAGTTCAGGTTATTACTTATTAATGATTAGCTGCCATGGCACTGCTAATTGTATTCCATCTCTCCTATTAATATTGTTTGGATTAGCCTGAATGTATAGGGCTTCAGCTGTTTGTCTTTCCTTGTAAGAATTGAAATCTTTCTGAAGAATTCTTGTGTGAACGAAATCAATTGTATGACCCGATCCTATCGAGTGTAATGTTATCACTGATTTGTTCTCCAGTTTCCTTACATCATCTGAGGATTTAGGAATGTGTTTCAAGCATTGTTTGTGTTCCTTCACCCTCACATTCAGTTGTCTTGATGTTTCACCTACATACGTTGCATTACAGTGATCCCATATCGGAAAGGAGTTTCGGAAGATATTCGAAGAATCTTAAATAATCAAAATATAAGAGTATTTTTTCGAACAAACAATACTCAAGATCAAAATTAGTAAGAATTAAAGATCCAATACATAAAGAACAACAAAATTGTGTCTATGAAATCAAATGTAGTGAACACGCATATCTCTTAAACATACCTAGTTTAGACTTCTTGTTAACGTTGATTGGATGACCTATTCAGTGTATAATGAACTCGGAGAACCATGTACCTATTTATATTCGATAATTTTGATGTTTGATTATATTTCTTTGAAAAAGCTTGGACCAGATTGCCAGGTGAAACGTTGGATTTAATTAAAAATTCATTCGCTGAGATTTTAAAAATATATTATTCCTATTTAATGTCTTACATCAACTCGGCGCTCAAATACTGTGAAACTATTCGCTCTAATTTAGACGAGAGTTCTTATATGTACATTACCACACTTTCAAACCTTATTAACTAGGTTTGATGTAAATTTGTTTAGCTTCAAATCAAATTAAAAAATAGGTAAGGAATTGATTACTGCATATCAATTCCTTGTACCAATCACAAGATATGCGTAGACAATTTGACTAATACCAAACATTAAGTATAACTTCCATCCAGTATTATTATTTATTTAATATATTTTCAAACTTTTTCAGCATAATGAATGTCTAACTACTGGTTTGATTGTATCATTAAAATTAAATTGTTCCTTTAGTTTGCAATCTTTATGAAAGAACCAACAGACCCCGAAGTTTTGAATTTATATTTTTCACTGAATATGAACAATTACATATGAAAAGCATTTTTATAATTTCATGATCACTGAATAATTTGTTGATTGTTCTACAAATAAATAACGTTGGTCCCTGAATTTAGTATACTACAAAAACGCTACTTTCTCTACACCATATGTCTTGTAATTAAATATTGCATTTGTTATGTAGTAGCGAAGACATAAGTACGGGTAACTTGCAGGACCTACTATTGGACTATCATTCTTATTGTATAACTATTCGGTAACTAGATTATCTAAGCTTTATTTTGACCTATTGATTATTACTATATGATTTACTGTCCCTACGTTATGCTCAGTTTTATTGATTATTGTCTCCCACGCTTACGGCCTCATTTGGCCTGGTTTTGTATAAATATTATTTTCTATTATAGGTATGATGTGGCCTGTCTGTCTGATATATAAACAAAGTATGCTTGAAATAAACGATTCGTATTGCCGAGGCTGCTATTGGTGTTTTGGACTCAAGTGGACGGGTTAGGCGGATAAGGACTAATAAGGACGCTAGATTACTCATATTAATCGAACGTCATTGTCACAGCGTGAAGGTTGTAGAAGGCGTATTCTATTGGTGGATAATTTACGCGGATTACGTCCTTGTTAAATTCGTAAGGTCATAACGAATCAGCGACGACCTTGATCAAGTCATAACAATTGGCTACAACCTAGGTCAAAAACATAACAAATTGGCGACAGCTAGGTCAAGTCATAACAGCATTGTTTTATTTTTTTTAAATTTCAGGCTGCATCCCCTGGTGATAACTCCAAAAGAACAATAATCGGAACTGACAAGTATCTTCAAGTTGTTATCTACGATCATATAACTAAGAGAAAAACGTGAATGTTTATTCTCCCATTTTTAATTATCTTACATATATTATCCTTTTGATAAAGGAAACTCTGAATGAGTTTAACACAAATCATCATCCTCCCGCAAATTCAAACTTTATCCGAATTAATCAACCATGATTTTTGATTCATTTTACATAGAATCTTGCTATCGGTTTATAATATTTGTCAAAATAATCATAATTCAAATAAAACCCTTTATTTGAAGTTACGTTAGATAGATTTCTCTTTGTTGACAATCTTAAGCATCAATACATCAAAATTAAGATTGTTAGGAACAGTATAAAATCTGAAATACCTGTAAAACAATTAATTTTCATTATATACCATGAGTTGTGGGTAAACGATCAACGGAAGTCTACATGTTAAAGAAGCATATCAATGAAATGTTCATTATTATTATTATTACAAGACCAGTACTGGTTTCCTATATGCTGTTATTCAGTTGGCGAACAACTTTTTTTTACTTGTGTCAGCATATCGAAAAATAAACTTAATGCCCAAGCGACCTATTAGTTGTTGATTGTATGGCCTTGTAAAATATCTTCATTTGATCACATAGGAATTTTTCCGAGTCGGATCACAATCTAAATTATATTGAATAGTGGTATGAGAAGCGGGATGAACATACGTTTTACAAATGTTCAGGTTACTCGTTTAGGGTAAATTAGCACAAATGATGATCTTTGTGAGATATTCTAATAAGTTCGTGCATCACTGTTCAAGATGAAATTCATCTTTTGTACAATAGCGTCAGTTATTCATGCAATAGCCTGATTTAAGCAAAAAGGTATTCATTTAGTTGTCTTCTTGTTATCACTGGTTGTAAACCAAGGTTTTTCATAATAAATTGTCAACACTTTTCGTCGAAGATCAACAAAATCATAAAAAAGACTTATACTTTATTCGAACCAAAAGATGAAAGACAGATTTTAATTCATAAACACAACTACTAATAGGTATCATTACCAAGTTTTGATTTGATAATTTTGAATAAATTGAGCATTGGGTAGATCGTTATAAATCAATAATATATTTGTAATATCCCAAGGAGTAGAAAAATTAGATTTTCTGACGTTTCGTGACTCAGTGTAAGCCACTTCCTCAGAGAATAAATGACCAAATTCACAATAATCCAAGTTTAAATAGTACATGCACGCAAAATTACATACATATCCCTTATGAATCACTTTAACCGAAATGAAATGACTTGACATTGGTTTATTCAGACCTGTTTTTGATTGATCACCTAATATTCTAGGATTGTTCCGTTGTACTATTTAAACTTGGATTAATGTTAATTTGGTTATTTATTCTTCGAAGAAGTGCCTTACACTGAGTCACGAAACGTCAAAAAATCTAATTTTTCTACTCATTGGGATATTACAAATATATTATTTATTTACAACTACTAGTAGTTTTAGACTCTCGGTAATATAAGTGATAGATTATCTTTTGAGTTACCATACTATTTATCTGATTTTACTGCAAACAGAATATTCAATATCATGTCACCTAAGAATGATAAAACCTCTATCACGGCCTAAATTATCATTGTAAGACTTTGAACATATACATTTGTAAACGATAAGTATGAATTTAAGTGTTTGGAGTAATAAATTACTGAAACTAACCCTCATGTAGAATATAATACTGAGACTATTCAGACATTTAACCCGCAAACAATCAGAATATAGTTGGTTGATGTATAAATTTACTTGATTATATAAATATAAGGTAAACGTGATTATAGTAACTTGGCCAGCATTAATGTACAAGCGACACGACAGCGATTTCTATGCCATAATTTCTTGATAGTATGTCGTTTACCTTTAACAAATATACCCGACAAAATAGTTCAAAGTTAAACCATCAAAAGTAGTCAAAGTGATACTGTGGACTTAAATTCACGTTTTCAACAACATATAACTACAGCTTCATTAACTTTAATGCTTCATATGCATTCAACTTGAGTTCTGTCAATCTTTGAAATGGAAAACCAACTAAAACGTTTGTACCAAAAACAGATCACATTTAGACTTATTGAAGTAAATGAGATCGTTGAGTATTTTTCTCTTCTACATTAAATCGAGGATGGTACTGACGAAGTTGGGTAGACTTTTGAAGCAATTTCCAGTATATACAAATTAAAAGTTTAACTTTTAAATAAAGTAAATTTGTTTCGGATAAATAAATAAAAAAAGGTAAAATGAACATAAAAATCATTTATTTTCTATACAAAAAGACTGATGAGGTTCCAAATGACTGTAAAACAAAAAAGCACGTAAAAGCTGGAATGATTGTTTCGGTTCTTGTTGATAGTTCATATAGGTTCATTCAAGTCTAAACCAAATTTAGAAAAATTAGACGACTCTATAGGTTCGACCCATTGTTTCTCAGGGGGTACAAGATCCACTACCGTATCTTCAGGATAAACAGGAGTTTTATTAAGTTTTATGAAATCATTTGAGATCTTCCACAAATGGAAAAGAAAATACGCTGACATCAATGTAATGAATGATCCGGGAAAAATAAAAACGAGTCCAAAAACAAAGAATAAATCCTTGTTTGTCCGATCAAACGTGTATGGACGGCCAAAAAATATGAAAAAAAAACCAGTAAGAAAAACAACGCAGCCCACACAAAATAGTTTGTATGTGTTTTTTAGTTTTTTATAATTTCTGAGCCCAACGGTATCTGGATTTTCTATCATATTGAAGTTGGTCACACTATACGCCTCGATAAATTGTGACTGGCAATAACTGAAAAAGACTGCAGGTTAAAACATCAGTACATATATGATCTGAAAATAAGAAAAAATATTGAACTAGCATGTTCTGTATTCACATTTTAAAAATAGACTAACATATTTATACTTTAAGGTTTCAGTCAGTCAGTCAGTCACAACGTAGAACTTCGTACGTACGTACATCAGTTCGAGTTGCCATACCACATTAGCACAGAGATGCAGTTGTCGATTCAATTCCCATAGTGGTAGAAGTAGTAGGAGTATAATCAGAAATCCAAAAGATTAGGGTTTGAAGAAATTATTGAAGGAGTATAGTACAGTGAAATAAATTTGGAAAGAGAAAAATATAAAGACATGAGGAATTCAGAAGATTAGAATTTGGTAGAACACAAAGAGTGGATGCATCTTCGCCATTGCAAACGATTTTGAGTCATGTCATTCAAGGTCTCTAACCATCGGTTGCTGTCATCTCGCGAATCCCAACCAGGTAGTCTACACCTACCAACATGGCCCAGTCCACTTGTCAGTGACTTCATTGACATGGCTTTAAGGTTTGCTTAGCTCGTTGCTTTGAGAAAGCTTCGAATTGATCAAACGATATTCATAACTACACTGTTGCATTTAATAAACCAAAATCTAATCATGAATGCGACCTATGTATCATTCATACCCAGGCACATTGAGTTCAGTATTTATTTTTTTACTCATTTTAGCAAGCTTTATGATAAGTATTCTTAGTCATGAAAATAATTTGTCCCAGTAAATGATTGTCATCTTTTATACTATATTTCTCTTTTTGAGGACTAAATATTTCGTTCAACAACTTCAACCGAGTAACCTGAAGAAAAACACAAATATGTCACTAAGAAAGTGATAAAAGACTCTGAAGCGACTGGGCCTTAATTTTATTGAATATTTACGCAAACTAACGAAATCTCTCGATCTATATATTCCATTATAAAAGTTTTAAGGTGGATCCTTAAGGTCAACGACAACAATCGGGTTTTTAAAGCAATTAGTCCCTTTTATAAATTTCGATAGAACAATGAGAAGACGTAGTTGATCTGAAAAATGTGATGTATTTGCGCTATACATTTCGAACAATCTGGTCACACATATACTTGTCAAGGCATTTTTATATGAAAATTAATAAAGGTCAAAGAAACAAATAAAAGTACAACTAAAATAACTAAGGGGGAGAAAGAAGCTCTATCACTCGGATTTAATTTCTCCGTTGCACATACCAAGATTTCTGATCTGTCGATAGATGCTCAATTTGAAAGTCTTTATGATCAGTTGAACCCTCTTGTCCCAACCACCCTGGATAGGAAAAATTGGTTAAAGGTGAAATTGGTTGACGTTGCCCACCACTTTCACGGATCTCAAGTCAGACAAAGAAGTATTTTGACTCCTAAACATTTCGCTGCGTTAAAAAACCTCCAATGTAGGTCAGATATTGTGATCCTCAGACCTGACAAAGGTTCTGGGGTGGTCGTTATCAATAAATGTGAATATAAAGACAAAATGTTATCTATACTGGGTGATCAAAGTAAATTCTTACAGGACGTTTCTTCTAATATTAATGTTAGAAAATTGGAATCCAGAGTGAAGTCCAATCTATTAAAGCTTCTTAAAATGAACGTCATAAACAACGAGGAGTTTAATATACTAAAACCCTCGGGTTCAGTTCTCCCGAATTTATATGGATTACCTAAAATTCATAAACCTAATATTCCATTACGACCAATTTTGTCTATGAGTGGTTCTCCCACACACGAGCTTGCTAAATGGTTAGTAAAACTGTTAAACCCAATTCGTGCTAATCTATGTAAGTTCTCTTTAAAAGATACATTTGAACTAATCGATTTTCTTGGTGACATTAATATTAAGGATAAATCTTTGCATTCATTTGATGTAAACTCCCTCTTCACGAATGTACCGTTAACAAAGACGGTGGATTTCCTTTGTGACTATATTTCAAAAAACTTTCCCCTTTTTCCTATTCCGTCACCATTTTTGAAAGATTTACTTTTATTATGTACAGCTAATGTTCAATTTACATTTGATGGTGAATATTTCCGACAAGTTGATGGTGTAGCTATGGGTAGCCCTTTAGGGCCTCTCTTAGCTGAGGTATTCATGTCATATGTGGAAAATATGACGAGTGACCTCATTGGTGAGACAACTCTATATAGAAGATATATGGACGATATTCTAATTATATGTGATAAGCATTTTGATGTTTACCGATTACTGGATAAACTCAATGGTGTTCAAAATGATATTGTGATGACACATGAACCAGAAAGTAACGGCCAATTAGCCTTTCTAGACATACTTTTAAGTCGAAGGGATGATGGCACTATTAGACGGTCCGTGTATAGGAAACCAACTTGGACGGGACAATACCTAAATTTCCATAGTTTCTGTCCATTGCAATACAAGAGAGGTCTAGTTAAGTGCCTCTTTAAGAGGACTCGAAGAATATGTACCTCTGATATGGTGGAAAAAGAGGAGAAGTTACTGACTGACACGTTAATAGCAAATGGTTATCCACTCAAGTTTATTAATAGGTGCAAAAGTCAATTAATGCCAAGACCTCTAATTTATTCAGTGCCAAAGAAAAAGGTTTACATCAATCTACCATATAGAGGCGAATCAAACAGTATAGTTTTAAGGCAGAGATTGAAAGCAGCCATTGAGAATACGTATTATGCTGCTCAGTTGGTAGTGATTGAAAAGTCTAAGGCCATGATTCATAATAGACCCAAACAATGCACTAATGATTACGTCACATCCCATTGTATTTACCAATTTACATGTTTGTGTGGACACACATACATAGGTAGGAGTAATCGAACAATGCAATCAAG